CATTTGACACGAGACAGCTGAAAATTACATTTCTTTTCGCTTTTAATGAGTCAATATACACCAAAAATAGATTACTAGAATTCTATAAAGTAAAGAAAACATATAGATCTTGATAATGTTTTCAGAAAACAATTTATTTAGTTAATGATCTATTCTTATACTTGATGCTTCACCTCATGTAAAATAGTGTATACTTGTTCATGACTGTTAAAAATCAATTTCCAGGCAAGATATTTTTTACTGTTATTCACATTTACTTTTAGTTCTATGTAGGTGAGAGGTTTATTTGGTCTGCAATTTTTCTCGCAAACTTGGGTCGTATCAAGGATTTCACCTGGTCGTTTTCTGCTATGTCGATAATCATGCAATTAAAAAGGAAAATGAATCTGATTTGATGGCAGCACTCTGATACTAAAATGCTAATTGACAGATTGGCTGCCAATTCCTGAAATTCTAATTTGGACTAATTTGAAAACTATTTGGAATTCTGCATAAAAGGTCTATATGTACAAACCAATTTCATATTCTGGAATAAAAGCCATCCAGTCTCGAGAAAAAGAGTCAAAAATCGTATAATTCCCTCAAATATACCTCAAACTAGGTATCTTTCTGTTTCTATACTGGTATATGTCTTTTAGCATCTCAAGAAAGACATGGTTTTGTTAACTTTCAAACATGGATAAATCTGGACAAACAAGGATTTGATAGCTCAAACTTTTAGCTTAGCTAAAAAATTCCTGTTTCAGAGACTATGGTACGATTGGTCAAACAGATGGAGAAACTGTCCCTTTAAATAAAACAGTATAATTACCTGGTTATTACTGAATGATCTTAACTACCAGTGTGACTGGACAATAATTCTATTATCAAACACTAATAACTATAATCGGGAAGAAAACAAACTAGGCTAGGAGTCTCACCCAGTACAACATCAAATCAATAATATTCTATTTACATAAACTTTGATTACTGAATTATTCTTAATCCACACTTTTAGTATTGTCACATCATTCTGTGCATTTAAAAGCATTACAGCACAGGAATTTGTTCATTTGATGCTTGGTAACCATGACAATTCGTCTGATCTGACACAGTCCCAAAATAGATGAGAATGAAAAGTTGACATAACATGACATATAAAATGCATCTAGTTCATTTCACAGCAAGCTCACAAATCTTAATCAAAAGTATATTTTAATGCATTAATGCATAACAAACTTCAGTTATCTTTATATCTTTATATTCATCCACTCAACCATGGGCTCCATCTGTAATAAGTTTATAGTTTCAAATTCTACATGTACAATTTAAACATTTTCGAATTAAAGGGATGTAGTTGGCTAAATATTTGTTTTTTTTTCATCACAGCAGGTTCTGATACAATACAACAAATTATCATAGATTCCACGACATTGTCAACTATCTTTTGGTTGTGAAAATTTCTATAATGACATGGAAGCGATAACAGTCTTAACTTGCACGGTATTTCAATTGTAGACAACAAGAATTTCGATTTTATAACTTTGAATAGTGCTACTTGAGACAAACCTCCATTAGCAATATTATTGTAGACAAAATATTTTCAATAACCACCTTTTCTATGTAAAATAACCACTATGAAAGAAATAATTCTAAAAAGCACTTCTGATCACTGAAATTGAAACACACTTCTTTAAGCTAAGATTCCATATACGCCTCATGCGGATGCGTCATGCGGACATAAATGGCCCTTGCGGAACCGTCATATGTCAAATATGATTCCATATGTGCGTTAAACGTATGCGTTTTCTTTTGACGCACAAACTTCTAGACAGATAGATGCTTAGGAGATCTCCGCGCGGAAAGGCGCAGAAAGGCGTCCTCATGTGTCAAAAATTGCTACTCCCGGCATTTTTTTTTGGACGCATGACAGAGACCATATGCTTCCGCATATATGGAATCATACCCTCTTAAACCAACCATTTCGATTTTTAACGCATGACGGACGACGGATCAGCATGGCGCGTATATGGAATCTTAGCTTAATTAAAGCAACCATTCAAAGTACTATTCATCCTTCTAAATAATATTTTTCAGTAACCACCTTATTTTATGTAAAATAACCACCATGAAAGAAAGAAATCTTACTTTAAAGATTATGTGTGTTTAATGTTTAATCAGTCAATTTGTTTATTTAATTTTTAAACAAGACCCACAATGAACCAGCACAATTACAATATCAGACTCTTTATTGAACCTCCCTCAGTGAACCGCTACCACTATTCTTGTGACATTGTAAAATGTGGGAAACTAGGGGTCATTCAGTCTGAGTAATTTTATCATTCATTCAATCAATGGTTTCATACATTAACCATCATTCATAAATCATAATACATTTCATACTGAAAATTTTATTCTAAATGTTTTCTTTGAAAGTGAAATAGTGTTTAAAGTTGTTTACAGCAAGAGACCAGTTTTACCATAATATTTTGTGAAATAGATTGTAGCTGATTCTATAAGGGTGTTCGATCTTGACATCATTTGCTTGTTTACATAGAAGAAAACGGTAGTCATAATCCCTAATCAATTTGCAACATTCTGATTTTCAAGCAGACGTCTGTGGTTTCTGCAATTCCACTAACACTAAGGGTTTGACAACGTCAATAAACACGAAGCCCTTATACGATACAAGGATTTTTGGCAATTAATGATGTCATCAAACACTTAGCTTAGTGGAATTGCAGGAACTGCAGACATCTGAATGAACATTGAAATATTGATGCTATCATTGTCCCAGAGCCAGATACACATAAAAATTAATACACAATTTGACTGAAACAATATTTAACAACTCTATATTAAATTGTAAGAAAAAACTAGAGGACTGAATCCCTTAAAATCTAAGAGTCATTTGTCCAAGGAAAGAATAACTCAAGTCTAGGATTTTGAAGTATTGATATTGGCAAAGAAATGTTTACAAATTGCCAATAGTTTGTAACACTGTTCAAAGGCTTTTTAACACATACTAATCTGCTGATATACTTTCTTTTTCTTTCACCCTAATCGGTCAGTCATCATATTGATCATAGAGAAAATGACCAGTCTGAGCTTGAACATCATACTGAATGAATAGCCATTTAAGGTTACAATTTCAAAGATATCCATACATTTTGGGGAAATAATAAATTTCAGGACAAATTTTCATGTTTTGTAATATGCCAAGTAAATTTTTATGGTCAAAAAGTATAATTTCATAAATTTGCATCAAAGTTTCACGAGCATCATATGAAAATAGCAACATAAGAACATTTGATGCAATGCAATTTAAACACAGCAAGGGCAATAACTCAACTAATCCATCAATACCTAACATGTTTTAAAACTTAAGAGCAATAACTTAAAAACCAACACCTGATAATATCAGGTAATCAAATTAATCATTCATAAAATACTTCATCATCACATTTAGATGACAACCAATTAAAACTTCACTTCTTCAATTTTTGTATATTTTCAAAAGTTGAAAAGGAGTGTATGGCTGAAGGTTGAATATTTCATACTGGTGATTGTTACTGTACTGCTAAATATTTTTATTTAAAATCAAAGCTGCCAGTGGGTGTATATTACCTTGCCTGGCAAGCTATCTTTTTACGACATTTTGATTTTTGATTTTTTTAAATGGACATTCCACTTTTTTTGTGAGTGAAAAATCTAAAGAAATGTGGAAAATTTATGTATCTGAAAGTTTTAATTAAAAAAATCCAGCCATTAATATTTTAAGTCCAGAAATATTTCAAAACGTTAAGTATGGTTTTCAACTTGGTTAGACTTACTTGAAGCTGTTAGAAATCTACTGCACGGATTTGAGTAAAATAAACGCCTAATTGGTTTATGATTTTGTTTCCCATTTTTTTTTTAACATAAAAGCTGAATGCCCGTTTAACAATTTTGTAGTCATTCATTATCAAAGGTTGAAAAAAAAAATGCTTGCCTTGAATTAGTAAGGTGGACTAAATGGAAATATTCCAAATATAAGTAAATCTAAAGCACAAAAACATTATCTGGTTAACTCGGCATATACAACATTACGTATAAATTTTATAGTAAGATTTGTGTTATATTTTGAACTGCTGCATAAACAATGGTGGAATTGACGCACAAGTAAATAACAAACAACAGAGAATTTTCTCACCCAGCTACAAAATAAATATTTAAAATTCATTGCTTGCAGCTGACTGTCTCACTAGGACAGTTCCTAGATACTGTCATAATCATTAGGCCTGGTTTTGACCTCAGTTTTACCTGAATAATCACAATGATTTCAACACAAATAAAAAAAATGTCAGAAATCATTGAAACTGCAAGTGAAGAACTATAAGTGCATGATACAACAAGACCTTATCTAATTAGTAAGGCTGATTAACATTAACCATTTAAGATTAATTAAGATTAATCAGACATCAATCGCTTGCCTAGTAACAAATTAATAATTCAAAGAATAACTCTGAAAAAAGCTCAGAATCACATACTGATCTAACTAATGCTTTATGCATTGCTTAGGAAACGCTACTTCATAAATTAAATCACTTATCTACCTGTAAGACTGTAGGCATAGTAGACCACATTTTTCCCATTTTGCACATTTTTTTGAATGCCTCCAGCTATGGAATGAGCCAAATAAAAATCATAATTGTCAAAATAAAACTCATTAAGAAAAATGACATTAAAAGATTTTACCTTATACGTTATTGCCAGTTATTTCTTTTCTAAAATCAACCGTTGTCACCTACAAGCAATCCTTGTACTTTGTTGACAAAGTCTGATCTCGTTCGATCACTGAAGAATGAAATAATGAAAGGTAAACGCCCACTTCTTTCAATAAATTATACCTTGTTATCCAGACTTAATTCTAAACACTGTTAAAGACGAAAAGCGACTTGATAACCGAACACCACAAATCGCGACCGTGCTTGTGACGTCATGTCAACAAAGAAACAGAAGCGACATCTATCGGAGTAATAAAGTACTAGAAAAAAAATTTGCTTACATCGTAGATTATAGAAGTGTAGGTATTTCATGTCGTTTCTTTCAGAAATATCACAATTCCGACCCCCACTCCTAGGAGCTAACCATATCATAATCATTATTTTTATGGTGTGAATTAATGAGATTTCCATAAGTTGTTTTGATAAATATCGCATGTTATTTCCCGCCATATTTTGGACTCTTTTGTAATTAAAGGTAGGAAAAGATATCCATGTTTCCGACTACTTGTCTAACACTCCACAGTACTACGAATTTTCATTTGATCACTGTAATCTTTCTGATTTGTGGCTTAAACTCAGAAATAAACAGATAAGAAGAGTCAGTGAACGCTGGGCTACTCAAAATCTTAGATCTCGAATCAGTCACATTGTCTATCCAACAGATTTTGTAGACATGTCACATGATTAATTCTATAATAATGTGTGCTCAAGTTTACAATTTTATAATTTTATGAACGCAAAGATATTCTAAGACGAACAATTAACAATACTATTATGAGGCCAATATTCTCATTAAAATAATGGAAAAATCTTTTTACCTTTCTCAGACAACAACTAGTTCTATTAGTATTAGGCCTATTGAATTTCATATTTTATTTCAGAAAACAGGTTCAGGTAGAAAATTTGAGTTTGACTTTGCTGATAATTATTGGTATTGACAGACGCAAAAAAAATGAGTGATGTTCAGGAATATCCTGAAGTTTTTCAGGAGGTCAGAGGAGCCTTGGTAAGGATATTTCATTTTGAAATACTGCAAGCCATGTATTTTTTCTTTCTTGGTATTTTTTACTGTGCTGTAAATCCAATATTGTTAGTTAATAGAGGTTGAGATCTGACACCAGACTGACTTATACAAGAATGGCAGTGGGATTAGGATATTTTCACCTTGAAAAGGATTCTGAACCACAGCTCTCTATTTCCTAGCAAACAACAATCCACCTCAGTACTCACTGAGCAATACCACTGCCATTACATGATGGAAAGGAAAAGATTCATTGCACGATTCTAAACTATTTGACCCTTGGAAATTGAACAAAAAAGTAAGCTGTCCTTTCAAAATATATTTTTTGTCTTATAGAATCCTGGCAGACTGAAGTTACAGAGTAACAGTGTTACATTTAAAAACATAAAAACAGGCAAAGTCGACCAATATCAAGGTTCTGATATAGAGAAAGTTCATTGGTTAAAGAGAGCCAGAGGAAACTGTCTGAAAATGATTTTGAATAATGGTACCATTCACAGATATGATGGTTTTAGAGAATCAGTTAGTTCTGCTTTACTGTTACTTTTTTTGCTTAACGCCAAAGAATGTTCTGCTCAATAATGGGATTAAAAAAGTTTCGTAACTCATTATAAATACTCAATGACTAATTTGATCTTTGCAATTCAGTTTTCATGCTCTTTCAAGTCTTTCAGGAATAACTGGAACATTAGACAAAAAATCTGTGCAAGTAACCAAAATATAAGTTTTCTACAGCTGTCACATCAACATGTACAATGAAATCACAAGTAACAAATTTATTCAATGAATTATTGTATTCTGTTTTGGTACCATAGCTCTTTGTTTTGCAGGATTTTGATAAGTTATCATCATTTGTATCTAAATACTACAGCAGTGAATTAGAAAAAATTGATATGGCTTTAAAGGGCTGGAATTGGGGAAAGGCTGAATTTGTTGGTAAGTTTGTAACCGCCAACATTAAAATTTCTGTATTCAGCCTAATATCTGAAAACAAAAATGAAAGTGACAATTTGAATAAGTGTGATGATTAATTCTGATACATTATGAAATTAAGTTCTATCAACCAATAAAAGAAAAAAATATCCCACTAGATCCAGTTTAACTCAACAGGATACAGAAATCTTATTCACCTCTTGGTGCTGATTTTAAACCTAGTAGTGGGAAAAATTCTCAAAAAAAAAAAAAAAACATTTTCATATACTTCTTATTTCAGGTAATGGCCTAGATTTTAATATAGATAACAGTTTAGCCTTTGAAATACCACTAGGTAATGTTTCCCATTCTACTACGAGTAAGAATGAAGTCACATTAGAATTTCATCAGAATGATGACGCTGCAGTTTCTTTGACAGAATTAAGATTTCACATTCCGACTGACCCAACAAGTGAAACTGATGCTGTACAGGTAGGGTTAAATATAGCATATGTTAGATTAAAATTGAGTTGGGAATAACTGATCAATTGATAGGAATGATAGGTAAGTTGACCTGACCACATGGCAACTCAAAAATCACAATCACACATTTCAGATTCTGTTTAAATATTTTTAACTTTGTTTACTACTATAATAGTCGTTTTTTGGCGCACGATTCAATGAGGTAGATTAGCTATTTTGTGCATTTGTGAGCCAGGACGTTTAGGCTAATTGGTGCATTTGTAAGACAGTTTGTATTGCTGTATTTACAGGAATTCTATAAAAATGTAATATTGTATTTACAGGAATTTTATGATAATGTATTGCTGTATTTACAGGAATTCTATAATAGTGTAATATTGTATTTACAGGAATTCTATAATAATGTATTGTTGTATTTACAGGAATTCTATAATAATGTATTGTTGTATTTACAGGAATTCTATAATAATGTAATATTGTATTTACAGGAATTCTATAATAAAGTATTGTTGTATTTACAGGGATTCTATAATAATGTAATATTGTATTTACAGGAATTCTATAATAATGTATTGTTGTATTTACAGGAATTCTATAATAATGTAATATTGTATTTACAGGAATTCTATAATAATGTATTGTTGTATTTACAGGAATTCTATAATAATGTAATATTGTATTTACAGGAATTCTATAATAGTGTAATATTGTATTAACAGGAATTCTATAATAATGTATTGTTGTATTAACAGGAATTCTATAATAATGTATTGTTGTATTAACAGGAATTCTATAATAGTGTAATATTGTATTTACAGGAATTCTATAATAATGTATTGTTGTATTAACAGGAATTCTATAATAATGTAATATTGTATTTACAGGAATTCTATAATAATGTATTGTTGTATTAACAGGAATTCTATAATAATGTAATATTGTATTTACAGGAATTCTATAATAATGTAATGATGTATTAACAGGAATTCTATAATAAAGTAATATTGTATTTACAGGAATTCTATAATAATGTAATATTGTATTTACAGGAATTCTATAATAATGTATTGTTGTATTTACAGGAATTCTATAATAATGTATTAGCTAAAGCTGATATTATACAAGCTACTGGGGATGCTGTTGTTACATTTACGGAAGTCCAATGTCTTACTCCAAGGTAACTTCAATAGTTTATTGCATATTTATGGATAATTACAAAGTTTTTTGGATTTATCAGATTATATAAGGATCCTGTTATGTTATTTATGACACCAGGTATATCTACTGGCTCTTATTCGTAAATTCTCAAAAGTTTATGTTAATTCTAAGACGTAGTATCACTTTAAAACTATTTCCCTAACATCAATATTAAAAAATAGGATGTAAAACTCCATTTGTTTCATTTCTCAATATGATCTTTTATTTGAAAATTTCAGAGGTCGCTATGATATTAAACTCTATCCAACATTTCTACAACTTCATGGTAAAACATTTGATTATAAAGTACCCTATACTACAGTATTACGATTGTTTTTATTACCACATAAAGATGGTAGACAGATGTTTTTTGTGGTATGTATATTTGGTGTCTAGTAATACTATATAATATATAAATCTTCTACCTTTATTTAAAATTTATTTCTCAGCTTTTATAAGAGGTATTTGTTAACTGTATCATGCTAGATTCTGGACATGGGCATTTAAATATATGACATAGTCTCAACGAAAGAGTCGTCTTTTAACTTTCAAAAGCAGATAGTTATGAACACAAAATGATTTGAAGGCTAGAATTTCACCGGTGAGCTGTGAACACTATTACTGATTTGGAAAGCTGAAAAATTTCGTTTCTGAGACTAAAGTAAAACAGATGGTAAACCTGTCCCTTTCACAATATGGATCAAAATTTTTCTAGGTCTGAGATATTCCCAATTGCCGGGCTTTAATATGTGTTTTATGTGTTATATATTTTGAAATGATTATAGGTTAGTTTAGATCCACCTATAAAACAAGGTCAGACCAGATATCACTTTCTCATATTATTATTTAATAAAGAAGATGAGATGACTGTAGAACTGGGAATGACAGAGTAAGACATTTTATTTATCACTATTTCATTATTGTTGACTTTACTTGAGACCTGTCTTTAATGTACAATAATAATGTTTATTGACTAACAAATAATTCCGTGGAGTGATATATTGAATTTAGCAGTGGTCACTTTTCATTTTTTTTTTTTTAGTGGAATCTTATACTATTTTACGAATTTAATTGTAACATTTCAAAACCTATTAATGGAAGGCTACGTTTCCTAAGTTGGATCTTGCCTCAGTTTGGATTTTTTTGTATTTATAGAGAAGAATTAAAAGAAAAGTATGATGGTAAATTAACATCAGAAATGGTGGGTTTAGAATATGAAGTTGTTAGTAAAATATTTAAAGCTGTAACCAATAGAAAGATCACAGTACCTGGCTCTTTTCAAGGGTAAGAAATAGCAATATTCTCTTAATTGAAGTATTGAAATAACCAAACAGCTAAGTGACTTAGTAAATTTTAATTAAAAGAAGAGGTTGATGCTGAATGAAATCCTAGCACAAGTCTTGCATAAATTAGTAAATCACTTAGACCAAAAGCAAGCTAAGGGTTTTAGGCCATACCTGTTGTTAGTATAGCAATTAATGGACTCAAAAGGAGCCAGTGAAAGTGACTTGACTAATAAGTTGATGTGATGACATTTTTGAACATCTTGTACAACAAAACTCTAGTGTAGAACACCAAAACAATTATTTTCTGTTGAATGTACAATATTGATCAAATTTAGATTAAGACGCCTGAAGTCTGGTCCCTCTATGGTCATTTGCTTCTTATGAGTTGGTTAAAATGAGTTGGTTTGTGGTGAAATGTCAAATTTGCATGCCCAATAGAGATTGAGTCAATGTTTTGAAGTTGAATGTTTCAAATCCAATCTCTCTTTCTGCTTCCCTCAATCAAAACAGTTGCAGAATGGTATGACTCATTTTATTTTTAATCCAATTGATTTTCTTTATACAATTAATTTACTTGTAATTATTATCCTCTTATTTTTAGACAACAAGGTACACGTTGTGTCAGTTGTTCATATAAAGCAGCTACTGGTTTACTGTATCCATTAGAACGTGGTTTTATATTCGTACATAAACCACCACTACATATAAGATTTGATGAAATCAGCTGTGTTAACTTTGCTCGTGGTTCAGGAAATACCAGATCTTTTGATTTTGAAATAGAAACTCAGTCATCCAATGTTTATCATTTTGTTGGTATTGAAAAGTAAGTATATTCAAATGAGTTAACTTTCCTCCTATGCCTCAAGTCTGAAAATTCAGAGTAAAGCCCCATTTCAAACCCAGCTTTTCTGTATCCGAAAATATATCAAGCTTGTTGATTAATGAGCAATATTGAAGAAAGGTATCAGAGAAACTTGAAATATCCAGCGCATCATTGTGATTATCTAATTACTCCATGTTCTTGTAATCTTGTAACAAAACTTGGAATGCTTCTAAATATCTTAAAAAAAATCTCTTTAAATTCCTTCAATTATTCTGTTAATTGGTGACTTCACCATTCACTTGATGAAGTTTTACCTATGATATATTTTATATTTAGAGATGAATATGGAAAACTGTTTGATTTTGTAACTGGTAAAAAATTAAGAGTGAAAAATATTGACAAGAAGAAATCGGTTAGTCAAATATACAATTTTTTTATTGAAATATTTCCTAGGGTCAGACATTTTCTTTTCAATTTTTCTCATTGTTGGAGCAGTTGAGAGTAAGCACACTTAATTTTCAAAGTTGTCATAGTATAATTACAGTATCCAATGTTGATCTATCTTATTGCAGACAGTGTCATCAATATCAATATATAAGTTAGGACAGTGTCTAATATTGGTCTGATTTCAGACTGTTTTATATATCTAATTACAGAGAGTGTCTAGTACATTGATTTATTTAATTGCAGATTGTGATTTAGATTGTGATTATAAGAATGATTTATAATGTTGAAATATATAATTACAGTGTCTAATTGTGATCAATCTAATTTCAGACAGTGTCTAATTTTGATCAACCTAATTTCAGACGGCGTCTAATTTTGATCAACCTAATTTCAGACAGCGTCTAATTTTGATCAACCTTATTCAGACAGTGTCTAATTTTGATCAACCTTATTTCAGACAGTGTCTAATTTTGATCAATCTAATTTCAGACAGTGTCTAATTTTGATCAATCTAATTATTTATTTATTTATGTTATTTCCCATAGTGCCTGGGTTGATTTATATTTTGATCAATCTAATTTCAGACAGTGTCTAATTTTGATCAATCTAATTATTTATTTATTATATTATTACCCATAGTGCCTGGGTTGATTTATACAATTTCAGACAGTGTCTAATTTTGATTTATATAATTTCAGACAGTGTCTAATTTTGATTTATATAATTTCAGACAGTGTCTAATGTTGATCTATCTGGAAGTGATGAAGAAGGTGGTGATCATGATGCCTATCTAGAGAGAATGAAAGCTGAAGGTAAACAGAGAGATGATGGTGATGAAGATGATGAAACAGACAGCTCAGGTAATTGTTTTTTTTCTATTTAAAGAGGTTGATTACTTTTGAGAATCTAATGCATTTATGATTCCTCTGCAATTAAAGTGAAGACAGTTCAAGCATCCGGGCAGTTATTAACATTTTCTGTGCAAATATTGTTGATATGAAGCCCTGCTGCAATGTGAACACTCTTCCATCTCTAGAGTGACCTTTAAAAAATTTTAGTTTAGAAATTTCAGTTATAAAATTTTTGAAAAAAATTTCATGCTGTTGCTAAATACAAGAATACTAAGTAAACAAAAGGATTTGATATTGATGAAAAAAATTGGGTAGTCATATGATTGTATGGTATTTAATTGTAGATGAATCATTTAATCCTGGAGAAAGTGGTAGTGAAGTAGCTGAAGAGTAAGTAACTTTATATTTTAGTTTAACTGACATAAGACAATTTGTTTGGTATAAAATTTGAAGCCTTATTTAAATTTGGGAGGAAATAACTTTCATGACTTGTTGTTTGGATAATTATATTACTACATACTATGCTACAAACTGTGAACAGTGATGATCCTTTCTTCATCAGTTTTGAAAACTTGCAAATCAGTTTGGAACTTATGGCTTCAAAGATTTTTCCAATGACTTACGTCATGGCTGTTCTGTATTTAAGAATAGAAAACACCTGACTGTCTTTTCATTCCATTATGAAATATCCAGGGTATTTGACCTCATGAATTTGTCAGCTTGTGGTCTACCATTCGGATAAGTTATTCTTCATTATGATATATGATCCATTCCATTTCAGATATGACAGTAATCCACCTACCACAGATTCTGATGAGTCTGATAGTGATTCAGGGTCAGGATCAGCAGATTTAGCCGAGAAAAAAGTAAGACGAGAAAAGAAAGAAAAAGAACGAGCTGAGAAGAAAGCTAAGAAAGAGAAAGAAAAGAAGAAGAAATCAAAATCTGCCAAAACAGTGGTGCGTTTGATTTTACTTTTTGACAGACTTTACTGTAATAACGATGTGGTTAATTTCAATACGCTTTTGATTATATTTGCTAGTAAAAAAATGTTCAGAAAAATTGTAAGAAAATGTTGTGACTTCGGCCAATATTACTTACGTCAAACCTACTCGCTGTGTGGTACACAGGATGGCTATTTTAACTTAATAGTTGTGTTGACCCTTCCAACACTAGCGGCCGGCATACCTGCCAAACACTAACGCAATATATACCCGAGTAGCTGGTATACCGACCGTTGCTAAGTGACGGCATACAACGTTAACGTCATACGCTTTTACTTTCATTACTTTGAGTTCAGGGTATATGATGTTGTATTTCATTTACACTCAGGGTTCAAAGGGTTAAACATTTTATGGTACAAATTTTAGAATTTCATAATTTTTTCAATTTGTAGTCTGAAGGCGGTAGAAAGAGAAAGGAAAAAAAGAAGAGTAAGCGAGAGAAAGGTCAACCTAAACGACCTCAGTCTTCCTATTTCCTGTGGTTAAATGAACATCGTGAACAGATCAAAGAAGAAAATCCTGGTATATCTATTACTGATATCAGTAGGAAAGCTGGTGAAATGTGGAAAAAAGTGGATGACAAAACCGTAAGTACTTATGAAAATTTTTCAAAATATTGTATACTTTGGTATCTACAAACAAAATTTAGGAAGAAACAGGCATGATGACAACTTAAGTTCATGAGAATATTTTCTACAAGCTTGTTCAAGGTCAAACCTCTTGAAAAGCTGATTCATGGTCAAACCTCTTGGAATTGATCTTTCTGACTTACAGCTTTATATACTGAGAAAAGAGGACTTCATCAAGGTCATTAGACCTTCACACCTCAACAGAGATTAGAATCCACAACCACCATTTTTTCGGTGGTAAATACCAATGTTCTTATCAACCATTTTGAAAGAAAAAAAAAATGAAATGAATGGAGTTTTACGTCCTACTTTTCTGCACCATGTGGGCTAATGAAGACGGGCAACACCATGCAGGGTGCAATGAGGGAAATTTTGCAAGGACAGCAGCATTAGCCTGTTCTTTTTCGATTTCCAACTGTCAAGGGATCTTTAACGTGCTCAGCCTGTATAACACGGGGGCTCGGTTTATTGTCTGATCCGAACGACTAGCTAGTTAGTATCTAGTCTCAACCTTTGCCGGGATTGAACCCTGCAAACAATTTTGAAAGAAATGATCTAACAATAATTTATTACTTTTAGTTATTGCACTTGACCTTTTACCAAAAATATATGGTTGTTTGATTAATGATATATTTTGTAGAAATGGGATAAGTTAGCTGAAGAAGCTAAGAAAGATTATGTTAAAGCTATGGAAGAGTGGAATAATAGAGAGAGATCTGCTTCAGAGGGTAGTGATGATGAGAAAAAATCTCCGTAAGTCTCGAAGTTTTCATTGACTGTGATACATTCAATACCTCTCTTGATTACCGTGTTCACAGTTTACAGTGTTGTGAATTTCTCATTCGATATTGTATGATCCAAATTTGCAAAAAGTCAGAAATACCATTTTCACAGCAGGTATTGAATGCAGCATTATTTTCACATACTTAAGTTTTTCAATCATCTGAAATTACTAAAATCAATTTAAATTTAGTTTTATTATCTCATTTAACACTGTTGTGTTACTTTCATTAGCCCAGGGTGTGCACAAATATTGATTCAGTTCATGCTCTCATGCCCATTCTAAATTTCACTATTGATATGTTTCGCTTTGCAAAAATCAACAAGCTCCAATCAAATCTGCATTTTTGGTGGAAAATATATCTTTAATAAATTATTGTTTTTTTTCAGTAAAAAGAAAGAAAAGAAGAAAAAACCATCTTCATCACCAAGTAAGAAAGCCAGTGATACTCGAGCTGGTTCTGGTGGTGTTTATAAAAGTAAAGAATTTATTTCAAGTTCAGACTCATCTGGTGAAGATAAACCAGCTAAGAAGAAACTACGTAAAGATGGTAGCGAGAGTGAAAAGGAGGTCAGTTCAATTTGTTTACTAAAGTGGGGTTCGATTGGTCAGTTCTGAACAGGTTCTGTCTGTTCCTATTCTGCCCTCAATCGAACTGTATGGAAGCAAAATATGTTGCAATCAAAATGTTATTATACGTCTGGTTTATTCCATGAATCAGTCCTAGGGGTCACCCATCGATTGACCCCTTGGACTGTAGCAAGCAAGGCTGTACAAGAAAAAATATCCCCTTTTGAGCTCTGCCAATCATTCATATACAGTGTCATACTGATAAAAGTATGCATGTGCAGGAGAGTTCAATAGAAAGTTGAGGGGTGTCAAATAGATGACTAGTACACTTTATCTAGGCTTGACATCAAGGACAAGCTTCAGTGAAATGCACTTAAATACAAGTTTACTTATCAAACAACTCTGATAGTGCATCTAAATATTTTTGTCATTTATTGCTGTCGTGCAATATTGGGCTATTGACCAAAGTTTTTATCCATGGTTTAAGTTGGATATCATATGAGTACTGGTACCAAATAAAGACAAAATATGTCAGTAAATGTTCAAACTTTTGTTTGTTTCTTTTCCAGCTTCCATCAGAACCTGATGAAGCCACACCCAATACATCAGAAGATTCAGGACACTCTGGTAAAGATGGAAAATCAGGATCAGAATCAGATTAAACAATCAAATTGAACTTCTAGTGCTATCTTAATGACAATTTAACTATTAAATATTGTTGTTCACTTGTGAAGTATTACTCCAGCTCCAAGAAAAAATGTTGTATCTCTATGTTGTTGGATGATGAGTTGACATGGTGTTTATAAGAATAAGCATACCATGGTCATAGTAATTTGAGTTATGAAAGAAATTGTAGATAAATTTGACACTCTGGCAACTGTAGATTCTGAATCACTTTTTGTCAATACAAGATTGTAAGGAATACACCTTTTGTTCTCATCACAAAATCCCAGCATTGGGGAGGGAAGAAATATGATTGCTGTCAGTGTCATCAAAAAGATGAATGTTCAAGAAGGCCAACTTTAGACCCTTACTGAAGTGGTTGAATTAAATATAAAAATAAATATAAAAACTTAATTAAAATCAGAACAAAAGTTTGGTATCTTCAATTCGACTAGAAATAAGTTTTTTTTAACACTCCAGTCTACATCAATGCGTTTTTATGGAGGTTTTCTTTTCAATTCTCATTAAAATCATCTAAGTTGATTGAAATTCAGAAATTGCTAAAGGGATTTAGGTGAATTTTATTCTGAAAAGTGATCTGAAACTAACATCTATGAACAATTAGGGCCGTATGCAGCGCTCTTACCTTGACTAAAGATGAACTTTGGCTAAAGTCGAACTTTACAAAGTTAGGATTAAGGCTTTCATTTTCTACATTTGATAGTCAAATTTAAGCACGACTTTCGTAAAGATCGACCGGTACATACGTAAAGTTCGACTTAAGTCTAACTTTAGTCAAAGTTTAGGTAAAGTACAAGCGCTGCATATGGCCCTAAATATTGATTACTGAAGGTAAATTCAGACATTATTATAATTATATTTACTTCATGTTATAAAGATTAAAAATTCATTACAATGTTTTCTTGTTTATTGTTCATTTGTAAATAAATCATCATGTCTAATCTTGTGTTCTGTCTAATTCGTTCAACAACATTTGTTTCAAATTAAAAAAAATCCTTTTCTGAAAAGCAGCTTCGTATGTTAACTTTCATCTACCAACCAACAAAGCAAATTTAGAAAAATGATTTCAATCTTCGTGCTGGAACTATCTCAGCTGCTAAATAGAAACTGAAAGCCCAAACTCATGTTGGATTTTATGAGATACAAATTTTGAAAGCTTTGGCTCTAGTGGTGTTAGTTGCTCTGCGTTATAATCCTTTGCCAATTCATAATTTTATTGATCATATGGATCTGATATCTAATATACCACTACCAATAAACAGCAAGATTCATTGTGGAATAGTATTGAGGAAATTTACCATGTAATATAAGACATTTTCTACCCCACATTGTAAGCTGTTAGATCAAAAAAATTTCGGAAACAACCATCTTCACGCATTAGGATAGTGAGGGAGGCGAAAACCATTTTCGTTTCATTCACTTCACAAACTAGTCACAATGAGCACGTCAGACAAGTGCTGTAATCATAGATCAAAATCAGTAGAATGGATGAAACGAAGGTGTCCATAACTGACAACGCGAACTCGGTCCCAGTCGCACAGCTGATCGAAATTTGTGTACTACGTCACAATAATGGTGATTTGACCCCTGTAATGTAAGGTCATATGGAGAGGTATGCCTTCCGTCGAACTAATGACAACAGCCAGCGTTTAGATGAACTGTTGCCACAGTTAATTGATTGATCGAAAACAATATTGAGAGAAAATTAAACGACTGTATTTTATAAATACGGTTAGTTTACACTTTTGTCGTTACTTATAACACGAATTTAATGATGTGGGAAGATCTTTCTCATGCTATTTATTCGAGAAAACTCGACCCTTTCCGATTTTTTTTTTCTCTCTGTATTTCGTTGTTTCTGTTTCTCATTTGGTTGAGAATCTGCGAGACTGCTATCCTTTTATTACCTTTCTTCTTATTGCCTTACTTCCTCTTCCCTTTGATTCCAAATAAGTCTTGTTGGTAGTGGAGGATAGTTTCTCTTGCATAGGTCTGATAATAAAAGAAAGGTAAGTGTGCCGTGCTCTGTGGTGAAAGTAACACATACTATCTCGGGCCAATCTACACTTGTTGTAAGGCTAAAATTAGAATCATTCTTTTTTTGCTTGGTCACATCCTGTAATATTAAACCTCTTATGCTTATTATTGAGCAAAATACCATGATGAAGATGATTTTCATATTTCAAGACTAATGAGACATACACCCTTAGGCAAAATGGAAACAAATGACAAAGCCAGGTGCCTGTGGAAAGAGGAAGTTCTCTCTGTCTAGTGAACTACAAGCCAGAATGAGTATCTCAACCTAGTTTTCAAGAGATATATCAATGTGTAGGCTAGATCAACTGATTTTTTTTATTAGCACAAGAAATACTTGTGAAAGCGTTGATGCTTATTATATGAGTTGTTCTATATAAGAAAGCAAAGAAAATTGATACCATTATGAACTTTTTGATACAATTGATGAGTCTGAGAGTTGTTGAAATTATAGGAGATGGTGTGATATAAATCACATAATATTAGATGTCAACACAAAAATTAATACTTTAAACAGTAGGGTACTGATTGAAATCTTTAACTTAGTACACGTTCAAAATAGAGAAATAGACGAATAATTAGTTTGGAACAGACTCATAAAGATTATAAGGCTTCTTCATTCTTGTTTTCTTCAGGATATTTCATGTAGGCCTAGACATTGTAATGATTAAATTACTGTTTAGATTGACATATTGTATAGCCAATGTACCATATTAATCTTGAATTATATTCTGGTACTGTTATATTTTTATCAATTATTATGTATATATTATAGAAGATTTTTGCATTGACCCATTTTCTACATTAGTATGTCTGTACTGAAGTTAAATCTTCTTCTTCTTCTTCTTGGTGGATGGTGTCCGCTTCGGAAAAATTCCACATCGCAGACGTTGAGTAAGGAACAGGTTGCTACCATGGTTTCTTTTGATTCTTCTTCTGTAGTCTTGATGCTGCGTTCTTCTTCTGTGATTCTTCTTGGCGATCTATCGCAGACTAAGTCCCAAATGATCGCCACAAGTTAAATGTTGCCCCATAGTCATCTATATATTTGCTTACGTAAGCTTAGGCTTATTGCTTATAGGCTTTTTAAAGCTGATTGATTTCAATATTTTCAAACCAGGTTCACTGTTTGTGATATAAGATTACAGTAAATATATATACTGGTAATGTAACTTTACAACCAAATAGATGAGTACACATACAGTACGGTACCAATACAAACAGGAATTGAAAATTCTCTCTGGGCTTTTACCCTCTATTTTGATATAGAAAAAGTGGATGGGTTGAATTATAAATGTTTTTTTTTTTATCAGAAATGCAATTGATATATATCAGATTTTAAGTTACATATTTGCTAGCTTTTCAAAGATACTTACTGTGACTAATGAATCGTTTATACTGAAAATTCTAGAGGGTTAGCTTCTTAAAGGGATTGGAAGAGGTTTTCTCAATTTTTTATTTTTATTTTTATTTGCACCAATAAAATGTCTGTGGTTCCTGCAAATCTGTTATTTAAACTAAGTATTTGATGAAGTCACTAATGGCGAAGGGCCTTAAGTATGTGATAAAGCATAATTTGCGCTTAACGACATCATCAAACACTTAGTTTTAGTGGAATTGCAGGAACTCACAGATCGAAATGATGAAAATTGGAATGATTTAAATTGATGCTATCAGTGTCCCGATACATAAACAAAATTAAGAACCTCTGTACAATCCCTTCAAGTTGTCTTTTGACAAATGTACACTTCATCCATTTCTGACATAAATGATATAGGAAGAAAGTCAATAATATATGTGTATTGGCTTACTTTATTGAAATTCATTGATAGAGAATCGTTTAAGTTGAATGATATAGATCAAAATTGAAGACAAAATGAAAGCATGACTACCGATAGTTCAACAGTGTTTAGAATTTAACAGTCAAAATATGTTGTTATTGTTTGGATTTTTATATGAAAAAATTAACATGCAAGAATGAACTGAGAGGTAATGTTGGCCAATATGTTGTCAGAGCATTTCATATGAATAGAACTATAACTCAAACTATGAAAGCTGTTTTGCATTAATTATCTGATGCATGAAATACACACTAATATAGGATCATGTTTAAAGGGAATTTCGTCAATCAATTTTTGTATCTAGGAGCATGAAATACCTAAAACAGCATGCCAATTTTGAATTAAAAATACATATACAAGTGTTAAAGTCACAAACAGTTTAACAAAAATCTGCTATTTACATAAAAATTTTGAATTCCGAAGGTTCTAGTTGTTTTATTCTAGCAGACATTTGATCATGAGAAATGGATTTTTGATTGGACCACCAATTTTTAATGAACCAGTTGGCAATGATTTCACAAGTTAACGTACTTTTGGAAGTGAAGATTTGCAGGTCTGCCATTCGAAATACTATGTCCAGTGAAAAAACATGTCATTACAAATCATTATGCATAATAAGACCAGTTCTACATATTGAATTTATTCAAAATCGTCCTTTCTAAAGCTTATAAGTTACTGTGACATAATTATATGAGTTTTATGTGAATTGAAGTTATAGCATAGTAAATATCTTCAGATTTATGTTTTATATGTTGTTTCTAAATCGAAAATGTTGTCCAAAGCTTTTTGTATGTCTAGTTATGTTTTTGATACTTTAATTGTGCCGGCACACAAACAGTTTTTCGCTGATTTTTGTCACTGGTGAGAAAATCTCGCCTGTGCACGCACTTCCACAACAAGTACTGCTTTGTTGACAGGATTTATTATATCAACCAGTTTGGTATTTGTTGGCGATTGTTTTATCTTCTGCAAGACAGCGTCATTGTCCAATCAGATTCATGTTCCTTTCAATTACATGATTTGAACGTGATTATCTACTAAGTGGAAAAAGACAGACTGATGAATTTTGCCGGCAGCTGGTCATTGAAATTCTTGACAAGAATTTTCACGGACCAAGACTGTTCATGTGCCCGCACCATAAGAATTTTATACAGAAATATTCCGTATACTTTTCAGCTGTTGAAATTGTCTAGAATGAAAATTTATGCAGTAGCTGTTAGTCAAAAAACTTATTATTTCAGATAAACACTCAATAAAAGTAAACATTTCATAATCAAGATTAATTATAAGTATCTATCTTTAGTACAAGTTAAAAGTAGCTTTATATAAATATATAATAAAATGAAGCTATTATACATTTAATAAGCAGACTGACTTTAAATGAATTTCTTCTGTGGTATTAACAGCTTAAAATAGTATTCTTTATCCTTTTTATCAATTAGTAATCAACACTGTTTAAAAATAGACTGCATTCATATCTTCTTTGTCCAATCTGCTATGAAAACACAAACAATTTTTGATAGGAATTAACACCAGGATAACCTATTCTTTTGTAAATGATTAGTTACTAACCACATAAACACCAGATATATACAGATCTATTGTGTAAGATTTGATTGGCAGTTATTAAGTGCAAATATACTCTCTTGTCAATTTTAGTTAGTAGAAACCCCAGAAATTGCATTTTGGGTTTTGAGGTCTTCATGTTCATAGTTATTTCTGTTTTAATGACAGTCATTTGTTTTCTGTGGTGTAATTAATATCCTGCTTGTAACCTCTAACCATTTGTTTGGAGGTCCCTCTAAGGTATAGTCTGTGGTTCACTGAACATATTCCATTTTGATTATTTTTCCATTACACTCATAAGTACACAAGTCCATCTCTTTACCATGTCCAGCTCTTTACCATGTCCATCTCTTTGCCATTCTGATCTTAAAATTTCTTTTTTTTGTCTTTTCAGATTTGAAGATATATTATCTGGCATGAGCCAGAATTTGGTATCCGCCTATGGCCAATCGAGGTGAGCTGCCATCTGGGGTGTCTGGCAGAAGAAAAAGTCGACACAGTGGTTCTGATGTTAGTTTACATCATACAAATAGTTTGGAGGACACTTGTTCAACAAACACTGAAGTCGTTAAAAAATCAGATGAATCTAAAAAGGCCTCAAAGAGGTCTGCAACTAATGTGACAGATTCTGAACCTAGTAAAAAACAATCTAAAAATCAAACCCACACCAAGAACACAAAAGGAAAATCCTCTTCTAAAACTGAACTAAACCCAAAAAGTGCCTTAGAATTGGAACTCGAAAGTGAATCAACAACTGGAAATTCCAAAAGGAAAAACTTGAGATCTACTAGACAATCTATATCCAAATCAAGCACTAGTAAGAGTAAAGCTAAAAAACTAAATAATAAGGCATCATCATCTAAAAGTGAGAAAGGGAACTTAGTAGTATCGGCAGAAAAAACAATAACAAAACAATTAGTGTGTACTGCCGTGAGAATCGATGACCCAGTAACCGAAAAATCAAATACTTCAATATCTTCTGGTAAACGTAGGTGTCTGCGCTCATCTGATTCCTCAGCAAACCCAACTCCAACTCAATCACAATCCAAAATAGGTTCCTCAGCCAGTCAACCTAAATCGAAAGGGAAGGGCAAGCTCCCCAAAAGAAACCGATCTGCAAGTCATTTAACATCTTCCTCATCAGTTGATCAATCAGACAATTCTAAAGCTAGTGGGATGTCGACTGGAAAAGATGACCCAAAAAGTAGTAATGCAGATCAATCAAACCTTGAAAGACCACAAGGTGCTGCAGCCAGACCAGTTGATGAAGCAGATGATACCGACATGGGAAGACTTCAAGCTCTTTTGGAAGCAAGAGGTTTGCCATCACAGTTATTTGGAGCACTAGGCCCACGAATGCATCAATTCTTACATAGAACAATGAGTGGTGGTACAATGAGTAAAGTTCAGCAACTTCTACAAGGATTACAAGCAACAGGGGATGAAGGTCAACAGTTAACAGCTGTCATGGAAATGTGTCAGCTCTTGGTCATGGGAAATGAAGATAGCTTAGCTGGATTTCCAGTAAAGCAAGTAGTTCCTGCATTGATTAGCCTTCTTCACTTGGAGCACAATTTTGACATAATGAATCATGCTTGTCGTGCGTTAACCTACATGATGGAAGCACTCCCAAGATCTTCAGCTGTGGTTGTAGAAGCAATTCCAGTATTCTTAGAAAAGCTTCAAGTTATTCAGTGTATGGATGTAGCTGAACAAGCTTTAACAGCATTAGAAATGATATCAAGACGTCATAGTAAAGCTGTACTACAGGCTGGAGGAATAGCTGCTTGTTTGATGTTCATAGACTTTTTCAGTATCACAGCTCAAAGAAGTGCATTAGCTGTAGTAGCAAATTGTCTTCAGAGTCTTACTTGTGATGATTTCCATTTTCTAAGAGACTCACTCCCACTATTAAGTTCCAGATTAAATCACCAAGATAAAAAATCAGTAGAAAGTGTCTGCAGTGGATTTTCAAGAGTTGTTGAAAATTTCCAGAATGATCAACGTTTGCTGAAAGAAATAGCTGTACACGGTTTACTCACCAATCTTCAACAACTATTAGTTGCCAGTCCACCTATTGTCAATTCAGCAACATTTGTTATGGTAGTACGTATGATGGCAATTATGTGCGGAAACTGCCCAGACCTTGCAGTTATTCTTTTGAAACAGAGCATAGCAGATACATTATGTCACTTGCTGGTCGGTCCTCAAGATGAAAACAGTACACAGATTGAACTAGTATCCAGAACTCCACAGGAACTTTTTGAAATAGTTTGCCTTATTGGAGAACTTCTACCTAAACTACCTGCAGATGGTGTATTTCGAATTGATTCCCTTCTTGGTAGAAATGCTGGATTTAGTGTTGATACTATAGCATGGCAATGGCAAGATGATAGAAATATATGGCACTCTTATACACCCATTGATAGCAGAATCATTGAAGATGCTTACAATGCTGCAGAAGATGAAATAAGTTTAACAACAGTTGGAAGGACATACACTGTGGATTTTAAATCCATGCAACAGATAAATGAAGATTCCGGAACAGCTCGTCCAGTTCAGAGAAAGATTCATTCTTCAGGACAACCACAACAACGTGGATCTGACTGTTCACTTGATTGCTGTGACTCCAGAGAAGAATTTCTTAAAGAAGATCACCAGCTTGCATCAAATTTTATCCAGTCTTTATTTGCAGTACTGTATGAGGTCTACAGCTCCTCACCTGGTCCTACAGTTAGACACAAATGTCTACAGACAATTCTAAGAATGGTCTATTTTGCTGCGGGTGATCTCCTTAAAGATGTGCTGATAACCCAACCAGTTTCAAGTCACATTGCTGGAATGATGGCTTCTCCAGATTTGAAAGTTGTAGTTGGTGCTTTACAATTAGCTGAAATTTTAATGCAGAAATTACCAGACATTTTCAGCATCTACTTCAGAAGGGAAGGTGTCATGCACCAAATAAAAAGACTCTCTGAATTAAAAGTTGTAGTCCCCAAAACACCAACAGAAAAAGAACCTGGTGGAGCATCATTTTTTAATGCTGGACCATCAGGTGGTGCCTCTGCTTCAAAGCATAGCAAATCTGCAGTAAGAGTTAAAGAAGATACATCTACAGCTTCTAATACATCTTCTGATGATCATGGACCTGCATCGTCACACATGTTCTTCAGGTTGGGGGATGTCTTGAAAAGAAAACACACTCCCAAACGTCCAAGGAAAGGAAGTAAACCTGAAGATCCATCAGAGAGTGGATCCAAGAATGCTTCAGCAACCAGTAGCAGAACTTCTAGAAGAGGAAAGCATTCCTCTGACAACTCAGATTCAAAATTAAGTGGTGCTACCCCTAAAATGTCTTTCCTGCCCAGCCTAAGAAGTTGGAGTAGATTGAGTAATTCCAGCCATTGTGAAAGAATGTCAGTCTCCAAGGAATCTGAATCCCACAAGTTTGTCAGATGTTCTGAGAACAACAAGGAGAAAATTAGATCTTGGATTAAAGAGGAGGCAACAAAATTCCTTGAAAACAACACCACCACAGAATCCTGGAGCAATAGTCATCCTTCTGTACAGATTCTTGGTAAATTATGTGATGCTGCAGAGGCTCTTACAGTTGAAAATGATAATGGATTAGAACCTCTTCAACAGATAGCAACTATAACACGAGAAAGCGACATATCACCATTTGAGATTATCCACAGCGGACTGGTTAAGAAACTTTTACAATATCTAACGAAATCAAATGGTGCAATAAACAGAAACGCCCGAATTCAACGCTTTTTGCATGTCTTCCTGTCTTGCCCCCCTCCTGATGTGATCTACATTAAAGATATGCCAGGGGAATTAGATGGTCCACCACCCTTGGCTGTCTTAATAAACAAATTATTGGGTTGTCTTCATCAGTTGGAGCAGTTTCAGATTCGTGTCCACGACTTACCTGGGGCAGGAGGCATGAGTGGAAGAGGATCAAATGCCTTGAAATTTTTCAGCACTCATCAACTTAAATGTAATCTACAACGACATCCTTCAGCAACCAATCTCAGACAGTGGAAGGGTGGTCCCGTGAAGATTGATCCTCTAGCTCTAGTTCAAGCTATAGAAAGGTATTTGGTTATTCGTGGAATTGGAAAGGTAAAGGACGGTGAAGAAGATATCAGTGATGATGGAAATTCAGATGAAGACTTTGAAGACACCATGTCAGCTGTGTGCATCAGTCAAGGAACAGTTCAACATAAATTGGAGTTCTTGATTGGAGAGAGACCTTTGTCATATGAAATGACAGTTTATGAAGCCATTAAGCAGTTTAGTCATCCAAGTGATAGAGAATCAGATTCTGAATCAGAAGCACCCATTGGTAATGCTAAAATCTGGGCTCAAACTCACACCATTTGGTACAGAGCTTACAGTGACAAGGAAGATACTCTTAATGAGGGTCCCAAAAAGAAAGGAGACCACACCAAACCAAAAACAAGCAAAAAGTCAGAAGACTCTCACAAACATAAGATGGAACATAAAGCAAGAACACAATCTCTTGTGAGCTCATACTTAACTGATCAGTTACCTGTATATTTGACTGTGCAAGATACCTCATTGGAAGTAATATCATTACTTAGAGTGATCCATGCTATTAATATACATTGGTCAACCTTTTATGAAATTTCATTTTTCCCAAAACCTATTCTACCAATCTCAGACTTCATCAGCAGTAAACTGACTGCCAAAGCCAATCGCCAACTTCAAGACCCTTTGGTCATTATGACTGGAAATCTGCCGAAATGGCTGGGAGAATTGGGATCTTTCTCATCCTTCCTCTTCCCATTCGACACCAGACAGTTGTTGTTCTTTGTCACAACCTTTGATCGTGATCGAGCCATGATGAAACTACAACAAGATAGTGGTGGAGATAATAGTCAGAATGACAATGAACGAGTAGCACCAAGATTGGACAGAAAGAGAAGAATGGTTAATAGAAATGATCTCTTGAAACAAGCTGAACAGATCATAGATGAACTTGACAAGTCTAAAGCTTTGTTGGAGATTCAGTATGAAAATGAAGTAGGAACTGGATTGGGTCCAACTCAAGAATTTTACTGCTTAGTCTCACGAGAATTACAACGAGCTGATTTAGATTTGTGGAGAGGAGAAGTTATTGATATGACCAGTCATGCTGATCCAGATACGAAAATTCAGTTGATGCATTCACCTTGTGGCCTTTTCCCTGCTCCGTTACCCAAATCTGTGAAAGCCTCCTACCTTCAGAAAATCAAATCAAAATTCAGATTTTTGGGGAAGTATTTAGCCAGATCTTTAATGGATTCTAGAATGTTAGATATTAGATTCAGCCAGGTCTTCTTTAAATGGTGCTTAGGACAGGAGGAGAGCTTGACCTCAGCTGATCTCATCTACATTGATCCTGTTTTGGCTCGGTCACATAAACAACTGGAGGCCATTGTTCATCAGAAAAAACAAATCGTAGCCGACAAGTCTCATACAGATGAAAGTCGACAACTAGCTTTAGATAGTCTAACCATGGATGGCTGTAGTATTGATGATCTTAACCTTTATTTTGTATTACCTGGATATTTCCAAGTCGAATTGAAAAAAGGTGGGAAAGACAGTCAAGTTTCTTTGGATAATCTAGAAGAATACCTTCAACTACTTGTACAATGGAATTTAGTTGATGGTGTTTCACGTCAGTTCCATGCATTCCGCGAGGGATTTGAATCTTTAGTATCATTAAATTCATTACAATGTTTTTATCCTGCTGAACTTGAACAGTTGTTCTGTGGTAATATCAATGAAATTTGGGATATGAAAATGTTAATTGAATGTTGTAGACCAGATCATGGTTACACTCAGGATAGTCAAGCAGTGAAGTTTTTGTTCGAAATTCTCAGTGATTATAATTCTAAGGAACAGAGAGACTTTATTCAGTTTGTGACTGGTTCTCCATGTTTACCAGTTGGTGGGTTCCGCAGTCTTAATCCACCATTAACAATTGTACGCAAAACCTTTGAATCAACAGAAAATCCAGATAACTATTTACCATCAGTAATGACCTGTGTGAATTATTTAAAACTTCCTGATTATTCAACAAAAGACATAATGCACGAAAAGATAAAATTTGCTGCTCAAGAAGGACAGCTTTCGTTTCATTTGTCTTAAGTTATAAAGGAAACTATAAAGCATACATAAACTAAGAAGTGTATATTTTATTTATTGTGTATTATGGAAAGCATATTAATATCTGCTTGATTTTCTCATTGTGATACAAAAGTAGTGATGAGCGTAAAATAACTAACATCAAAATAGCAATAATATCCATTGAGAAATATATTTTTGGAATAGAAGTGACAAATATAGTGTGTTGAAAGAGAGAGAGATGTAAAATGTTGAAACATGGTTTTCGAAATTTTCAAAGAATAGTTTATTTTCCAAAAATGTTCAGAGATTTAGTCTGACTTAAGTATTCTATATTCGTGGATTCTTAAAATTTAAAATTGTCTAATGAATGATCAAATGTATAAAAGAATTGAAACTTAGATTTTTTGACATTCTATCTTTCGATGAGGTTGAAATCAAATATGAGTGCTTTTAGAACGAAAATCTCCATTTCAAAATCGTGTGTGAGATTATCAAGAATTATCAGGAAATGAAGATATGCATTGGAATAAAAATTATTATGTAACTGAACTGTTTTCAGAAGTTACAATGTTGTTAGAGAACTATATAATTTTGACATTGTAAAATCCAGCAGATCTTAGCAAACAGAAATTCTACATGGAAGAAATGTAAAATGGAGGATGGTAAATAGTGTCTCAAATATTGTCATCTTAAATAGTTTTTGTTTTTCACCAATTTCATTTGGGTTTAACTTGTATGGTATTGGAAAAACAATCATTTGTAAATCATTTTAACAGTCATTTTATGCAATGCAATTTATCAAGCAGTAGATTCTGCAAGAAGATAAATCACATTGTGTAAATAGGCTGACCAATGGTAATTGCTAAATACTATTCCGTCTCTGACAACAAATTTACAAAATATCATTGTTGAAATATCATGTTGCTAAGCATTTATGTTTTGTATGTGATCTCTGCCTTCTCTCTGAAATTACTTTAGATAGGCCATGTTCTTAATTTGATAATGACTGTAGAACTAGATATTTTGCTATCTATGCCATCCATGATCTGAGGAAATTCTGCTTCAAATCATGTTCTGTTGAAGTGGGTCATTATTTATGTTAACCAATAAAAAACATTTTAAAATGGGATGACAATTAAAGTCAGTGTTAAACAACAAATTTTCCCAATTCATCACACTTTGCAGATTGGATTGGTTAGTTATTTGAGCGACTTCACCACCACTTAACATAACAACTTCCATAGATCACGGATGGCAAGTAGTCAGTAGAAAGGGACGAATTCATCTAAATATTTGCTTAACCAGTCAAATAGCACCCAATTTCATCTGCCTCTACATGTAACACTTTTCAAGATTTAATTTCAACATTAGGTTTTCCTACAATTAAGAGAATGTGCATTGGGGAGGGGTAGACTGTCATGTGCAATGTCCAGGAAATATGCAAGAGAAAATGATGGCTAACTTTTTAATTGTAAAGAACTGGGTGTTGAATTTTTGTTCTAATAGATATTGCAAATAGTTGATATAGTGTTGTATCAGCTGATAAAGCGGATATTAAGACTACAATATAAAATTTATAACTTGACAGAAATTGTTGACACTGTATAAAAATGAGATCTTAAGGACATCTGGAAGTCTTTATTTGAGATATTGAACCTTAGTAATTGTGAAATGTCACACCTTTAGGATGTCTGATTCCACACCTTAAGGATGTCTGATTCCACACCTTTAGGATGTCTGATTCAGCCATAGAAATCCGATTTGTTGCCTTAAAGAGATTGTAGATGTAGATTTTTCTAAATTTGATGTATTAAGCAATACTGATAGCATCAATTTGCACCATTCCAATTTTCAATCAGATGTCTGAGCTATTTTCAATTCAACTCCAACTAAGCATTTCATGATTATTATTATTATATTTAAGGCTCTTGTGATAGTGATGTCATAAAATACTTAATTTTAGTGGAATTGCAACAACCACAGACGTTGATTGAAAATTGCAAATGGATGCTTTCAGTGTCCCTGATACACATAAAATGTTAAGTAAATCTCTTTACATTCACTTTAAGGCAGCTGGAGACGACTATAGACATAGCATTGGTTTCCTTATTGACATGTACACAGGCTGAATACATTCTTATACTTTTCTGTGTTGCCAATTGACACTTTTACATTCACATTTATTTGCTTTTGCTAATCTAATTATTGAATATGGATAATTACTTTGTTTTATTTTGAATAATATTTTATGTAGTTAGATATGTTTTGTAGTTATGAAGATTAGAGATAGTTTGCAAAAATTTTAGGACAACACTTTAAGTTTGAAATAAGATATTTATGTGGAATCATATGAACTTGATATGGTCATTGAAATATTTAGCTCTGACACTGACAGCATCAATTTGCACCATTCCAATATCAGATGTCTGTGGTTCCTGCAATTCCACTAAAATTAAATGTTTGATGTCACTAATTGCAAAATATCACAGACATCTGATTGAAAATCGGAAGGGTGAAAATACACATACAAAATTTAGAAAACCTTTTTACAATCCCTTTAACTGTACCAATGCCATCATTACAATTCTATAGCGGCCCAATTTTCAAATTGACCACTTGCAGGGACGTGAGGATTACTGACATAGAATCTATATTGTTATCCATCCTTTCTAATAACTGTTGATATTTCACAATATTTCTGTGTCATGGCCAGAAACATAATACATTGTATATGTGTGATTTTTTAGAAAATTATGTTAGTTGAACTCATCTTAGTTAATTGTTGATTATGATGCCAATAATAGTCTTAGTCAGCCACTTGCCAATTCATATAACATACATTAAAATATTTAATAACATATTGGATAGGTTGTGGACTGCCATAGACATCAGTGCTGTTCTATAGACTAAATTTATCAACCATGTATGATGGGCATTTACAATGGTCAGTTATGATTATGGACATGACATTCCTATGAAACTGACCATATTTCAATAACTAGGATACTGAATGATCAAATGCCTATCTCAACACAATTGAAAAACATACACATATTGGCATGGTCCACTTTCACTTTGTTTTCATTTTTTCCTAGATAAATGTAGAAATGTTTCAGCTACATACAGCTGAATTAAGTTTTGTTTCTGTATCCATTGTAATAACTAGTGGATCTAATTTTGTGGGTTTAATCACTTTCTGAAGAATGTATATATTTATCACTTATGTTTTTTTTCTTCTTTTACATGTACATTGCTAATGAGTATTTGAATGTGATATTTGGGTGATTGTTTGTGTATATAATATTCAATATGTACTGTACAGTTATCAATATGTACAATATCAAACCATATATATAACATTGCTTGATATATAACTAGGCATAACTATATGGATACCAATTACTAACCTTTGACCTTTATATGATGTAATTTCTGTATATCATTACTAAACAAAGATTATACAAAATCATAATATCCAACTAGCAGTGGGGTCTTCTGTGGTCAGAATGGATAAGGCTAAGCATCTGAGCGTAATGTCAGCAAAGCACTGCAAGTTATGAATAAACTAATTTATAAAAGTTATTGGTATCTATATATTTCTGTCCAGTTATATGCTATTCAAAAACAAATAATTGACACTCAAAGAAGATAACTTTATATAAGATAAGTTACATGAATACTGTTTCTAAACTAATTCCAAAAATGTCATTAAAATTCGTAGGTTGGGCTTCTTGTTTTGAGTTATCAGATTATAAGATTTGCCATTTTCCATCACAAGCCAGTAATTTGATTAAAATTGGATCAATGTTGGGATTTATAGGAAATTAGTTATATTCTTTATTTTCAAAACTCTAAGTAGCAAATTATTAGATATGTGCTGTATGATGAAAATTTGTAATGACCTTGCACTCATAATGACATTTAACATGTCTCTTTTGTGAGTCCAGGTGAAAAAAACAAATACATTTGTGCAAGTTAAAACTGACTGGTAAAAGTATAGAATTAGACTGAAAATAAAAATTCAAATATCACTTATCTATGACCTTGTGTCGAAGTTGATTTATTGAAATTGTTATTAAAATAATATTGTAAAATAATTTTAAACCAAACTGTAATCTAATAGTACATTCAAATCAATAAAAATGTTACATTTACTCTTGTGTTACTGTTGTTCAGTGTTATTCTGATTGAAATGTAAATGTGGTTGGTTTATTTCCTGCGAGGGACTCTCACTTGCCCCCCACCTTGATCTGACGAAATGTTTAGCACCTCCTGTTCCTTATTCGACATAAATAATTCACATTGGATACTATTTGGGCAACATTTCACAGAACTCGTTTTAGAGAAGAATCTGGCCAGATCATGAATCTGACAAAAACAGATAATTGGCCATGAGGACTCTATAAATATGCCAAATGGATTAACCGAATTAAATTGTATAATCAACACCAAAGACCCAGTGGTGAATTAAATTGTATAATCAATACCAAAGACCCAGTGATAAATAATATCGTTTATTATGAGGTATTTAAAACATATAAGTAAGTTCAATAATATCACATATTGAAGTAAGACTGAGAATATAGCACCTGTTTCTTAAAAAAAATCCTACAGTGAAAAATTGTTGTAACTGTAATTTTACACTGAGAAATACCATATGACAAAAATTGATCGTATTATGCTTTTTCAAGAAACAAGACTCAGCATTGCACATCTTGCTAAAGGCATTCAACATCATTAAACTGTCAAAAGAGTTAACACTTTGAACACTCATAAAGCATATGATGTTCATATTATGTGATGTCACTTGTTAACGGGTGCTTTACTGGCCATATTTGGGTTTATGTTGCTAGGGTTAGGTCTATACCATTAAGGACTATATTGTCAAATAGTGATCATTGTCGTGGCTGAGTGTTTTTAAAATAGAAATCCATCCCACGTTTAGTTGGTTGCTGCTGACCTCCACAACCTCTACCACCCCCTCTGGTTGCTCCGCCAACTTTACCCATGTGACGTCCCCATTCTGGGGCTATGACTAGAGGTTTTGGGTAGGTTTGAGCTAAGACTACATTGGCACGAGACAATACTGTAGAATTTAAGGCCCAGACTGTGTGCACGTCCCCTCCTTTAACTTGATTCAACTCTGGAATCCACAGTCTGATATAATCTCCATTGGGATCATAGTCTAGTCCTTGTTTTACCATATTGAACTTCCTGTCTTGACGAGGATCATTACCGATACCAGCACTATATTGCCAGTTGCCATAGTTACTACACACATCATGGTCAATTAACATGGATTCAAACCATTCAGCACCTAGTCTCCAATCTAATTTTAAATCTTTAGTGAGGAAACTTGCAACATTTTGTCTACCTCTATTAGACATAAACCCAGTGGCAGCTAATTCCCTCATATTGGCATCAACATAAGGCACCCCAGTTCGACCTTCCTTCCATGCAATGAATGCATTTGTGTCCTTTTTCCACGGTAGATGCATTCTCCTTATACCATTCAAGAAAAATATTTCATTTCCATATTTCATTGCCACAAATCTGAAATAATCTCGCCATAACAGTTCAAATATTACCCAATAAGTTGATTGATTAGAAATCCTCTCCTTTTCATACCGTTTAATTTCCGAGTAGATAAATCTTGGAGAAAGGCATCCATGAGCTAACCATGGTGCAAACTTGGTGGAATAGTCTGCACCTATCATACCATTCCGAGTTTCCTTATATTTGGCCACTTTGTCAGTCTCCCAAAAATAATACTTGATTCTATCAAGCCCTGAAGTTTCTCCACCACTATAAGGAAAGGCTGTTCGACTGTCTTGTGGAACATTTTCAACTCCCAAATCTTCACAAGTAGGAATATTGCCTTCTTCAATGCCTTGAGGTAATGGTTTGAAAGTTTCTGGAGTTGGTATAACAGATCTGACAGAGCATTCTGTCTCTGCTCGTTTACGAAATTGAGAGAACACGTCTGGTAATTGCTTGATTGAAAATGATAAGTCATCTTTATGAAATAAGGTAGAATTCCAAAATGTCTGGATTTTGACACCACAAGATTTATTCAGTGCAGCTTCCACATCTATTTCTTCTTGGGTCACCTCTTGTGTATAAACTAATGAGCTTACAAATTCTGGACCCACAGATTTGATCAACTCTGGTATAACTTCTTCAGGCTTCCCCGTTCTCACAATCAACCCACTTCCTTTACTTTTCAATCTACATCTTAAATCTTGCACACTTTCAATTAGAAACTTTAACCTATGGGGACCAGTTTTAGCAAAACCAAAGTGGTATGTTCCTTTAAAATGCCTTGGATCAAAGCAATATATCGGTAAAACTTGACTTCCGTGTTTAAAGGCCCACAATAATGCTTCGTTGTCATGAATTCTTAGATCATTCCTGAGTAAACAAATTATTACTTTTCCTGCCATTTTAAATCTTTCTTCCCACCTGAAATAGCAACGTTTCAATATTTTACATAACCAAAATATTATACTTATATAAATGTAGTTAAAGGGAGATAATTTGCTCTTCTATACACGAAGTCCACAAGAACGTAATCAAATCTATAGTTTGCAATTCAAGATATATTCCTATTCAGATATTAGTCATTTTGATACAAAACAATGCCGTGAATCCAAAAAATTCAATATTGACTGACCAGTGGAATTTAAATTGGATTAATCATTATCTTAGAGCCAAAACCGATGCTCCCTTGAAAGTAATACACCGAAATCTTGATCAACCAGACTCTATTGTGAAATCCATTACCATTTAAGTCTTGATAACTATGACAATCGTGTACCTACGGCATCATAACACAGTAACAACCGCTTAAAAATGCTTAGAAGAACTAACATTTACCTCTATCTAAGAACCAGTAACCCTCTAAACAGTTTGATATGCCCGATGTGTGGAATCAATAATGTTTCCACGTCAAACTATACAACAGAACCAACTTACAATCGATATTCAAAGAAAAAGAGCAATCAAGGGAGGTAATGTTTGACCAAGAATTGACTGGGAGTAAACCTTGAACAAAATTCTAGCGACAAGATATATTTGTAGTCTGTCTATACAATAAATTCTCAAAGAAATTTCGATAGCCCTTCTGAATACCTCTAGACTATTTAATGCTCCTGTTCTATCATTTGGCTTATTACAAAACTAGTTTTACATATGAGGATTGTGTATATAAAACACATGTTGGTAGTTTGAGATGAGCTCTGTTTATAGTCACTTCTGTTTTCTTTGGCATTCATTCATTTCAATCTACTGTTAGAAAATGACAATTGACCAATAAAGAAATCTGATTTGCCAAGTCAAAGACTGATCAGTGTTGGCTAGTCATAATTGTTAGTTTAAAATCTTCAATATTTCAACAATTTTATTTTCAGCAATGCAAGTTATCATGTTCCTAAACAATTTAAACCTAAGGCTGAAATTCTGTTTGGAATTCACCCAGTTTTGAGTGCCTTGCTCTCTGCTAAGAGGACAAACTTTCATAGTTTATATCTGCGACAACCAGATGTGGAACTTGAAGAAACTCAAATCAATGACAAACTGTTTAAAATAGAAGAACTCGCTAGAGATAGACATCTAGAGATAAAATATGTCAACTCTAAAGTTTTGACTGGTTTATCTGAGGGAAGAACTCATCAGGTAAATTGCATTGGGATTATGGGCCCTGGAATTTGAAAAGTTTATCTTAATAAAAATATTTGTTCGTAAGAATTTTATGAAATGGGGCCTTTACATATTGGTGGAATTGTGCGTTTTGTTTTCCTTATTTCATGGATGACAAGTGTAGCTACTGGCATTAATAAATATACAACAAGAACCATCCAGATCTGCAGATTAAAATAGAGTTGTTTCACGCTAGGAAATGAATTTCAACATTTTTTTGATTGTGTATTTGTTTGTAGGGTGTATGTTTAGATGTAAGTAGATTACCAGTTAAAAGATTTTATAGTATAAAAGATAACATCATACAACGGTATGTTACAATGTTAATTTCTTGGGCTTTAACTTGTCATTACAGAACTTTTTCAACATTTTTGTTATTCTTTATCAAAAGAGATCATAGTTTTCTAAATTCAAAGCTTCATTGAACTAAAGGTTTGAATCAAAATGCATATCTTATCAGAATTCCTTAATATAATTTCTTCTCCAAATCCTCTTTTTACCTTGTTAAGCTAAGCCTAGGCCAGTAGTTGAGCATCTCCATTAAAAGGAAGGTATTCATTTGCACAAGAAGTTTGATCCAAATTCAAAGAAACTAAAGTCTTCACATCCAACAAGATAATAGATTTTTTATTTAAACACATTAGGGTCAAATTACTCTAGCAATCTCTTTTTCATGTGAAGAATATATCACAATTTGATTCTGGAAATCCAAGCCAAATTTGAGCTCTGTTGAACTGTATTTCGTTATAATTTGTAGATGGCAGCAAACAACTGAAAATAATCGAGTAAAATTTCCAGTTTGGCTTCTAGCTTATAAATTATTGGTAAGCTCTTCTTATAGATTATTAAAGATAATAATTAAACTATTTTGAGCACTGTTAGCTATTATTTGCACCTTTATGATTATTTTGTGTTTAGTGTTTGGAAAATTGAAAACAAAACAAATAGAAACTATGTACATTCCAAATACAAAGACAAACCTAAAAACTCTCTTCATAGGCCTTTACAAATTTAGGAAGTTTCCCTTTCTTCAGGTATAAGGAAAATTTTGCTCAGCTATGCCAACTCAATGTTCTGCTGGACAGTTCTTGATTTGTCATCCTGTACAAAAACTAGATACTTCTTCAATTTGAGTTGTAGAGCCTAAGTCCATAACAAGGGAATCAAAATACATTTAAACAAATATGAGCCAATAAGATGTGTTAAAATTTCAGGATCCAAACAATTTAGGGGCTATATTAAGATCAGCATATTTCCTTGGTGTTGATGAAGTTATTGTATCTTCTATTGACAGGTAATTTACTTTTATATTACTTCATGTACATCATTTTATTACCCTGATGCATATTACAAATGATTACAATTGAATGATGAATGACGATGTAGCTTCTAGATCGTAAGAAATTATTAGTCTAAAGATATATGAAAAGTGTGCTGCTGTATCAAGGGCTAGATATCTACTGACACTGGAGACCTTGATAAATCAAGATGGTTATCAAAAAAGAAAGATACAACTATTTTTACAAAGATAAAAACTTAGATTCATTAGGATCGTGTCTACGAGTTTGTCTTTGGCCAAACCTCTTGGCATTATTCGTTCCTGGATTATTTTTACCCATTTAAAGCTGGGTCAACTACCATTTGTTTAGAATAACACGCAAGTGATGTCATTTTTAAATTCTAAACTCTAACTGACTTTGCTACAGTCTATACATGTATTCATTATAGCTGTAGAATGACACCAATGACAAGTAAAGCTAGTTCTGGTGCTATGGAGATAATGTCAGTTCATAGTTTACCACCTGATATATCTCATCATCTATCATTTATTCAGGTAAGTATAAACTTACTTATCAATCCAGGCTACAAAAACAAGAAAATCATATACCAAAGTGGTTTTTATAGCCGTCGTTACAAAATGACGTTATACCTTAGTGTCACATGCATTATGTTATATAACTTGGAGTTCAGGGTATATGACTTCTTATTTCATTTACACTCAGTGTTCAAAGGGTAAACATCTAAAGCCACTAAATTTTCTTAGACGTAATATAAATCAACACTCGAGAGAACTCTTGAAGCTAATTGAACATAGAACTTACAATAGCAGTCTGTATAACTTTGAGGTAAAGCAAATTGTATTTGAAATTAATCTTACTCTTAAAATTCTCTGCAGAAATATTAAAACAGAACCTAAAAAAACCATGTTGTTATTACTCCAGAGTTACACACTCTGCGATCTTCAGATAACTGACCTATTTCAGCCTGAGTCTGAGTTGGACAAGAAGAAATTATTCTTACGTCTACACTACACAACACAAGTTCAGAAAGCTTTCCTGTACATAAATTTGACTGCTCCGATGATCTAAAAAAAAATCTTTCCTTGACTCTAGTTAATTAATTTGATCTATTTTGTATGTTGTAGCTATGGAAGGAATGTGGAGGAGTGGTAATTGGAACAGAAAGTAATGAAGTATCCAAATCACAATGTGTTTCACAGTTTAACATAAACGCTCCTGTTTTATTGGTAATAGGTAAGTCATGGTTCAATTACTCAAGTGATACTTTGCATGCTTAAAGGGAAGGGTTTGGCATGGGTTAGACCAATGGTCTCAGAAACAGGAATTAGTTTTCACAGCTCACAGTCGAAATTTAAGACTTCAAATCCATGTTTGAAAGTTTAAAAGACGACTCTTCTGTTGTTGTGACTATATATATGTATATAGAAAAGACTAATACATAATGTATTAAAATAGTTCAAAGTGTATTTTGAAGGAATTATGTGATTTCTAGTACTTAAATAAATAATACAAATATGAATATGTATATGTAATAGTCTTCAGAAGTACTAGAAATCTTCGAATATATTTAGACCCAAATCAACCTGGAAAATGGCCAACCTCTCCCTTTAACAAATCTAAACACCCTAGAAGGCACATTTCTTAATGGATTTGGATAGAACTTATTGTTTCATCATGCATGGATGAAATCGATCAACAATTAAAAAAAAATTGGTTGTGAACTTTTTGAAGGCGATGACTAAAGGTTAATTTTTTTTTTTGGTTTCCTGTTCTACCAAATGTTGTGATTTAATCAAAGCTGTCTGGCAATCTAACTTCTCAATTGATATTGTAGGAAATGAAGGTTTTGGTATTGATGATAAAATAATAGATGTTTGTGATACTTTGTTTACTATAAATCCTGGCCGTCAACAATATAATGATTTAGTGACATCTTTAAATGTTTCTGTAGCTGCTGGTGAGTATGTTTTATATACTAATGTTTAATTCCACATAGAAATGGCAAGACAGTTGAAAAATGTCCCATTCAGAAGTATATACACAGATTTGGGGTTATAGTCTATTTGTTATATGAACTTCATACTTATACTTTGACTGAAATAGCCACTATTGTAGTGATTTGATTGAATTGTATGCTAATGAATACAGTCAATCAGAGCCCTTAACAGAAATGCTGTAAACATTATGGCTTTGTATTTACAGATTTTCTGTCAAGGTCTCTGATTGGCTATATTCCCTAGCATATAATCAAATCAAACACTTCATTTACAAATTTCCATGATACAAGAAAGGTGACTATTGCAGTCAAGGTATAAGTATGAAGTAGGTAATAGTTTAACATTGTGAAGATGATTATACATATAAATGTTATTAGGTGACTACCTGAGAAAACTCCATTGTTCTACCACCAAGGTTTCCAGTCAAGACCAGATAACAAACCCTATACTGTGCCTATTTAAAGGCTTCTTCAGATGTTAGAAATCAGAGTTTCATAATGTGGTATATACTCTTTATGTTTGATAATTGACTATATATTTTTAAGGTATATTACTACATCAATTGCTGTTAAAGAACACCAAGACGTGACAGAGAGATTACTATTATTGTTAAAGCCTTAAATCACAATGATGTTAAAATACCATTGTGGTACATTGGAATAAAAATGGTGACTCTATGAATTGTGCATAGTCTGAACAAATGAAGAAATAAATTAATATACTTAAATTATCTATTTGTAATTCATTTAGGAAACAAATTCATTTACTCTTACAGTTTATTTGATGCCACCAAATTGTGATGTTAGTTCCTTTAGGAAACAAATTTATATATTTTATTCTGCCAGTTTATGTTTCCTAGACTTTTCTGCATATTCTATTTATCACTTCATTTACACATGTAGTCTATAATAGGCTGTTATGGCCAAGTTGTTAATGTCCCTCATGAAAATCACAATAATGTTCTTAAACACCTTTTCTTCACTTAACACCTTCTCCTTTTTCAAGTGTGGCATCAATTTCTTTATTTAAATCTTCTTTGGAAACCTAAACATAGACAAAAAGAGTCATTTATTAAAGATGGGTTCCCTTAATTTTGTTTATGAAAATTAAAATGCTACTACTTATATGAATAGAAAGTAAAGGTGTTCTAATGACTTGGAAAAATGTCCATAATTAATTCATAATTAGATAAATTAGAAGAGAATTACCAGCAAAATTACAATGAGTGGCCGATCAAGAAACGTCAAAAAGTCTTTTTTTGTTTATCCAGACTGTTAAAACTCTTAATTAGATTCAATAATAATAAAATGATAGGATTAGGAATATATGATAATTCATTAGAAACACCAATTAATCAAATAGTTTACTTAATTTGACACTAAAAAAATAAGGAAAACCATCTTTAAGACAAAGAAATTCTTGTAAACAAGAATGAAATTAAATATAATACTCATAATTGAGATAATAAAGACAGACAACACCTTGTAGTAAGCAATGATATTATATATGACTCTATTACATCACCGTCAGACAAGAGATTTATTATCTTTGCTTATGTTACAATCAAATCCTGACTCTTAGGTAAGCAATCTTAAGTTGCTTGATCACCCAAGCTTTATAAGAAATGGTGGACATTTACTTACTTTGCCTTTTCTAAACTTCTTAAATAATTTCATATCATCATCTAATTCATCTAAATCACCTTGACTCATTTCTTCTTGTTTTCTTTTTTTCTTTCTAGCTCTCCTTTCTCGATTCTCTTTCCTTTTTTCTTTTCTGACTTTTTGATCTGACCAGGCTTTAGTCTGTAGAATTTTATAATTTATATTTACATTTCATTGTATAAATCATGCAGATGTATGTACATGTATTATAATCCAACTTAAAGGGTCATGCTGAATACAAATGGATTTTTGTTCAGTATAAAGCATAAATGCAAATGTATTCACTATGTGTTCTCACTTACAAGTCTATCTTATAGGTGTGAAATGTTGCTATAAATATTCTCAAGGTGCCAAAATTTCACTTTTGAATTTTGTTTGAAAAAGTGGGATCAATATAAGACAAGAGGCACTGGTGTGAATATGGCTAGGTGTTAATGTAAAGCTATGTCAAAAATAATTTAAAAGATCTCAATGTACATCAATTCGTGGCTAATCATAGATGACTCTTAGCAATATTCTAATGTCCTTGTCCCTAAGAGTACCACAGTTAAGGGGTAGGTTTTTCACTTCTTTTTATACAACTCTGTAAGTAGAGCCTACAGTCAGTACTGTCCTTACCCTGAAATTTCTGGTTTTCTTCACAATTTCTCCAGATTGTATCTTCCTGATTTCTTCCTGTCTCTTTTTTTCTCTGATTTTATCTCTGGAAAAACAAAAATGTGTGACATATCAAAACAAAACAACATAATTTGACTGCCAAATGATGCTAAATGAACAAACTTTACTTATTTTTATGAACTAATCATGCAAAAAGATAATTATTTCTTAACTCTTTGATATCAACTAAGTCAAACTTGTTCTGGAGATATTTTGCATATCCTGACTCCTTGCTTCAATTAAGCGTTAGAAAAAAAGTCTACTTGAATCTATCAACACACTATCTTATATAATCTTTAGAAAGATGGTGAAAAAATAAATACATACTTATACATTATACTATCAGGCTCTATATCTTCTTCTGTAAAGTTATCAATCACTTTCCCTTTTAACTCAGGCATTTTAGGTAATCTTAATAATGCATATCCTGTAGCTAATTTACCTATATTTAATTCTGAAGGCAAATACATACAAATCAAAAACATGATTAATAAATAAAATAGTAATTTAATTAATGGAAACCTACTATCTCAAAACAAATGAATATGTGGTATCACTCTACAGTATTGATGTATATAGAACTATTTTTACAGTGAATATATTATATTGAGGGTATATGTATATAATGATATAGGTATATTACCTTTAGTTTTGAAAATCATACTACATTCATGTTTACCATAAAACTGTATAAATGATACAAAAGCTTTCATACCACTTTCATATAACGCTCTGAAAAATAATTTTTTTTATATATATATAATGGTGATTTAAAAGTTCATGTTTTTCTGCTGATACTTTGCTATGAAAGCTGATGTAGATATAAATGGATGAGTTGTAAATGTAGAGAGCTCTGTGATAGGTCTTATTTTGTAGTAAAAATTAAGCCCTCTGAATGCTCAGGCCATCCGAAATCAGTTAGCTTCTAGGTGCCTCAAGGCTTTGCTTCAGCGAGACACCTTTCATTATTGCCTAGACCCCCTCAGGCATTGTTTAGGTATGCCCCTGTGGATAGCAAACCTATTCTGAAGACATGAGAAGCCAGTTTACATGTGCTTTACACAAATGTAACATTAAAAATTTTTTTTAAAAATATTAATACCTGTCTCTTTTTGTAAATTTTTTAACTTTTGGTACAATATTAGCTGCCTTTTCATCAACCAGCATTTCGACCATAGGTGTCTGGAAAAAAACACAAAGTAATAGATGTACTTTTTGACAATTCATGGTGAAGAAAATGTCATAATTCAATTTAGTTGTCTTCTATCTGACTGAAAATTAGAATGGTACAAATCATTGCTATCAGTGTCCCCAATACACATAAAAAGTTTTAAAACCTTTTTGGAATGCATTTAATTCATAGCTAACAAGTCCTCCATTTCTTGTCCCATCTGAATGACAAGATGGAACCAAGTCACTGCAGTTTCTATTTATCAATTAGGACTAAGATACAGATTGTTAACATACCCTCTGGTTTATTTTTAGAAAAGAAATATAAGTTTCTTCAGCAGGTAATAACATAACTAAAGCATTTCCTTTATTACCAATTCTAGCAGTTCTTCCACAACGATGTACAAAGGCTCTGAAAAAATAAACCAAACATAATCAGCTTCATAATATTCAAATAGTTAAAATATTGTGACTTGACTTGATTTGATTACACACTTGGCCATTGTTTTCATCTGTTTAATAAGTTTTCACATTTAAAAACACAAAAATCACAAGAAAATGAGTTGATTTTACAATGTCCCTGGGTCAAAAAAAAAAAAAGGAAATTCCCCGTTTCATGTTGCTTTTTGACTTACCTAGAAGAACTAGGTGGATCAAATTGAACTACCCAATCTATATCTGGTATATCTATACCTCTAGCCATTAAATCTGTACATACCAATATACCACTAGAAATACATAGAGACATTGATTTATAGTCCATTTAAAATTCATTTATATTTCTAAAAACCTCAACTAAATTACAAATATATTTTCAAGAGTTAATACAATTACAGACAACAGACTTGGTAGGTGGAAGCTTGCAGAATGTTTCACAAACAAATTGCAAAACTCAAAATTAAACTTTTTTCACTTCTACAAATGTAAATACTATCAACCATTTAATGAAGGATTCAAATGGTTCTTTATTGAAAATATTAACCTACTTGTCTGCATTGCGTAATTTCTCAATAACTTTTACTCTTTTCTGTTTTAATTTACCATGAATATGAAAAACTGTTGTATTCTGTACAAATCTATTAGAAAAAATACAGTGTCAGATTATCACAAATTATGGTTCAATAGGACTATTGTGAATAGGTTCAGGTAGCTAAAAATGTTGTGATGGCAATTATGTAAATAAACAGCCCACGTCTGCTCCATTTCGTTATGAAAGATAATTCCAATCAATATTTAGAAAAGATTCTAAGAAATTTGCATCCTTACAAAATACAAAATTTCTTCCAATTGACGTTGAAAATCAACGAAAACAACAATATGTGATCGTCTTAGCTAGGAGAAAAAAAACACTTACTGTTCTATTATCTTTTTAAAATAATCAACAGAAGCACAAGTACTGAAGAAAACTAGAATTTTATTTTTTTTATGTTTACGCAGAAATGATATTAACTGATTCATTTTCTCATCTGCTTCAACAATCTGAAATTAAAACATCACGACGTGTTTATTTGTTTTTTTGACATAAGGAGGACATAAATTCAGATTGTCATAATAATGAGAGGTCAGAATTCATTGTATTTTAAACTCTACTCGGAACTCCAAATAGCTGTGTCTTTTCACAGATCATCTTTTTCATCAGAGTAAAGCTAAGATTCCATATACACGCCATGCGGATCCGTCATACGTCATCCGTTAAAAATCGAAATGGTTGGTTTAAGAGGGTATGATTTCATATATGCGGAAGCATATGTACGTACGTTTAACGCACATATGAAATCATATTTGACACATGACGGATCCGCAAGGGCCATTTATGTCCGCATGACGGATCCGCATGACACGTATATGGAATCTTAGCTTAATGCAGCTTTTAGTAAGACCTTTCGATTTTAAGTTTTTTTCGATTCCACAACAGTTCTTTATGATGTCAGAAAGCAAGAAATGCTAAAAATAACAAAGTGCCTTTGTGATAGTGAAGGCTTAATATAAGATGAATTGCAAATGCCACAGATGTCGGAATGGAAATTGAAATGATGCAAATTGATGCTATCAGTGTCCCTTATACACATAAAATTCCTTTACAATCCCTTTAACATGAAGAAATCTGTCCTCAACTTCGATTAACTAAGATCTAAAAAAAAAGAACCATAGATTTCACAAGGAAAAAGCCTATTTTAAAATACAAACCATGTAATAATTTTGTAATAAGGCTGGTGTTTTAGGGACTAGTTGATTTACTGTATTTTTCTTCTCTTTCACTGTAATACGTAATGGATTCCGTAAACCAGCTCTAATAAGATTTTCTACTTCATCAGTCTGTGTTGCTGAAAATAATCCTGTTCTTCTTTGTTTTGGTAGGTGACTTAAAATCATATTTATACTGAAAAAAATATACATTAGGCTTTAAATTTATCACTTTTGACAAGTAGAGCAAATGTCTAACATTCCTTTTACCTACAATTCAACAAAAATTTACCCTGAAAAGATAGCTGATAGATAGCTACAATTTAGCTTCTTGGTTGATACCCTTAAATGTGTGAACCATTAAAGAAGATAAAAAAATAATTCATTTTCATAAATTTCTTACAAAAGTTTAAGTTTACATAGATAACTTAAGGTCCATATACATACCTTGTTTCAAATCCCATTTCTAATAATCTGTCTGCTTCATCTAATACCAATACTTCCTATAATATAAATATCAAACTTAGCCATAGTCAGGTCATTTCATTTATAGATGATAAAATACAACATCTTTTTACAAAATATTTTTCATTTGAGGAAAAAATTATCAAACACGACTCAAATGAAAAAAACGTTACATTAACTCCGCGCACACAAAGCTACGAGCTGAGCTGAGAGGCACGAATGAAATTTTGCTCAGCTGGAAGCTCTTGTGTGTGCTAGCATTAAAGGATATGTAGTATTTATGGAAATTAATCTAAAACATACTAGAGCTTTGACTGATGCAGGTAAATTGAAACCATCATGTTTTCTCTGAAATAAATCTTCCATTCTACCTGGTGTTGCTATTATAATATTACACCTATAATATAACATACATAATATAATATCAACAGGATTGTACAGAGTTTTTAACTTTTATATGTACCGTATCTCAGACATATGTCCATTAAAACTAAAACATTTTGAATTATTTTCTCAAATCTGCTAAAAAAGACATCATAAAACACGTAGTTTACAAAGTGAATACAAAACAGATATCGACCATGCTTTATTCAAATCTTACCCCTGTGTTTTAAACTTTTCTATCATTTGAGTGACATCTAATCCACCAATAAAAAGACAGGATGTAAATTGAGTGACATGTGATAGAAACTGGTTTAAAACTTCATCTATTTGTATGGCTAATTCTCGGGTAGGAGTTAGTATTAGACCACCAATCTGAAAAAAAAAACATAATAAACTATTCCAGTTGGCATTTAAGAATATAAACATCAAACTATTTTTGTCATGATAATAGAGCTAAATTTGCACTATCTGTATCTCTTATCAGGATTGAAATTTGATTCCTCAATTATTTACATGCTTGCAGACTATTATGCACATTCTCACATCCTAGTCTTAAATTTTGTAAAAATCGCATGAGAACTATGTGCACTGAAAAGTAATTTGTTACAGTGCTACTTATAGCCTTAACTGAGGTCAATTATAACAATATTTAGAAAAAATCTCAATCTAAGAGTATAGCCAAGCATTTCTAGAATTATATAAAAATATCCATGATTAAAGTAGGAATACCTCATTTTTCTTGAGAGGGGTATCTCTCTTTAATAACATCTGTAACAGTGGTATAATAAAGGCTAATGTTTTTCCACTTCCTGTTACAGCTTCAACAGCGACATCTTTATTCTGTAGAAATCTTGGAATAGTTGCTGCCTATAATATATAAATGAAGAAAAGATAAACTATTCTATACAATTAATCTTTCATATTTTTCAGAAGTAAAGAAGTTTGTCACATTTTTCATGCATCACTTGTCATTGATAGTACATTCAAAAATTGGAAAAACTGCTCTTAACTTTAAGATAAACCCCTTAGACATTTGGTGAAGCAAACAACTATCAAAAATATACAATATTAACAGGCCTCAAATTTGTAAAAAGTGTTCACATTATTGAAATGTGTTCAATCCAAGAACAAACTTCTCTTTTCTTCAGGGGATGTAGGCAAATAAAAAATATAAATGCTTAAAACTGTTAGAAAACTTACCTGAACTGGTGTCATATGTTTAAAACCCAGTTGTTTTATAGATTTACTGATATTAGAATCCAGTTGAACATTAAGGTTATCCCAACTTTCATCCATATTGCTCCACTTATATCTTTAAATATGTAAACTAGGGCTTCAAAACTCACTTTTATATTTATTACCAATACCTATAATAGGGACATATATTTCAGATATCCATAACACTTTTCAGAATCAAAATCTGACATCCATTTTCAATTCAAGATAACATGCTGTTAAAGTATAGACTGTTGTCAATTCTAGGTAATGCACTGTTGTTTTTCTGGTTTTATTATAATATAAAATATAGATCTTGTATTTCACCTAACTACAGCTGATAATCAATTCAAAGCCTATGTGTATCAATATTGACTTCATAAAATTTATGTGACCCAAGAAAACTGTACATTCTTTCTACTGATTCTCAATCACGCACAAGCTTATAGTTGCAGTTCATTGACATTTCGGATTTCAGCATGTTTACTAATTAGTGTAGCCTAACACTCATACTGATGCCATTTTTCGTCCCTTAGGCTAAAACTTGGACAATCTATTCTTTTACATAGAAAACCTGAACAACATTGTATTAATGAAAATAAAACCCTTGCAAAATCACACGATTTTTAGGCAAAGGAGGCTCAGAGATGACTATGTTGCATCTGTTATGAGCTTTTGATGATTTGACACTACCAACCAATAATGCAATAAAACTAAAGTAGGCCTCAGAGCTGAGTTTCTATCTTATGAGTGATTATATCTTAATCTATTTGTTCTTCTTACAAAAATTCTAGGGAATTAGTAGGCTGTTAGCTAAAAGCTCCAAAATCAATAATTTTCAAGCCTGACTCTATCAATCATGAAACAACTTTGAAGTGAAGAAATTGTTCACTTCATGATCATTTCGACCACACGTGTTAACTGACATGCTGTTACTATTTTAAGAACATCACGAAAACATCACGTGATGCACATTTTTTCTTGGAAAATTGAAATACCTATTTATTCTTCAGATGTCTGTCAATCTTTTTCGAAAAATTTGTAAAGATTAATGATTTAGTTAAGTGAAATCAAGAAATTGTACATATTTTTATAGGAATGTGAATTCCGATAAGTCGCCGGGTGGATCTGTGCTTCCGTAAGATTCCGGAAAAGTGTGATATATCAATACAAGGTCAAGGTTATTCGGATTTAGAACTATTTTACCGATATATATCTCAATAATCAGGCAAATTATCTATCAAATATCATATAGAACATGTCCATTATTATGCCTAAATCAACATTTTTGACATATTTTTCAAGATTACCGTCAACCTCTCTCTAAAATAAAACATATCATTTGCACTATATCGCGGACGTATCCAATAGTGTGGCGCTGCTGTTTGGTCTGTAACTTTTGCAAGTAATGCAAGTTTAGACTTTCTGTTTGAGAAGGAATTTAAGTGTTTATAACTAAAGATAAGGTCATAATTATCATATAGATTGTTTATTTACAATATATTTTACATGCTGTGAGTAGGTCTGACTTGCGTTTCTACTCAGATTTTACTAAAATGGTACGTTTAGTCGCAGTATGTCGTTCGGACGATCACAAGTTTGAACGACGTCAACTTCCACTGATAGTAGATGAAACATTGACAGTAAGTATTTTTGCCGGTTTCAGGTACTTCATTCTTGTCCTCTAACCCTATCCCTCTCTAACAATAAAACTTTAGTTTTTAGTTTTTATGTCTTTTTTGAATTGATGTAAAAAAGAATGTGATGCGTGATCTACTGTCAGAGGCACTGAAACAGGTGCTTGTGAATAATGTTAGACCTAGGCTAACTAACTGGAATTAATAAGACCAGACCTACCAAGAATTTTTTTTTTGAGGGAAGGGTATATTTTGACAGTTTCTTTCAAGTTTTGAATAAAGTCATGACTATTTTCACTGTGATGGTAGATTTTAGCCATCCTTATCTAACCCTTAAATAGTCACTTAATTGACTTTTAAAATAGCATTCTTATCAAACAAAATGACTTCATGCTAAAAAAAAAACTAGTGCACAGGCAGGAAAACAATGGATGATGCTCTCACATCGTCTGTTAACAGCAATACCGTACGGAAAAGACGTAAAACAATTAACTGTGACAGTGCAAATAGCCAATGCGTTTGAATAAAGAAACCCTTCCAGATTCACTTACTGTACTAAAGGTCTTGTCCTTTTGATCTTGCTGTTTGAACTAATTAAGAAGACTCTGGATATCACAAATGACGGATAAATCTGATGTTCACGAAACCTTCAATGATATTTTACTTTCAACCTTCTTATTGTAGATGGTGGCACAATTTAATGAAAGATGCACTGATTGTAAACATATCTCAGATGCCAAGAAGAAAAGAGAATTAGATAGATTTGTACAAAGGTTCAACTTATTAACTAAAGATGAAGTTGCCATTGCCTTAATGGTTACAAATCAAACTTTAATGAATCAGTTAGCACATACAGTTTCTTGTGTTGGTTGTCGACGAAGGTAAGACACACTTTAGATCCTTCATACTGTTAGAAAATTTGAGAGGTGGTTTACTAGCCTTTCTATGTATTGATGACGCCTTTTGTATTAATTTCACTTCCAATGTGTGGTTTCCAAAAAACTTGACCAGATTATTAGTCACTATCACAAAAATCATTAAAATCAAAGGTATATTTTAAATTGGTGCCATAAATTGGAACATTCACATTGAGGCTAAAACTATTCTTGATATACATAATTGTCTTGAAAACTTTTTAAATCCCATTAATCAATAAAATATAGTTGGAAGCATACATTGGGACTACTTCCTGTAAGGTACATGGATTGAAATTGTATTTTTTACATCGAAGAATTTAATACAGGTTGTAGTTAAATTGACTCAAAACGGTTCCAAAAGTCAAAATGTGATTCCATTTTTTTTTATTTTATAATTAAATGTGTTTCATCAGATAATATTTTTTCTTTCAGTGTTGAACACTTATTAAATCTGTTAGTGGCATCACAGCATCCTACATTGGAACCATTGGTAGTTACTCAAAGAGCTGAATTATCATTAAAACATGAATACCTCTTTGATCCTAAAGCTGTGTTTGCTTTATTTTATATTCATGGGTGAGAAATTCTTTTTATTTTGAAATGGGTTCAAAGGTTATTAAAGATACCTTAAATACAATCGATAAGCTTATTGACATTACGAAAACCAATGCCCAGAATCTGGATCCCATATATAACCTTATTAAACTTATTGACAGAAATTTGAATTGAAATATCTTGTATAGAACAATAATGTATGATTTTAAACAATTTCAAGTAAGCAGACTTGTTTGCTATCATATAATAGACTGAAAATAGGTCAGTTGTCTGAAGATCGCTTAGCGTGAAACTTTGAGTAATAACATGATTCAAGTTCTATATTAATATTTCTATAAAAGCAATGATATAGTAGTTAGAAATTGATTAGTCTTATCTCTTTCAAAATTCAATGAGTTCAAAACAGATATGGCTGAATATGGTAGCTATTTTCTATGAAATCTTACCAAGGTGATATGATGAAATAGTAAAATTTCAGGGATGATAAGCTTATTTGATATTTTTTTCAGTACAAATGTAAATGATGTGATGGATTCTATTCCTATTAATAAAAAGAACAAAAGATGTAATTTACATTCATTAGAAACTCTTAAAGCCAAGACTTACGTGTAAGTATTCATGTGCAGATTTCTTAAACATTAAGGAACCCCATCTTTTATAATTTAAGAAATTTTAATTTTACTAGATTTTTTGACTTCTTTTAAATCAATTCAATCGGTAAATTTTTATTTATTACTGTTGAACAGGTTGCTTAAGCCAAATTGTCATTTTGATAAGTACTACAGTTAGATGAAATGATATATCTTTGATATTATAATTAACAGGAGTAGCTGGATAGATACATGGGATTTATTATCTACAGAATGTAGAGAAGAGGTTGTTTTAATAGATGCTGATAATTTATTAGATACATTAAATATTTATCTTCGAAAACACAGGTAATGTTAAAAAACTTTGCAATTTATATGAAGTTCAGTTGTTCAGTATTTGAAGGATGTTAGTTTACTGTGAATTATTAGAGCTGTATTAACTTAAAAAAAGTGCACTGGATAACAATGAACACAAGTTAAAGCAAATTAAGTATTAAACTCCCAAGTTTCATATGATCATACGCTGAACATTGGAACAGGTATCCCTAAAGTGTGATGACACCATGAGCTTGTTAGATATTTCAGTCCCTTCTTGTGGTTTTGATTAAGTTTGTTGTCAGAACATAATAAGCTTAGAGTGCTTGTTATATTGTCCTCAACATAAATTATAATTGTAATGCCTAGTTCACACCAACGGCGAATGCTGCGCTTTAAATCGGCGAGCAAAGCGCCATCATTTTTTGTTTACTTTCCAAAAATATCACGATCTCCTAAGTAATGTAAAGCTCTGATAAGCTCTGATACGAATTTGTTACGCTTTGGGGACGAATTATTTCCCGATTTGATCAGGCCTTGTTACGCTTTAAATCACGCTTTGATGCGGTTATGACGCTTTAAATCACGATCTGATACGATTATCAAGCTCTGTTGTGCATTGTTAAGCTCTGTTACGCATTGGAAAATTTCGAAATGGCCGATTTCATGCCGCTTTTGATCAAGTGGTGACAGACCGCGAAGACTGGGGTCCCCGCTTTGAATAAAGCTCTGTTAAGCTTTGTTACGCTTTGTTACGCTTTGACAAGCTTTGCTGAACTTTGTTACGCTTTGTTAAGCTTTGATACGTTCTTGGCGCTTTAATCAATTCGTGACAGAGCGCCCAAAATTTTTAAACAGTTTAAAATTTTCTGGCGCCCTTACCGAATATCCAGCTTTGCTCAAAGCTTTCCAACGATCTATTACGGCCCTGGCGCTTTAGTCGAGCTTTGTTACGCTTTGGTACTGCTTTGCACGCCGCTTTAAAGTGCGATCAAAGCGCCGTTGGTGTGAACTGAGCATAAAGGCTAGTTATCTAAATGTTTTGATCTGAGCTCAGCAGTACATGAAATCAAAATGCTGGTGCTCATTGTTGGAAAAATGTAACTAAGATTTTTATACGCGAAACTTTGATTGGGTAATATTCTAACAGTGATCATATATTTAGAAATACAGTTGCAAATTTTGAACTTTTCAACCACATGTCCTCCATTTGTAGTTTGTGCTGAAGTAATTATTAATTTATTTCAGGTTTTGTACTGAATGTAAATCTAAAGTTCATGCAGCCTATAGTATTCTAATTAAAGAAATAGATAGCAGTAAAGAAAAAGGTTATTGTCCAGCCCTATATGAAGGTTTAAGATTCTGCCAACAGGAAGCCCATATTCATGTTGTATGTGAAACTGATTTTATAGCCCATTTAATCAGTAAGGCGGAGCCAGAAATTGCTGGGAAGTAAGTATACTTTAACATTTAAGAGATGTTATGCAAAATGTAGTTTAGAATTTTTGTTTTTTTGGCAATGCAATCGGTCCGTCCGTCCACCAATATTTGCTTGTAAACACTCTAAAAACTAGATTTTTTGATGGAATCAAATGAAATTCGGTATGTGTATACATATTCATAAAACGAAGATCAAGTTCGAATTTGAGCTATTTTCGACCAAGAAGCAGAGTTGTTGCCCGTGCCCAAAAATCTTGAATATTTATCATCCGCATGCCGTGGTGGGCGCATATGGCTGTGGTCCACTGTCTTAATGTCTAAATTGATATTTCAGTTATCGTAGAGATCGTCATGCTAAAACTATGGACATAGCTCAAGAAGAAGTTTTAACGTGTCTTGGTGTTCATATCTATGAAAGACTAGATCGTATAGGTCAGAAGTTGCGACTGGAAGAGCAAACATGGCAGATACTGTTTTCTTTAGGAGCACAGTGTTTACAGAAAAGTTTTGAGGTAATGATTTTATTAGAGCTGAAGGGATAGTGCTATGTATTTTATTCAACCCCATGAGTCACTATAAAATAAATAAGTTTCGAGTTAAACTGTAGTGGAAATTGTCATGAAAAAAACACAGCCTTTCCTGTATCAATTCACTCCATTGATTTACTATTAGTGCTATGTCAAGTTGGATTTGCTGCCGGACCTTATGGTTTATTGAGTCTTAAAGGGACGTGTGCTATTTTGGGGGGTTGATTTTAGTCTTGAATATATGAATATATAAAAGTACTAGAAATGTCAGAATTTATCGCAAAATTCCTTTAAAAATACTTCAAACTAGGAAGTTTACTCACTATTTCTATAAATGTCTTTTCTATATATCATAGAGTATCTGAAATTGACTAGTTGTCCTTTTAACATTCAAACGCAGATAATTCTGGACACCCACAAATTTGACGGTGTCATGTGAACACTATAACTGATTGGCCTAGCTAAAAAATTCCTGTTTCTGAGACGAAAGTTTGATTGGTAAAAAAAAATGGGGCATCTGTCCCTTTAAGAAAATATATATTTTCAGTCAACTTCAGAGTTTTCAATCTGAGTTATTGAACTACAGTGAAACCCCTCTAAACTGGCACCCCAACGGACCAATGGAAATGCCAGTATAGAGAGGTTGCTGGTTTATTGTGCAATAGGCTACACAAACAGAGTTAAATCCCTATTTATGTGGTCCACAAAAGCATAAGTAAATATCAATAGAGTAATGTTCAATCATTAAAACAATGGACATCTATTTTCTAATTGTATTAGAGATGCACTTGTCATCAATACCTTTATTATCGTCAACTGATTACCGATACATAATCCAGGGTTGCTAGCTTGCATAGGTTAATTAACTATAGATTAGTCACTTTGGGAACATATTTTGAAACTGCATTGTGGTTTAGAGTAGGTGTTGGTTAATTGAGGTTTTCCTCTTTTAAAATATGTCAGTTTAGATAGGATGTTGGTTTATAGAGGATGCGTTTTGAGGGGGTTTTAATTGTTGCAATTTGCTGTGCTTACATGACAGTTTCTAGTAAAACTTTGTGTAGGATAGGAATATGTTGAACATAGGACCCTCATTGGTTCATGTGGAAATGACCTTTTGATGTCTGCGATCAATTGATTGAATATTTGTTTTAAGATTTTCTATGTAGAACATAATGTCATATATCCATTTTTAAAAGAGACAGTTTTGCTAAACCTGGGTTAGTAGTTTTATTTATTTCTTCCAATGGAACAATATATCTTATAATTTTAGGTGGCACTAGAGTGTAAGCAGGGTATTTCTAATCTAGAATTAGTATGTGAGGAGTTTTTAGAGGAGGAACGTGTTAAAAATGAGAAGAAACAACAAAAGAAACAGAAAAGAAAGAAAAAGAAGGGAAAAGTTCAACCTGCTGAAAAAGAGAATTGTCAGAAAGAGGAAATAGCACAATGCCAGGTAAAATCATTTTAGTTATGCAATTTTGTTCAGAAAAATCTTAAATGGCCACGGTTTAACATTTTTGGAAATCAATTGTATCTTGGGTCTGAGAAACTACAAATTGTTCAACTAATCAGTAATTTTCACAGCTTTTCCTTAATTTGAGCCCATCTGAACCTTGTGTAACCAATATGTTCGTGTTTCAAAATTACTTTGTCAACCTTTTTCAAAATTCAGTCAAAATGTAATCATAAATTATTTATTATGCTGTATTATAGACCTTATCAACAAGACAAACAAATTTCAGTTACCCCAAATTTCATGTAAAAGATAAACTACTGAAGCAAAAAAAAAAAATGCAATTCCATGTTTTAGGTATTTTTAAGAAAAAAAAATGTGATTTTCTAGTACTTCTGAAGTCTATTTACATCAAATCAAAATGGTGAACATGAGTTCGATCACTTACTTGTCATGTTCTTTGTATTTTTCTAGTTTTCTGGTCCAGTTAAGCCGTTGGTTCCAACATTGACTCGACAATGTGATAACCAAGGCTGTAGTATAACTACCGAATTCAATAAATATAACCAAGTGTGTCAGGATTGTCAAGAGGATAGTGAATATCCTGTCAATCATTATAATAAAGTACATCATCGATATGCTGATTGTGGTTATTCCTCAGAGCTTGATAACTGTGATACTTGTAGTATGCCTAGTTCTAATGATGGCTCAGATATTATTTGCTCAGATGGTGTGTGTACGCATGAAGGTAAGTTTTTTTTTATGTTTCCAAATTCTGTATGCATTTATCAAATTGACTGAAATAGAGCTCTCTACCCTTCAAAAAAATGGACTGCTCATGATAGGTTCTATAACACAGTCAGTTAGAGCATTGGTTCTTAACATGACGTCATTTGGTTACGTCGAGCAAATGGCGACTGTGGGTTCAATTCTTGATCGACGTGTGATAGTCTGATGACCTTAAATAAGTCATATTCACTCATAATTCCAGTCGACCCAGCTGTAAGTGGGTATGAATAATCCAGGAAAGATCAATGACAAGAGGTTTGACCAAGTACCAGCTGGTGGGAAGGATCCTTAACTGTGAACCTAAGTTGTTGTCCTTGTAAAATATAGTTGTTTCTTTTCTTTCTTTATTTCGTACGATTTGAATCAGACCTAAATATTCACAAATATCTTTGCTCTATACAAACATAAGATTACAGGTACTTCATTTGAAATTGTCTTATAAGTCTAAATTTGTTTATATTTGATAGGTGAATGTTCAGAATCATTAACTGATAGTAGGGATAGTTTTACTTGTTCTTTATCTTCACCACATCAGGTAGGTTTTGTTTGATCAATCTTACCTTAGTCTCAGATACGAAATGTTTTCAGCTCACTGTTGAAATCTGACCCTACAAATCCACGTGTGTCCAGAATTATTAAGGTACTATTTAGAAATAGAAAGTGAAATTCTCGTTTTGAAGTATTATTGAAAGAATTGTGCATATATTCCAGACCTAATTCAATCCCTGAAAATTTTCCTGTTGTCAAGAAGGTCATCTCTTCTTTTCATTCTGGCTTCAGAGCTGCAAACGAGTGCCAAGGACCAGCTGGTAGACAGGAAGATTCAGAACATATGTTATTCTCCTTCTGAATTAATACTCTTGTCAATTAATTTGGAGCATAAAACTCAAAAATAAAACTTACTGATGCAAATCATGTACATTTTGTTTTACCTGATAAGTTTATAAACTTCTATTGGTGTTTGAAATCAGAGTGCCTATCTCATTCATGTATTTGAACTATTATTTTTAGTGTCAACCGAGTGAATCATCTAAAAAAGATAGAGAAAAAAATCAGCAACTTAGCTTACAAGATATGTTAGAGGTATTTTTTGATTTTGTATACAAAAAATATAACATATACCTCTATCAAATCAAAGGGTGCATGAAAATAGTTTTGAAAATTGGCAAATGGCTATTATGAACAAGGAATCTTGCTGCTTGGATCTTGGCATGTTAATGGAAAAAAAATATATAATGTTATGTAATGTAAACAAAACTCTTTTAGATTTGTGTTCAGTGGGATAAAGAAATATCCTCTATATTCCCTCAAGTATTAGAATATTTTGTATATGTATTTGCAGAATTCATGTGCCCCAGAAGAAGACGGCTTTGGTATTTCTGAAGAAGAAATCAAACAGTTTAAAGCAGATCACAAGTCCATGACTAGAAAGCGGCAGGAATTACGAGAAAAACTTCGTAAACGATTCCATGATTGTATGCAAACTCGTGTTAATCAGGATGTTCCTGAAGACTGATCAACCTGACTTCAAGACATTCACAGATCTTTATTATACAAGTATTCTTTATTTAACAATTACAGTTATACAACTGTCTGGACATTAACATACACTGACTTCTTTTACCTACACTGACTTCATACACATACAATGTGACTTCTTTTAATGTACTATGGGTTTCATTTTACGTATAATGGACTTCATTTTACGTGTAATAAACTTCATTTTTGCTTACAATGGATTTTCTTTTGAATTAAATAGGCAAATGGTAGGGCTGGGTTTGGAGTTGCAGTGCCCAGTTGCAGAGTGATATCATGTGCAACTATGATATAACTTGTATCGTAATAATAACCATTGTGTTATATATAGATTTGAATATCATGATATCCAAGTTATTCCATATCACCCAGCCCTTACAATTGGAAATTAATTTTAGTATATATTGAATTAAATTACAACTATTAATAAAAAAAACTGGAGATATTATAATTTTGTTGCAGAAATAGGTTCCTTATAACATAAACTATTGCTTTATCTGAAATAAGCTGTTCACTTTTATTAAAATGTTCAAAGTACATTTTGTCTTGCCTTCAGAAGGTGATTGATGACTTGAATTTTTCAAAAGAAATCATAAAATGCTTTGGAACAGTAAAGTTTTTTTTTGCTGTATGTGCTATTGAATTAAGCATTGAAGATCGGAAATTGACAGATGCATTTTCACTTTCAAATTCTTAAGAGCTTCATGAATAATACAATAGACATCTTTGCTTTGGAATTGATTGTGCCATATTTTATATTGTTTTATATCCACAAATTTCTGATAATTTTAATCATAAAAATTGATAATGAATTGACATAAGTTTGAGATGTTTTTCTGGATGAATTTATATTTTGATTTTTTTATCAGAATGTTCTTTAGAGATACTTCCTCTTAGAATGGACATAAAATTAAAATGAGACCCTTGTCGTGTTAAGAATGAATAAGTCTCCTAATATGTCTGTTTTTGTTTTATTTTTAAATCTGCATCAAGCCCCTATTATCCAGGGATTGGTAAACAATGAATTAGTCTAGGTGATTGAGGCTTTACTCTTAGGATTACAATGCTAGGTCCAGAATCCGATTAGTTAAATGTTAACAATTGACAATATGATACAAGCACTATGATGTTTTGTTACACTAAGAGTTGAAAGTATAAAGGTCTGTCTATCTTGATTGTATTTTAATATTTTGCTGGTGATGTCCATTAACATGCTAATGGTTTCAATTGTAGGATAATTTTTAAGAGACAAAGATAACATGGCTTATTTCTTTTATTTTTTATGCAGATGAATTGTCCAATATATGAAGTAATTGATTAGATATGCACAGAAAGTAATTGGGGCCTCTGTTACAAAATCTCCTTGTTCCCTCATAAGGGGAAAACCAACATACTAAATGACTATCTGTAAGTGAAGCCCGGTCTTTGCCTAAAAACTGTTATTGTTAAATTGTGGCTTTGATTGGCCAGCTTGTTATTAAACTATTATGAATGAAATGATTTATTATATAATGCTGGTTTCAATAAAGATAACTACATCATTAAACCTATTAATTTCTTGATAAATTTATATCTTGTTTTAGTTATTATTTCCCCAAATCAGTAAACTTTGAAGAAAAAACTCCTATGAAATTTAGTTTCAGATTGCTACCTGCATGCCCTCTTGTGTCTCTGATAGGACCTGACGGTGTAGGGCAACATAGAAAAGACCTGGATCAGAGAGATAAGCCTGGATCATGTATATAATAACTATTATTCTATTTATGACTCTATGGCCTGGACCCATAAGTCAAAACCTCTCCATGGCTTTGTTTGCGGTGCGCTACATATACCTACAAAACACAATAGGCCTTTCTTTTCTAACAAATAGTAAAGTTCTGCCCTTCTCCAAACTGCTTCGTTTTGTCAGGATACAAAATATAAACTTTCCACAAGAAAGAACTTCACTCTCTCGTATTGAGATAGACCTATAAACAAGACGCACTTTCAATGTAGGCTGCATAACCTTTCTACTATTGTGTAGGTCTATACAAAAGATCTCTGTTAAACCCGATATTCGGCAGACGTAATATATAAGATGGGTTAATTCAGATTCAAGTGCAGACTCCAATCAAAGTTCTAATAGACCTACGTCAGAGCAAGTGTTTGATTATGGAGGGGTATTTGTGTCACAAGTTTTCGCTCATAAATATTGCTTTATAATGTGCAAGAAGCTGGGTGGTTTTACGGCTCAATCTCACCACTACTAGGCTATCACCCATGCACGTTTAATGGTTGAATAATTTTGAATTTGCCCCCCCCCCCTCTCCGCTTCCACCCATGGTTCAAAACTTTATCACAGCTCGGTAGGCCTACTCAACTTCTTCATTTCCTTGATAGCCCAAATACATTAGTCTAAATTTGTTTGGTCAGGCCAGAATTGATCAGGTTGTGTATCTCATTTTGATAGACGTGTTGCGCGCGAAGCAGAGCGTATGCATATTCTTTTCGAAACAACTGATGGTGCTTCTCTTTTGGAGGAGTCCATAACTAGCCTATATATAGCCTACTTCACAACCTTTAGGCTACTCCTGATATTAGGCCTACCGTTCTTAAGGTGATCTTTTTAATTGACAGAATTGTCTTGCTTGTACGGATTTGCATTAGCCTAAGTAACTAAGTAATGGCAAATCCGTCTAGGCCTGTACACTACAGACAATATTTAGACTACCTAATCCCTTTAAAAAGCCCGTCATTTATATCTGAAATGTGCATTTTGTCACATTATAGGCCTAATTTTGTTATTTTAGGGAATTATAGGCCCTATAGTCATTCCATTTCCATGGGCCTGTTAATAGTCTCTAATGCCCGAAAATATTGAATTCCCCCCCCCCCCCTTTCCCCCCGGGAAACTTAACTCAACATACATCATTGCCTCTTCCGATATATCACTTGGAATCCGGATTCCTGAATTCTTAAACCGATCTAAACAGCCACTTTTGAAAAACATTCATTCATTGCTGGCAAATTTATATTAATTTCCAGTAGTGTGTTCTGACTGAACATTCCAGTAGATTTTTTTTCTTTTTTTTTCATACACAGTTCTTTTTCTCGAATTAAGGATTTTCTCGAGTTTTTTTTTTATAAGCCGGTCCGAGATCAGAAATATTGTTAATCGACATAATATAATGCGATTAACGGTCACTACTTGCCAAGACCTGTTAGATTGGCGCATTGATACATTTACCTTGGATTGTCAGGGACTACTTTATACATTGGCGGGTGCAGCCATATTGACAACAAATCGGGCTTGTTCATTCTAAATCCAGTGCAATCTACGTATTTTTTTAGGCAACTGACAAGACCAAAATGGCCACAAGGGAGGATCATGTTTACCAAGCAAAATTGGCTGAACAAGCAGAAAGATATGATGGTATGTACCCTAGAATGAATGAATTATGCAAGATGGTGTCAAGCGTAGACTCCTACCGTCTCGAAACCGGTAGCTAAATGTAGGTCCAACTGGACCTAATTAGCTATCACATAATTAAATAAATGGGCCATGTGTCACTAGTTTGGGGATTTCAGAAATTTAACGCAAAGAGTGGACATTTATGCACTATATTAATTGTAGAATATATGATCTAGAATGTAGATAAGCTTGGTTTTGAAGGTCTGTGTCCATGGTTATCAAAATGGACGCCATGTTTCTTCCGTGACTCATTGAGTGAAATCCCTTAGACATATTTATATTTCCTCGATTATACGATATGGCGTCCACATATTGTTATTCAGAAACAGGAAGCAAATACTGTAAGAACAGAGTAGCATTTCAGAACTAAAATCTATGATAATGTGATTCTGTTATGAATAAAGATGAATCTAGCCTAGGTATTCTAATTTTAGATCAACCAACATTCTACAATAAACCTGCCCAGCCCATTTTCTGCAATGGTATATAGACTTTAACTCAAAATTATCCATAATATATAATCCATGGTTTTATTGCTTGTTTTAAGTGATTGTCTATAAGCTTGCTCAGTTTCTAGATCCTGCACCTGTTCATGTCTTTGTCACACTTGTTGCAGAGCACCATGAATAGGAGAGTAAAGGCACTAGGTTAAATATAATTGTCTGAAAATTTGACTCTTAATTTTCTTACTCACTAGCTTTTCCACTTAAAAAAGTGTCTTTGGGCCCATAAGTGTAATTTTTGATGAATTTGAATGAATAAACACTTATCTCCATCAAATTACATGGATGATAGACAATGACATTTAGGAGTGAAAATTCTCCTCTTATCCAAATCTTAACAGTTGAGTTGATTTTGTTCAATTTTTATACAAAATGATTGGCAAGTGTAAATTTTAAACACTGTGGTTGCTAATTATGGGTAGTTATTAATTTATTTAAAGTAAATCCTTTTCTGGTATATCTAGAGACTTGATAGTTACTGTAAGCTTACCTCAAGTATAGTAACATAGATACTGTTGGTAGATTGAGAAGATTATTTTTTTGTGAACTTAAATTAAAAGGCCTATTTATGTTTTATTTTAACAGAGATGGTGTCAGCCATGAAAGAAGTAGCCATGATGGGTGTTAACTTAACTGTTGAAGAAAGAAACCTTTTATCAGTAGCTTACAAAAATGTGATAGGAGCCAGAAGAGCCTCATGGCGAATAATTAGTAGTTTGGAACAAAAAGAGGAAGGCTCAAGTAATAGTGAAAAACTAGCTATGATTAAAGAATATAGAATACAGGTATGTATCAATTTTATACACAACCTACAGTATGATCCACCTGTCTGTCCACATTTGCTTGTAAACATTCTAGGAGGCAGAAGTTTTCACAGATTCTTGGTGGAGTTGTATTAATAGCTGAGCTCTATTGAAAATTGAAAAATATATAATGTGTTCATGCCCTTGTTCATGAAAATTTGTTGAATATTAAGGGTTGTTAATGCTTTAGAAGACACAGTTCTTGACGGATTATGACAAAACAGAGAAAAAGTTTATCATTTAAGGATCAAAAATCAATAAAATTAAAAGATATTTGACACTGGTATGACTTATTCCCCCTGTTCTTCGAAACAAGTTCAAGTTTAAGCTGGTCATCAAAGAAGGCACAATTATTGACAGATTTAAATGAACTTTGTGTAATTGTTCATACTGAATCAAACAGGAAAAAAATATTTCATATTGTAAAGCACTATAATGTTCAAAGTATAAAGGTCTCTCTACCTTAATTGTATTAAAACATTAAGCTCTGTTCTTGTTTTCTCGAAAAGTGTTGAATTTATGACTTAGTGGACAATTCAGAAGACAAAATTTGTGACAGATTTACACAAAACTATTAATTATTACTGAAGTAAGATTTGTATCGTACCATAAAATTGCAAAATAAGTTTATAACTAAAGGTTGAATATTGATACAGGTGATTGTTGCGGTACTGTTAAATATGTTTATTTGAAAACAAAGCTGTTATTGGGCATATATTGCCTTGTTTGGCAAGCTATTGTCTTTGACTTGATAACGTGTTAAAATCAGCTTTTGTTGCCATGACACATACAAAATCTCTCAAAAACTTGGCATGCTTAAAAATGGGTTTCCTTATTTTTAGTGTCAAATTAAGCAAACCATTTGATTAAATGGTGTTTGTAATGAATTATCATGTAATCATAACATTACATTCTTTTTGCATATAATTAAGAGTTTTAACCAATCATAAATATCCATGTATGTACAGTCTGGATAAACAAAAAAGGACATAATGACCTTTCTTGATTGGTCACTCATTGGAATTCTGCTGGTAATTCTCTTCTAATTTAGCTAATTATGAATTAATTATGGACTTGTGAGACAAACTGGTATTTTTCCAAGTCATTAGAACATTAGCTACTTTCTATTCATATAAATATTAGTATTTTCATTTTCATGATTCATAAATGAAAATAAGGGAACCCATGTTTAAGATCTTAGATGAGTTTTAATTGTGGAAATAGTTACAAGAATAGTTTTAGAGTTATGGCCTGCAAGTTTTCATCAGATTTTCTACTGACATGTTTAAAGTTAGAAATATTTAAAGGGGGTTTATTAGTTTTAGACTTACATTTTGTAAAAAACAGCTTATGGTGATAATGGCACGAGTTATCACTTTTGCTTTACCCGTTTACCTAGCCCATTTAACTGCAGAAAAGCTAGTAAGACAGGTAACAACACCCACAGCAACAACCAATATTATACCCATCAAAATGAAATGAAATAAATGCCAGTTTAACATCCTACTATCTTAAGTTTAGATTCTTTCAGCCAGAAAATGAAAAGTTGTAATAATTATGATCAATATGATTCAAAATGGCACTTATTCAAAATTGAAAAAAAAAAGTTTATTTGGTCCTGTCTGATTCTTGATTCAGTATTTATCCAAAAAAAAGTGAACCTCCATCAGAAGTAATGACTGTTAAATTTTCATTTCAGATTGAAAATGAATTGAAAGATATCTGTAACCAGGTCTTACAAGTTCTAGATTCATATTTAATACCCTCTGCAAATGGTTTCGGAGAATCAACAGTGTTTTATTTCAAAATGTGAGTATCTTCATGATATTTATAGAGTTAGTAGTCAGTTTGTAAAAACAGATTAGAGACTGTTGCTTGGTTCACTATTATTTCTGTTCAAGTAGTTCAAAATTTCTGATAGTGGTAAAATTAATCCAAAACAGCTGTCCTGATAGGACATATATGAAAAGTGCGAGATGAGATCTTATCAGTTTGAATTAGTGTTGTTTGGTTTGTGACACAGAAAAAAAAAGGTGGATGCTGATTTGGTTAAAAATGTGCAGGCAAAGATGTATCAGTGTAAATATAATGTGCATAGAAATTATATTTCATTTGATCAGATTGACTTTTACCTGTGTGCCTGTTAAAGATCATTGACAATAGGAATATGAAGTAGGCTCATAATGCTGATTTTTCCTCATTGCACACCTGCCCTACTTCTTTGGGTCAATTAACTGTAGAAAGGTAAAACTCATTCATTTGGATTCTGATTAAAATGAACAAATGAAAATTAAATGGTATGTATTTTTCAGGAAAGGGGATTATCACCGGTATTTGGCTGAATTTGCTACAGGAAATGATAGAAAAGAAGCTGCAGAAAAAAGTTTAACTTCATACAAAACTGCTAGTGAAGTAGCTTCAGCACAATTACCCCCAACACATCCTATTCGACTTGGTTTAGCTCTAAATTTCTCAGTATTTTATTATGAGATTTTAAATTCACCAGAAAGAGCTTGCCGATTAGCAAAAGCAGCATTTGATGATGCTATAGCAGAATTGGATACATTAAGTGAGGATAGTTACAAAGATTCCACATTAATAATGCAGTTATTAAGAGATAACTTGACACTCTGGACGTCAGACATGCAGGGAGATGGTAAGTAATGACTAATATTCTTGTTGATTAAAACTCCACTGGCTACTTTATGACTTTCTTAGGTAGTCATGTTAAAAAATTAGTCTATGGTCTTTCATTGTGATGAAAGGGTTGCTTTATCCCATTCTAGTTAGGTATTATAGGGATTGTAAATAGGTTTATTAAATTTTGTATGTGTCTCTGGGAGATTGATAGCATTTTTGATCAGATGGCTGTAGTTCCTGCAATTCCACTAAAACTAGATGTTTCATTTATGGCAAAATATGCTTAATCACAATAGGCCCTTATTAAATACTTAGTACATATAGATATGAATTAAAAATGAGACCTGGTGAATCAAGGAAAGATATAATATTTATTACAGGTAGTGAAGAAACACCTGCTAGAGAAACACTTCAAGATGTAGAAGGAGAAGATGGATCGTAAAATATGTCCGTACTTAGAACACCGAAAAATATTATTTGTAATTTTCTTATTAATAAACTGCAACATGTTATGATCCGACCCAAGAGGCTGGGTGTGTTCTTGTCTCTATCTCTGGCTCTGTACAAAAATCATGTTCGTAATCTGAAGATCAGTCTTGTTTGTCTTGTGTATGTCATTTGACCAAGACTTTAATTATTTGAATCTTAGTACTACAAACACTCACTATAGTTGAAATTGAATTAAATTGGTTAACAAAATTAACAAAACAACATAACATAACAAAATATCTAAATATTTGATGATTAAAAATTATATTGGCCTATAGACATAACAAAATAATAGGCTATACTTTAAAAAGTTGATAACTTAGGGCAGTATTTTTGAAGAAACATCGTATACATCTGTTGACTGATGTAAGTTTTCAGATTACGGACTAAATCTATAACATACTCTCACCACTAATGATGTTGTATGTATGTTTATGTATGTATGTAGAATGTACATTACCATTATTATATAATTGTACCTTACACTATTGTTTTATATCATGTATTGTTTTTTTTTTTCTCGTATCTTTGGTGGTTAATTTGTCGAGAGTTATGTTGCCCTCATGTTATTGCCAGTGGTAGAGTCAAGTACGCTTTATACTAATTGTCTTGAGCTCACAAGCGTCATAATTGTCACTATCTAGGAGATATTCAAGTTGTTTAACATCTAAATCAGGATTAAAATGAAAAGAGTGTGGTAATTTCAAGAAAAGTGGTCCAACTTGGAAAATGGTGGATCAACTTGGAAACTAAAGATCTTTGTGAACTTGACAAAATGACTCCATGAATGAAAAGACAGATTCCTTTGTGATTATTTCTTTCAACTCTTGTGTATCTTTTGATTCGTAACTACCAATTTTGTCTTTTTATTGGATTTATATCTTGACTATAATTGAAGACTGCAATAGTCAAAGAAGCGGACAATTTTTTTTTTTTGGGACATAATTGCTGTAATTTGTACTTAGTAGGAGTTGAAATATTCTAATGAAAGTTTGTTTCCAACTTTTGATGTACTGTTAGTCAGCTCACCATTAAGTATAATTGATTGTAGAACCTAAGTTATGATTATTTACCCTGAATTTAATTTTTTTGCACTTGAAGTTTAGCTGCTGTTTTTTTTCTATCTGTTTTTAATCAATAACCAATTACAAGGGATTCATTGTGTGAGCTTTAACTAAAGAACTAAAATTAACTACTAAATACTAGTGCTGTGATTTTGTAAATTGTGACTAAACACAGGGAAATATTGAGAGAAACTTGGGGTTAAAATCAACATTGACATCACTTGTTGAAAATTGCACTTGTGACTAAAGATTAATTAGCTGAGCTTTTTTGACATTTGTACTAATGTATTTATTATTACTTTGATCCCTTGTTTTTGGTAGAAGTTATATTTTTATTATGTTATTACTATATCTACATACTGTAATGATGTAGGCCTAGAGTAGAAAATAATGTGGGTATTATTTACAAATCGTTTCTTTCTCAAATTTAAAATAGCTATTGCCAGTGTTGTGAAGATATTTTTGACTGTTGATCACTGTTCAATGTTTAGTAATATTATTTGTATAGAAGTTTAAACTGTAAACACTTATGTCATGCTTTCAACATTATTAAACATATTCAAGTGCAGTATTTCTCAAGTGTTTATTAGTGGTTGTCTACTGTTACAAATGTCCAGTATTCATACGAAAATACATGATACATGTATGGAAATAACACACGCGAATGCATCGTATCATGAATATGGAGGAAGTATGAGGAAAAGGGGCATGGTTTGGACACAATGACGTGAAAGTAGTTAACAGTCTCAACTTAAATTAAATTTTGAAAAAGGTCATATTTCAATTAAGCCTTCAAATCATATTTAAAGCTTTTAATGTGATTTGAATGCTTTGAAATAATAACCTTTCGACTTACTCTAAAGGTTTGACTTAAGTTGAAGAGAATTATTGTGGACAAATGTTATAATTTCACAAATGGATCTATTTATTCATCAAATCCAGAATGACATGGTCTGAGGAAGCATGATGGATGGGGTGTGGTTTGGACATGATATTTATTCAGTATCCTGAAAAGGATTTTATTCCAAGCTCTCCTATGGTCCTTTCATAGTAACGGTAACATCATGAATTCAATATTGAAAGGCTCAAATGAGTGGAGACAGTAGCTTAGATCAGATTTTGGCAGCAAAAACCTTACTTTTATAACTTCTTTAGAAATTTCATTTTGAAAGAAAACTACATAAAATGGACATAAAACAAATCTTTATATACAATTATTAAATTTTTACATCTCTATCTCGTTTTTCTCATTTTATTATTTTTCTTTCCTTTTTTCTGATTCATTTTCTGTTTCCTCTTATCTTTCTTCATTCTAGGATCAACAACTTTATAAGGTCCTTTAACACCAGCTGGTCTACTGACTCTTTTACCACCACCTTTCTTTCCCACAACATAGGTCACTTCTTTCTTATCTTTCTTCAATAAACCTGCTTTCTTATATAATCTGAAAATATTAAACATAAGACTGATATATCTGGAAGGGAAATGTAACTTTTGAATCTTTAATATTTTCCGTATAATCAATTTAATAATACTGTCCAAATAAATAACAGGATACGTTAACAAAATTTTCCCCATTACACACATAGAGTTTTTACTGTAACAATTCATAGGCACTAATAGATTAGGAGATGTACAATACACACTGGACTCGATATTGTCTTATATACAAAGGCCCATATAAATAAAATATAAATAATAATACGGCTTAGTTTCACATTTTTTTTATACAAAGTCTCCTTCAATAGCAGCAGGAGTCACAGACATGTGTTACCTGGAAAAGAAACTTACTGTTTTATTTGCTGCCATTTCTCTTTTTCTGATACATCAACATTTTCTGTTATAACTTCTGCTTTCCTTCGAACTTTTTCTAATTTCTTAGCAGCCTGTAAAAATTCGATTCAATAAAATAATTTTCATGTAAGAAGCCATAACAGATGAGCGAACCCAAATATAAGTATTGCAGTTTCAGATATCTTCATAGAGCTACTTTGCTGAAGAACTAGATGCCAAAATTACAATCTAAAAAGGGATAAGCCTACAGATAACTGAAAAGCTATTATCATCTGGTAAAATAAAATATTTCATAAATAATTTTCCTTAAAAAAACCTGATTGATCATAGCTGTTGACTAAAATGTCTGCTATCAAATGTTGTGGTTTGATTTTTCATTCCTATACAGTAACATTTTTTGTACCAGTAGATAAAACAATAAGAACAAAATAATTCTTTATCAATAGTACATCACTAATTGATTTATTAGCTCAGATTTGACTTAACTGATCTTTATTCCTGTCTTTCCTTCCTTGAAGAAAAATATAAAGAAATAGGTCAATGTGGCCTAATTATAAGCCACACTTAGCCTAGAGGTAAATAGAAAAGAAATTCTCTAGTAAAAATCAATAGTCAGAATAACATTGACCTGTATAAAGGAATTGTTACTATCAAATTCTATATCAAATTGATCTGATTGTATCTCATGATGTTAATGCCTAGTTCACACCAACGGCGAATGCTGCGCTTTAAATCGGCGAGCAAAGCGCCATCATTTTTTGTTTACTTTTCCAAAAATGTCACGATCTCCTAAGTAATGTTACGCTCTGATACGAATTGGTTACGCTTTGGGGACGAATTATTTCCCGATTTGATCAGGCCTTGTTACGCTTTAAATCACGCTTTGATATGCTTTATTAAGCTTTGATGGGGTTATGACGCTTTAAATCACGCTCTGATATGATTATCAAGCTCTGTTGTGCATTGTTAAGCTCTGTTACGCATTGGAAAATTTCGAAATGGCCGATTTCATGCCGCTTTTGATCAAGTGGTGACAGACCGCGAAGACTGGGGTCCCCGCTTTGAATAAAGCTCTGTTAAGCTTTCCTACGCATTGAGTCAAGCTTTGCTAAACTTTGTTACGCTTTGTTAAGCTTTGATACGTTCTCGGCGCTTTAATCAATTCGTGATAGAGTGCCCAAAATTTTTAAACAGTTTAAAATTTTTTGGCGCTCTTGCCGAATATCCAGCCTTGCTCAAAGCTTTCCAACGATCTATTACGACCCTGGCGCTTAAGTCGAGCTTTGTTACGCTTTGGTACCGCTTTGTACGCCGCTTTAAAGCGCCATCAAAGCGCCGTTGGTGTGAACTGAGCATTAGCTATGTAGTAGCAGTGGATGTCATGCACTTTCTCTTTCGAAACACCTGATGGTACTTCTCTTTGAAGGTGTCCACTACTATACAACTTTTAATCTTGATTTTGTCATTCTTTTGATAAGAATTTGATTAATGGAATTGTCTGGATTGTCTGGATTTTTATTACCACAAATTGACTCAAACTTTAAGGCATTGTTTCCAACATTGTTGTTAATTATTATTTCAAGCAAATTACTGCTATCCTGACAAAATTTCCCTGATTGCACACTGCATGACATTGCCCATCTTAATTATCCTTGGACATAAATCTCCATTCAATTAAACTCATTTCCTATTTCAGTCAGTGTGTGACTTTGATAACGTCATCAGTCTTATTATTATATATAATATATGTAAGTGGGTATGTATAATCCAGGAAAGATCAATACCAAAAGGTTTGACCAAGAACCACGTGGATCCTCATGAATATAAATTGTTATTTTTTAACTTTATAATGAAATATGTCCCTTAAAAAAACTACAAGGGATTGAAAAGAGGTTTGCTAAAAAATGTACGTGTATTGGGAACACTGATAGCGTCAATTTGCACCATTCCGATTTTCAGTGCAATTCCACAAGTATTTAAGACGTCACTAATCACAAAATATTCTTGTTTTAAGGCGTTCATGATTAGTGACATCATCAAACACTCAGTTTTTGTGAAATTGCAGGAACCCCAGACATCTGATTGAAAAATGGAATGGTGCAAATTGATGCTATCAGTGTCCCTGATGCACATAAATTTTTAAGAAAACCTCTTTATAATCTCTTTACCAGCTCCAGATAGCATCCATAAGCATAACATAACATGGTTGAAAGAATTTTTTGAACACAGTATAGCCAATTCCTTTCTAGACCAAAAGTAGAGTAATCCACTATCAATAAGTTCTAACACCATCATTCTGACGACCTATTCAAAGCTAATCCATAGATTATAATGTAAAAACTAATAGTAATTAAAACTATCCAATTCTATTCTAGACTATTGATTATTTCTAACACTCATTACTTCAAAATTTCTCCCCAGCTCTTCAATAATTCATCTAGTAGTCATCTATTCTATTTTTAACTTCATATTTCTAATATAGTAAACATGGATTTAACTTAACTCAAAATATCTTCAAGTAATTTAAAGTGACAGATGCGCCATATTTTTGACCAATCATACGTTTTTTAGCTAAGCCAATCAGTTATATTGTCCACAGCCCAAGTCGAAATATGAGTCTTCATATCCATTTGTGTCCAGAATTATCTGCGTTTGCCAGTTAAAAAGACAAGTCGTCTTTTCTCGAGACTTCCAAACATAGAAAAGACATCTATAGAAATAGAAAAAGAAATTCCTAGTTAGAGATATTTTTGAAGGAATTATTCAATTTTCATACATTTCTAGCACTTCTGAAGACTATTTACATATTTTAAAATTAATTTACATTCATCTGGCATGTGAAAGTCACAGAAGATCAATACCAAAAGGTTTGGCCAAGGAACAGTTGGCAGAAAGGATCCCTTGAACCTAAGATGTGATCCTTGTAAAAAAGATTGTGTCTTTCTTTCTTTTCAACTGAAACCGATTTTCACGAAATTTGATAAGTATCTTTTTTTATACTTCATGCCACAAATGAGTGTATTTAAGCGTGATCTAATATCTTTTGATTTTCAACCAAAGAAGAGTTCAAAAAAATCGAAACAACAAAACAATTTTGTAGTCAAATTAATGAATCATATAGACAAAAGGAAGAAATCATTCAATTGACAATGACAATTAAATAAATAACAAGGTATAAGAATGAATGACATATATCAAGTATCAAGCTAACTGATAATAAGCCCCTTGATAATAGAAGATGAGCAAGTGACCACTGTATTATCATTGTATAGTAGAATACTGGTCATAGGTACCTGATATTGATTTTACTATATATACCATCAATAGATTAGCCTTAGTACTATACAGTACCATTAGTACAGAAACCCTGCTATACTAATCAAACTATCTTATTACTTTGTCTTGGACAACTGTCATTTCATGTCTATCAACCTCTTTTCCTTAATAGCATCTTTATAACTGATTAAACATAATACTGAACAATGACAGACTTAAAGAAACAATGTCTATCAATTCTTCCAGGGCAGAATCTATGGTCTATAGTCTATGAGGCAAATATCCTTTTTGATTAAGGGGTCACCAAAGGTCACCATCCTTTTCAAACAAAATTAATTCATTTTTTATCATGTAGTAGGATCTGTCTTCTAATGATCAAAGATCCATGCACAATTATTCCTTTTCAATTTTTCATCATAAGTAATTTTTTGTCATAATTTGACTTAAAATTAGTATTACTTTTTGCTTTAAACTAAGCTGTTTGTTTCAATTCTATCAATGTCTCTTTAAATGGTCAATATCTGTCAAGTACCACCTTAAGCCTTTATAGAAGGATCACTTCCGTTGAATTTAACATAAAACCTAATTTGGATTCTCAGACATATCAAATAAAAGGGACAGATAGGCCATTTTTTAAACAAGTCGTACTTAAGTCTCAGAAACAGGAATTTTTTTTAGCTGAGCTTATCAGTAATTTTGTTCAAAGCTCACTGTCGAAATTTGAGCCTTCAAATCCATGTGTCCAGAATTATCCGCAATTAAATGTTAAAAGATATTCTGTGATATATAGAAAAGACATATATAGAAATAGTGAGTAAAATTCCTACTTTGAAGTATTTTTAAAGGAATTGTGCGATTTTCATACATTTCTAGTACTTCTGAAGACCTTTTACATTTATTTATTTATATTCAAGATTAAAATCAACCCCCCAAAATGGTGTACCTGTCGCTTTAAAAATGGCATTATCCTACCCTGATGTTAGTCAAGGGCATATTTATCTTCTATACCAGAATTTCTATCATTTATATAAATGCACTAGAAAATGTTGTGCTCGGTCAAATGGAGGTAACTAAAATCTGAAGAATTATATAATACTTTGGCTAGCTTAAAGAGGTAGTATGCAAAATTTTCATTATCACAAACATTGTAAATTATACCTGAAAATATTTCTCAAATATGTTATTTATATCTATATATCATCTTGATCAAACTGATTTTGTTTTAAGATAGTGGACCACAGCCATATACGCCCACCACGGCATGCGGATAGTAAAAACGAAACATTGATTTTAAGTTTCATCAAAATCGGTTGAAAACTAAGAGAGTAATAGCATATTCAAGATTTTGGGGCAAGTGCAATAACTTGATCTTCGTTTTATGAATATGTATACACAAACCGAATTTCATTTGATTCCATCAAAAAATCTAGTTTTAGAGCGTTTACAAGCAGTTGATGTTGATAGAAGCACTTACTGTATAGAGGTTGAAGAGCGATAACTCCTCAAAACTTACGTAAGGCCTAAATCTTGAAAAAGCCTTAAATTTAATCAGAAGTAAACTAAACTTCTTAAACCTTTCGATTTAGGTCCAAAAACATCCATTTTAAGTTTCATCAAAATCGGTTGAAAACTAAGAGAGTAATAGCATATTCAAGATTTTGGGGCGAGGGCAATAACTCTGCTTCTAACGGTGGAAAATAGCTCAAATTCGAACTTGATCTTCGTTTTATGAATATGTATACACATACCAAATTTCATTTGATTCCATTTGTTTATTAGTTTTGGCGTTGGCTCTATTGTTTGAGTTACAATGTCAGAAAACATAGCTTAGTTGACTTCAACCAAGAGAGGAATAATAAGTTTATCAAGGCTATTTACCTTTCTCTTCTTTCTGGCTTTAGCTTCTGCTACTTTTTTAATTGGTTGAGCATCAATAGCCTTCATCTTTAATTTATACTCTTCAATTTCAGCCTAAAATAAATAAACTTAATACTTACTAATAGAAAGTATGATAAGAGCCAAATATTTTCTTAGACAACATCACAAGCAGATTTATACGACAGAAACTGAATGGAAATTGAACATTAAAAAGTTGAACATATGGGTGTAATCACCCAATTGTCCATTGTTAAGCAAACCTGTTATTTATCAAGTTATTCAAGTTATTGTGATTAAATACTATTGTTTTATAGTAAAGTCTTCTAAAATAAAATAATGATAACCTACTGATGCCAAATTCCAAATTATGTTTTCTTCAACAAGTGATGTTACATAATTACCTTAGTAACTGGTAGCTCTCTCTCTGTATGTTTAGCTTCATCTTCAATAAACCAATCAGGTAAATTTTCATCATCAAACATATACCTTTAATATAAATAAGGACATTATTACAGCAAATATTGATTTGAACATAACTATTTACTTGTGAAACTGATAAAATGAATTTGTGAGTCAGGTTTCATTGTGTATGTGACTTTCTCAATCTAATTTAAAACTTTCTTCTTCTTCTTCATTGTAATCTAACAAGTTTTCTACCACAGTCTTGTTCTAATGCTGTGATTTGTTAACCAAATGTTAGATGACTATGTATTTGAAAAATATCAGAAAATTATCAGAAAAAAAACTTAGACTATCTAGGACTGAATCATACCTATGATAAGATTTATCTATGATGTCACGTTTTTGTTTTCGAGAAGAAACCATTTTAGCCCCAATGGCCAGACCTACAGCATCTAATTTTAAATCTGAAAAAGTAGGAAGACAATGACTAGTAATTATAATTATTCCTGAATATCTCATATTAGACTGGTATAGTTGGGCAAAGATATGCGCCTATGTGAACATAAGACTACTTTTAAAAGTATAGCCACAAACACTATATATTGTACACGTAACTAAATGAGATATGGCAATCAAAAGATAAATGTCCACTTTTCACAAAGCAATTACATCTTACTATTCTGTATTTCACTTAGTCGCAAAGGTTTTGCATTAGTGAATTCAAGAAAATGAATCTTTCGACCTTACCTTCAACTGGGACGACTTCAAAATCATCTTTTTTAGACTTTTTGTTCTTCTTTTTCTGTGGACTAGTAGAATTATTAGTATCTCCAGGAACAGCTGTATTAGATACTAACTGGTTAGCTTCCATATCACCATAATCTGAATCACTATCAGAATCACTATCATCACCATCAGAACTGTCACTTTCTTCCACACCACTATCATCACTATCAACATTACTTTCAAATTGTACTTTCTTCTTTTTACTAGTAATATCATCACTGTCTTCTATTTTTCTCTTTGTACTTTTCTTTACTCCATTTTCTATCAAGTTAAAATACATTTCTAAATAAGATTGTTGTTATATATACTGAAAGATAACCCTTTTTACATGGGGGGCGCTTGATTGGTGAATTCTGCTAGTTTGGGATTCATGGAATCAACAGATGTTCAATAAAACAAGTTCAGAACGCGTCCCACAGGTGCCGAAAAAATAGTAGGTGTAGACAGAATTCAAAATGGCACAGAAGGAAAAAGATGAACAATTTTGCATGTGACATATACCGCTTCTGTACTCTTCCATTAAGGACAGAACTGAAACTGTCAGAGCCTGTTCAAGACTCTCCAATCAGGCGCCACCATTTTTTCATATCAGCACAAATTTTTATAACTAATGACAAGGGAAATAACTCTGTTTCTAATCAATACAAAATTAATGTTCTATCTGTGATTCAGTTAAAAACTGTAGAATTATGCGCAAACTTATAGACTTGTCAGGTTGGTTGAAATAAACATAGAAAGATGTGGGTGTTGAAAATTATAGAAGACGATTGTCTTACCTATAACAGTTCCACCTTTCTTTTTGTAATCAGCTACCATTTTCTCTAATTCTTCATCTTCTTCATCATCATCACCAATATCAGCAAATGATTCCTGTAAATATTCAATTTCTTCTTTACATTCTATGATACTTTCTTAAGTATACTAGACCTAAAAGTTCATGACAACCAATATGACATAAAGTAACATTTTCTTTAAAAATAAACCCTCTATAACAGATCACAGACCTAGCTGTACATAAGATAACTCACCTTACTAAACCAACTATTAGTTTTATTTGATAAGACAACATCTTGAGGATCTATTTCAACCACTAATGGATTCTCTTCTTCTTCTCTAAAAACAAAAGAGAAAAGTTAAAAGGGAGATAATTCATGATTGTGATATGTTATAGTATAAACTTACTACCAGACAAAATGACATTATTATAATAATTTAGCTTTAACCAGATGAAAATAAGCAAGAAAGCTGAAAAAACTTTAAAATATCAATGTCCTTACCCATCATCTCTTTCATTTTCATCATCAGAATCTTCTACCAGATCTGGTTCTTCTTCAAATTCTAATTCATCTGATTCGGAATCTAAATAACTCTTATCTTCTTTTTCATAAACTTCATGTCTCTTTCTTTTATCTTCCTGATATTCTCCTTCTTCTTGTTCAGAATCTAGATCTTCAGCATCTAAATCTATATCTCGCAGTTGCTACAATATAATATTGGAATGAATAAGATGTTCAAAATCTAGATCTCCAGCTTCTAAATCTATATCTATATCAATATAAAATTGAAATGATTAGACAGAAGTTCTAAATCTAGATCTTCAGCATCTAAATCTATATGTTGTAGTTGCTACAATATGAAATAAGAATTATTAGACGTTCTAAATCTAGATCTTCAGCATTTAAATCTATATGTTGTAGTTGCTACAATATGAAATAAGAATTATTAGACGTTCTAAATCTAAATCTAAGTCTATATCTTGTCTTAGATACAATACAATAAGAGTCAACTCACATCTTTAGATTTAACTCTGTCTAATTTAAAATAATTATCATCAGTAGCTAGATTCATCTGATCAGATGGTAACACCATTTTAGCATCCATTCTTTGGCGTAATTTTGTCTTCTGTTCTCGGATTTTCTTTAATTTCCTAAGATAAAAAAATGTCAAAAGAATAAAATTTGCATATTGTAATAACATTCTGAAGGTAGTTGTTTACAAATTCAATTTCAAAATATTTTGATGAAATTTGGTTACTATGACGATCAAGAAACATTATCCAGAGAAAATGGACCACATCAATATCACCGTTGAAACCGTTGGTCCCCAAGAAAAGATATCAGACAACATTGCATTATGAGCAAATTTCTGACATGCTTCAGGGATATGATTTCTAGATGCCATACAAAGCACATTGTCCTTACTTTTTAATTTTTCTTCTCTCTTCATCTTTACATGCAGCTATCATAGCTTGAGCTAATTCTTCTTCATTTTCTTCTTCTTTTTCTACACTGTAAAACATTTAAACTTTTAACACTATCCCTCTTCCAGCTACATAATTACTGCTATAATACCCGAGCGGACAGTGAAACAGTCCTTATCGTATGAAGTCGCTTAATGAATGATCAAAAGCTTTAAGCTAAATAACTCAAGAGTTCTATCAGCGACATAATACCAATACAGACAGTGACTAAGTAACATTATATAATATAGATACTATATTAGTTGTTCAGGGAATATGATGTTTTATCTTATTTACACTCAGTGTTTTCGAAGCATTAACATATTTTTTTGTAAGAATTTCTTTTAGTTATATGACAGAGAAAGAGTCCTGTAATAACTTCAAATATGAAAAATGTATCAATAACAAAACTCTTCAAAATATTTTAACTCACATCTCTTCTTCTGGTTTATTTTCATCTTCAAATTCTTTCTTTAGTTTTTTTCTCCAGGTGATAATATTTCTAAAACACAGAAATTGTGGCATGTTGTATTGGGATGTATTGGTTTCAGGCATTAGTAAACTGAAAGCCATTTTGTTTAAATATAATAAATACAATATTTTGGATGGTAGGTGAATTATTATGATTACAATCACTTACTTTATTTCTTTCCTGCCCAAAACTTTGATATCTTTTAAACATTCTTTAATTTCACCAATAGTTAGAGGATGGTTAGTGATTTTATCATCATCTAAAATAACCTGAAATCATAAGATGAGAAGAGGTATGAATAGAACTTAAAATCTAAGGAACATATTGTAACAATGCATCAAGTACGTTATTGGAAATGATAATGAGATGCTATAGAGTTTTACTTTTTAAGTTCCTGCTCTTTGAAGTATGTGTTGATGTAAAAGATGTGTGGTGTTATAATAAATAGGTCACCTCTGATGCATTCGTTAATGTTTTTACGTGGTTTTCAACATTTAAGAAAGTCCTATCTATTAAAATAAATAGCTTACCTCTGATGCATTTGCTAATGTTTCTAGATGGTTTTCAGCATTAAAGAATTCAGTAACAGATAATTTATGGTATAATGTATCTCCCTCTTCATAACCTTCACGATTTCTACAATATAAACCACTTAACTATATACACATAATAATAGAAAAATTTAAGTTCAGTATCGATTCAATGAACTTAATGATAACCAAGTCATATTGTAAAAATATTCAAATAGAATCAATGGCAATTTCCAAATATATATATTTTGGTATAATACATGAAAACAAATTTTTGCAACTGTTCACAAGGATCCAGTTTACCAGCTGTTCCTGGCCAAAACATCTTAGCATTGACCTTTCCTTGATTATCCATATCCGAGTTCACAAGATTTTCATACAGTTTTTAATTGATTTCTAATTAGAATTTGAAAACATGAAGTGACCATTTCCAAGACATTTTGTTATTCTAATTATTGGCCATTTTCAACCACATCTGTAAATTTAAACAGTTTCTAAGTTAAAAATTCTAAGTGGGATATCACTTTTAATTATTTAAAAAAAATCAATCACCTTTTCTTTTTCTCAGGATGTGACAAATCAAAAGCAGATTTCTTTTCTTCTTCTATTTCTTTAAACACGTATTTATGGTCAAAGAATTTAGGATCAATCTTAGAGGGAGCCAGAAAACCTTGGCAGACGACAAAGATCTCAGCAGATTCTGTTCTGGAGGCTTGAGGTTTAGTAGCATGTACATGTTGAAATAGTTGTTGTAAAACCCACATCAAGGAATTATAGTCTTTTGATCTGAACACTTTACTAATAAACCAACCACCTTTACGTAGAAATTCTGTAGCTAATTTTACAGCATGGAGTGTCAAAGATACTGGAAAAAAATAATACACTCTTGATTCTCTTACATAATGGATAATCAAGAGATATAATGGTGCATTCATAAGACGTCTGTCCCTATAAAGTATGAAAATGGTTCTACAATCTTTCTTTCTTTGAAGTGTATATAAGTTAAAACCCTGCAAGTTATGAATATTATAGCAGAAGGGAAGCATTCCATTCACAAACTTGATATAACATTAACACTGTTAGTTTAGACTTTGACTATATTTAAATGAGCAGCTGTATTCTAAAATAACTGGATTCTGTACTGAGAATATTTCAAATCAAATATATCAGTTCAATATTGCTGCTCCCATGTATAATATATGCAACAAACATTCATATAAATATCAATAAGTATCAATCATAACATAAGAGATGTCATTTTCCAGCAAGGCAAATTATTCAAGCTTAACATACCACCCAATTCAGAAAGTGAAACATAAAGAAAAAGCTACAAAGGTTTACAAACAATTTACACTGTAAAATATGTATGTTAAAATATGAGATAAAAATGTGAAATTAAAACACTAAATACCTTGTTGAAAAGCATCATGAATCCAACTTTTACCCAAATTGGGAGCTCCATCATTCAATACACAATCAGCTTTCCAATTATGTAATTCTTTACGAAGTGTCTAAATAGATAAAAGGCATTTCAAAAATAGACATGAAACAGTTCATCAAGGTGTTCATTTGAATTGATCTTAATTCTGCAAGAGATTTTAAGACTGATGTAAAGAGCATATCATACATTTTCCATTTGCATTATTACATGCAGTTTCTTTGCCATGTTTTTTCTATGTGCAATTGGCATTTAATCTTTAAATTTTAAATAGTTATCATACCTGTCTACATTTCTCAGTAGTAATATCTTCTTGAAATGTTTTACAGTTTTTAATAGGTTTTATAGAAACCAAATCAACACCTGCAAGTGATAAAATCATAATTAGAAATATGAAATTAGTTTGAATCCACCATAACTGCCAATCTGATGTCAGAAATAAACGCACTGTTAGTGATGCCAACTATACCATAAAAAATCAGATGATTTGATTCAAATGTCTGAAGAAAATTTCCCTTATCACAGACCAAACTAATAAGCTCCCTTCTAATATGTTATATTTTGAACCCCTCATACTCCTAAATTAAATTAGCCTTCTTCTGGCACCCTTCAACAACCTAATCCAAAAAATCCATAAATCTGTACAATGGAAAGGTTTTTACAAATAGGTAATCACAACCTGAGATTTTAACAAGCACCTGGAGGTACTCACAAAAAATAAAAAATAGATTCATTAACACATTGAATTTCAAATAGGCTAGAGAAGTCCTTTGTCTAATGATCAAATTCAGCAAGTTTGTTTTACTCAAAATTATAAACTAATATATTAATATCATAGTTATTCTAATCCAAGTAATGATTAATCTAGCACATGTTAATCCCCCCAAACAAGTAAACAACTTGACTGGGTCTACAAATATGCTGATTTATTTATTAAAAATATAACAAGAAAATACAAATCACTTTCCAAATTGTTTGTGAGACTTTTCAGGTAGCCCAGGTAAGGGAACCAAGTCATAACTATTTGGGAGAATGCAAATGTAAAGTTATATTTATGAATAGAATAATTACCTAGTATAATACTGGATATTGGTGTATTCTCTGAGACAACTTGTAGCCAGCCACCTGGTGCAGCACATAAATCTATCACAACTCGTGATTTCTGTAGGAACTCAAACTTTCTGTTTAGCTGTAATAACTTGAATGAGGCACGGGACCTGTAACCTGATAATAAATCAATTCATCAAGCATACAGACAAATTGAAATTTTTGCTTCTAATTAAAAAAAATCAAAGCCATATAAAAATTGATTCCATTACATTATAAAATAATAAAACAATAGTAATATCAATTGTGTCTATTCACTAATTCAAGTTGTAGCAGACTATAATATGCAAGATTTGTGTAAAATATGGGCCATTTTGACTATGGTGTTCTATGGTAACCATTTCGGGTTAGGCCTAGGGGCCAAGTTAAAGATGGGTTTTCTTTATTTTTCTTTTAGTGTCAAATTAAGCAAACTACTTGATTAATTAGTGTTTCTAATGAATTATCATGTATTCTTAATCTTATCATTATGTTCTTATTGCATATAATTAAGAGTTTTACCCAATCATAAATGTACATGTATGTACAGTCTGGATAACAAAAAAACCTTTTTGATCTTTCTTGATCGGTCACTTATTGGAATTCTGCTGATAATTCTCTTCTTATTTAGCTTATTATGAATTAATTATAGACATGTGAGACAAACTGGTATTTTTCCAAGTCATTGAAACACTTTCTATTCATATAAGTATTAGCATTTTCATTTTCATAAATGAAAATAAGGGAACCCATCTTTAACCCAATCTCTATCAAAGTACTAGTAGTAACACTAACAGATGCATGAAGCAAGTAATTCCATTGAAGGTTATAAGCTATTAAAATTATTATAGCCTTTTACCTGTTTCTTTCGCTAACTGATAGAACTTGTCTTTACGGGCCTTTCCAACTTTCTGTTTTTTACCCATTTTAGAGGTTTATCGAATTATAAAGAACCTAATTAACTTTTATGCAAAATGATTTCTACAAGACGAACACCACATGGCTTTCTGTTTTGTTAAAAACGTCATCATTTTGTGATTTCCGGTGTTTTAGGAAGTGACGTACAGACCATGTGGGTCCGGCATTTTGCTTTCTCTTGCATGATTTTCTGAACATATTGAAAGATTTGATGTAAATTGCTATATTTTGTACTCAATTTAACAACTTCATGTTTCATCAGGAAACCAAGTGATAATATCGCAGGTTTAATTTGTATACGGAGTATACCCTGTTTCCATGATTTAACTTTTAATAGTTTTAAGCGCGGAATATTTTCACAATTTATTTTGTCAACAAGAAAAAGTTGAGCAAAACTAAAAAGCCAATATGGCAAGCATTGAAGTAGCCAAGCTGTCATGGGTTCCTCCCAAGGATTTTATAAAATTTGAAGCAAGGAAAGAAATACTTTTTAGACTGAAAATTGTTAAAACATCAACATCAAGCAATGCAGTATCCATGCACAATCAAATGTCAAATGAATTAATTTGTTAAAATGTTTCCCATTTTCTTTTTTTTCAGTAGTATTTATTTAGTGGTGTAGTAATATAACAAACAAACAAAATGTCTAGATTCTTTAAAGCTGGGTCTGATTCTGAGAGTGAAACTGAATCAAGTGAAGATGATGAATTAATACAACAGAGGCCATCTGCTGCCCCAGTTCCTAGGTAAATTATTGCTGCACTAGTTAACCAATATCTATTGGTAATTAAACAGCATATTTGTAGACCCAGTCAAGTTGTTTATTTGTTTGGGGGGATTAATATATGCTAAATAAACCATTACTCGGATTAGAATAACTATGATATAAAATTCTTAGTTTTCAATTTTGAGTAAGACAACATAACAAAATTTGTAAATTAGAAAAATGACTAGTGACTAGTTTCTTTGAAATAAGAATGTTTTTATGATTTATTTTTCTAGCCGAACGTTCCAGTTTAGCGATGATGAAGAAGATTCTAAGAGAATTGTTCGTAGTGCTAAAGACAAAAGGTTTGTGTGCTTGCTTTGATAACTTGGATGTCTTGATTTGATTTAATTTGATTGCAATTATTAAATTCTAATAAAAGGTTTGTTTAAGCTAATAATTGTTTTGAGCTGTCACCTCTGCTCACATGTTATGGTACAAGTTAGATCGGGCAGTAAGTTGCTCAGTATGCATACCAGTAGACCCATTAAGATATAAATATCTACTATGGGGGGATTTAATGTATGCTAAATAAATAATTCATAAGTAAAATATTGTTGGTTTATATCAATGATGATAAACTTATCAATTTACACAATATACAATTAAATTTTTGTAACTAGTATTTTGCATATCTTTCCTTGATTTAATTGACAAATTGTGTATTTAATATAAAGGTTTGATGAAATGACTAATATAATAAAACAGATGAAGAATCATAAAAATATTAAAGATATGGCCAATGTACTGAGTGGTAAGTGTCTGTCGTTGAACTGAGCGTTATTTAATTTTGATACCTTAATTTAAAGTCAAATTTATCCTGGGTTAATCTGATTCGATTTGGTCTAAAAACCACATATCCTGTATCAAATCAAATTTGAATATGGCAATCAGCGCATTTATTGTAGCAGCGAATCAAATCGATATACGTTAATCGTGTAAATCAACTTTGGAGCGTCGTAGCTCTGTTAACTTCCGCTTTGATAATGGCGTCCAACATGACAAAACAATTACGTGCAGGGTAATTTCTTCCTGCCTTGTCGCCATCTTGGAAACTATAAATAGTATAATGTTCATTTATCCTGCAGTATAAATCAGATTCAAATGCGTAAAAATGCCTATAGTTAAGTGGCGACTCCCTTCTGATACAAGTTATGAAACATTTTGTAAAGACATCTACTTCTAAATGTCTGTAATCTTGTTATTTTTTTCCAGATTTTGAAGCCCTGGTGAAGGCTTTTGAAAAAGCTAAGAAAGTTGTACAAGAGGAAGGTGTTCCTAGATTTTTCATCAAATGTTTATATGATCTAGAAGAATATGCAAATGAGGTGAATTTTCTGAAATTACACTGCTTCTTTGTAGAATCTTTAGTCATTCTAGATTTGAGTCACATTAGTCAAACATTTAATATGATAGAATTCAATTAATATTCCATATATCATTACAAAGCTTATTCTGTAATGAAATGAAACTTTAAATCCTATATTTCTGCACCTGATTGGGTGAACGAAAGCTTTTGCTGAATAGGAAAGTGTTATCAGCATTCTTAGTTGAGATGATACCTTCGGATTTTCCAACCCAGTTTCGTCCCCCCGTCAGTGTTGCAAGTACAAGGGGTGGCATGGAAAAATTTTTCTAGTTGTCGGATGGGACAATAAACAGAGGCCCTGTGTGCTTCAAGGCTGTGCATGTTAAAGATCCCTCGACAGTAGGAAATCGAAAAAGAGTAGGCAAATGCTACTGTCCTTGCAAAATTTCCCCCTGCATGGCGTTGCTTGTCTTCATTAGCCCACATGTTGCAGAAAAGTAGGACGTAATACTCCATTCATTTCATTTAAATTATTTTTTTGAATTTTTTTTATTCAAGTGCTGGGAGGATAAAGAATGGAGGAAATCAATTAGCAAAAATAATTCTAAAAGTTTTACATCATTGAGACAGAAGTTAAAGAAATTTATTCGTGAAAGATTTGAAAAAGAAGTAGCTGAATATAGAGAGGTTTGTTATTTTTTTCTTAGATTTATTTATGTATGATGTAAGATTTGACTGTAGTTAAATATACTATGACACATGTAAATTAACCTTTTTGAATATTTCAAAGTCTGAATTGACTGACTGCACAATAAATAAGTGATTTTCACATAATTATTATTTAAGATTTCAAGTGCTTTGTCTAAAACTTTTTTCATATTCAATGTATTAGCATTCAGACATTTTCAAAAATATGTGCTTAATATATTAAATTAGTTAATATATTTAAGGAATGACCTGAACATTTTTTCAGTTTATCGATGTATAAACAGAAAAAACCTGTGTACACTGTATAAATCCGCGAAGCTGTCATTCAGTGAAGTGTAGATTTCGGCTCTGGTGACGTTCGAAGGAAAGACATTGACGCTGTGTAGTGGCCACGTCAATCAAACTCAATGATAGAAATAGTCCGTTAAAGGGCGGAGCTTATATTTACATTCCGTTTACACAGATATAAACCGAATTCACGTGACCGCTGTTATCAATTAAATTGCGTGATAACATGTAAACGGAATCGTGATTTAATTAGTATGAGATAATCAAAATGACTGATACAGATTTCAATTTGCTTTTTTGCGTCATTACTGTCTTCTTGTTATTAAAACTGTGGTATATTGTTTTAGAATCCTGATCAAGGAGATGATGACAAGAAAGAAGAAACGCCAGCTCCAGGTTAGTACAGTTTTAACTGCCTTACGATCACTTCCCTTCAACTTTGAGAGCCAAGGTACTTCTTTAAATAACTTATCAGATGATAGGGGTTGAAAGCCAACACCTACCGACTTCAAAAAGCACTGGCTGAGGAAAAAGAAATTTTTCTTACCTTGGGACTTAACTTCAGCTAATGACCGTAAACAATAAGAATCAATAGCAAACCAGACATTGACAAAAATATATTTTATTGAAACCTTTTAGAAGAAGAATCTGAAGAGGAAGAAGTTAAAAAACCGGAGCCAGTTGTTACCAAACCAAAATTACCAGCACCGCCAGTTATCAAAAAACCTGTAAGATTATAAGATATTTTACTTTATTATGAATAACTTCATATCATTGTTATACATTGTTTTATTTCATCTCTATATAATTCTCAATTATCAATTTTTATGGTGGTTAAGTTCGCTCAAAAATTTTAAGGAATTGAACCTTATCTCACTACCATTTGTCGTGATTAGAATTGTATTTGAAAAACGTATTGAGTACAAAAGATGGTTTGTTAGCTATATAAGTGCTTTGTGTTCCTCAAAAATTGAATTTGATTTAAGTGAGTTTGAAGGAGCTTAAGTTTTGAGTCACTTTGAGTCGCTTTTAGACTCAAAATCAAATTTTGTACAGTGGAGGTTAGGACAGTTATTGCTTCCAGGCTGTTTCATACATATAAACAGTAATATCAGATGAACATGATCACAAACTATTTGTCTATGGTAATTTAAGTGGAAGTAGGAATTTGATTCTGAAAAGAGTTAAATGAAACTTAGCGATTTCAGCTGTTCATGATAAAAGATCATTTTGATTTGATTTTCCAGGTTCGTAAAGATGAAGATGATGATGATGAGGATGATGATGACAGTGATTGGGGAATGTCTGATGATTCTGTAGAGTCAGAGTCTGATGATGAACCAATGGAAGTTGGTAAACTTACAGCAGAATTCTTCTTGAAAAAGTAAGTCTAGTTGTTTTATGTTTGGAGATTGATTGACAGGTTACATTCTTCAAACTCAGGAAAGTATTTTTTAGATCTTTGTTATGCTGTCCATGTCTATAGGGCATATTAAATCTGCTTATTGATCAGATCATCTGCAAAATCAGGAATGATAACTAATGTGACACCATTATGTTATAGATCTGATTCTGGAACAGCTAGAAAAGAAAAGAAGAAGAAAGAACCTAAGAAAGTGAAATTATTAGAGAGTGATGAAGAAGGAGATTGGGAAGAAGTTAGAGGTGGAGCTCCATTGATAATGGTAAGTCGGTTCTAAAGGGTATTCATCAATTTGTGATATACTGGTAGTTGTGAAAATTCAGAATTTGTTTTTTACCATCAAAATATCTGCCTATAGGGCAGTGGTTCCCAACCTCTTCCAGCTTTCACACCCCCAGAGCAATCAAGTGGACCTTTCACACCCCAAAAAATTTGAGTCATCCACATTTCCAGCATGTGATGATGTGAGGTGCTCTCGCAATTCAAAATAAGTTGTTCTCATACACCAGTTGACCACACCCCCCATGGGGTGAAAACATCCCAGGTTGGGAACCAGGGCTACAGGCCTAAGCTTTTTCTACCCCTGCCTTGTTAATCTTTGTATGGCTTCACTACTTGTATAGCTTCACTTTAGATCTTCTGACCTTTGTATGTGTAGAGTACTGTCTGCAATGCTCTGTGGTACCTGTAAATCTTCAAAAAAGGACCAGATTATGTTGTTTTTATTGCAAAAATTAATGTTTTGCTTCAATGTTATTTTAAAGTCATTCTTCAGTTTCCTAACAAATATTGAAAATCGTGTTATAGGAAAGACCCAAGATGTTTGCTAAAGATCAAGATATTACAGTTGATGCTGTAATGAAGAAATTATTTGAAATAACTGCAGCTCGTGGTAAAAAAGGAACTGATAGAAATGAACAGATTGAGTTATTAAAGGAGTTGAGAGAGATAGCTGTAACTAATAATCTAGGTCTAGGTGTAGATGTTAAATTATATTTTAATATTATTGGTGCTATCTTTGATTACAATCCAAATACATTGACATCAATGAGAAATGATGTATGGGAAAGGTGAGTTGCTTGATATGTATATTTTGAATGGTTGTGTCTATTTGCAACATATGACCATCCTAACCCTTAAAAATTCACTTAATATCATATCAATATTGACTATCAATATGGCTTCACACCTGCAAAAAAACTAGTGCAGTGACAGGAAAACAATCCATTACCCATGCACAACATGAATGAAGCTGCGTACAACGGTACCAAAAAGATGGAAAACGGAAACAATACATGGCCCATTTGACAGATAAAAATATTGAGATATTGTGTGATATTTTCAGTTGTTTAGAGTATATAAAGACATTATTAAATATGTTAATTGATCATCCTGAAGTAACAGTAGGAGAAGATATCAAAGAAGATGATGAAAAACTTCAAGTAAGTTATTCAATTATGGTTTTATTTTTAGAATTTAACATAAGATGTTTGATCTGCTTTGATATATTGAGGTCAGAGGGGCTGACGTGGACAAGTCTTTAGAATAAACAGAGCTCTGTGTGCTACAGGCTGTGTATGTTAAAGATCCCTCAACAGTTGGAAATCAAAAAAAGAGTAGGCCTATGCCTCTATCCTGGCAAAATTTATAGTACTTCATAGTTTTGCTTTTTTTTTTTAGCCCAATTTGGTGCAGAAAACTCTTAGTTTTATTTCATTTTTGATAAAACATTGCCCACTAACAGTTGTAAGATAGACATTTATTATTCATATATGGTTATTTTGTTAACAAAAGAATGAAAAAGTTCTGTAGTTTGTCTCTCCAATTTAATGACCTATTTTCATTTGTCTTTGAAGGAAGCTCCATTTATGATTCGAGCATGTTTTCTGACATTGGTAGAGAAAATGGATGAAGAATTTACTAAAATGTTACAAGGATGTGATGCTCATAGTACAGAATATGTAGAAAGGTATTTTATGTATTCCTAATAATTATTGTCAATTAATTTTACCTTCTTTCCTTTATTGACTTTGATTTCATAAATAGGCCTTAAACAGATTAAAAGATAGCTTGCCAGGCAAGGTAACATACGCCCACTGGCAGCTGTCAGAAATGATTAAACAAGTCTTTAGTGACTACAGGGTTGCACAATATAGCTAATAGAGTGAAACGTCAAGACAGACACGATATTTCGGTGAAATATTATCCGATCATCGATAGGGATCATCTTCATAATGACATAGACATACAAAATAAAAATCAAAAGAATCTGTAAAAAATTGTAGCCTGTAGAATGAGCACGAGTTGCACAATATAGCTAATAGGGTAAAACGTCAAGTCAGACACGATATTTCGGTGAAAAATTATCCGATCATCACGAAAATCAATAGGGATCATCTTCATAATGACATTGACACACAAAATAAAAATCAAAAGAATCTGTAAAAAATTGTAGCCTGTAGAGTGAGCACGAGTTGCACAATATAGCTAATAGAAAAAAACGTCAAGTCAGACATGATATTCCGGTGAAAAATTATCCGATCATCACGAAAATCAATAGGGATCATCTTCATAACAACATTGACATACAAAATAAAAATCAAAAGAATCCATAAAGAACTGTAGCCTGTAGAGTGAGCACGAGCCAAATGTGAACCGACGGACCGGCGGGATGATTACAATATACGCCCATCTTACATGTGGGCGTATAAAAAGAATTTTCTAAATTTCGTATGTGACACTCATTGCAGCAATTTGTATCATTCCAATTTTTGAACAGACGTCTGTGGTTCTTACAATTTTCTGAAAACTAAGTCTTTAATGACGTCACTTATCACAAAATATGCTCTATTACATACTTTTAAAGCCGTTTGCGTTTTTATAGGAATTGCAGGAACCATAGATGCCTGATTGAAAATTGGAATGCTGCAAAGTGATGCTATCATTATCGTCAATACACTTAAAAAATTGTATGATTGTCAAAAAGCCAGTAAAAAAGAATATATCTGAAATACTTTATTATTTTGTAGATTAAAAGATGAAAGTCAAGTCTGTGATATTATAGAAAAGACTTTACGATATTTAGAAATAAAAGGAAAACCAATGGAGATAGCTCGTATTTACCTCAAGAGAATTGAACATCTGTATTATAAGGTATAATCTAGTCATATTGATAAAATATATTTTTGATTACTGCTACTGTCAAAATCACATGAGAAATGCAAAAAGTAGTTAAAAGTTATGATTGTCTTTGATACAGAATTGTCAGGTGAGGATTTTAGTACATACAAGAACATGATATGATATCAAATTTAAGGGTACACATATGGACGAAACATATCAGGTTGTGGTAGTATAAAGTGAACAGTTGATGTTTAATTTCAGTTTGATCCTAGTTCAGTTTATACAGGTGAAACAGATATTAAACCAAAGGTATGATTGTGTGATTTGCTTCTTTATATACATATATGTGCATTTGCTGAAAACAGTAATGACAATGAGGATACAGCAGATATAAAAATCTGTCAAAGCATGACAATTCCATTAATCAAAATCCTCGTCCAAAGCATGGCAAAATCAAGAGTAAAAGTTATATAGTAGTGGACTTCTCCAAGGAGAAGTGCCATCAGGTCTTTCGAAAAGAGTAAGCATGGTATGCTTTGTGTGCAACACATTTCCTGGCTAATTGATATTTAGTGCTCTTCAGTGAATGATAAGCTTCTACCATGATTTTGGCTATGACTCAAAATATAAACACAAGTAGTCTGCATTATTTTCCTACAATAAAGTACCTATATACTTCAGTTTGGAATGTACATAGTTTCTCTCAGGAATTCTTATACCTTGTTCATTTTTATACACCTATATTGTAATGTTGACAAGTTTGAATTTGGGTAAGATTTGACCAATATCTCATGAGTTACAGCCCTTGATATACAGAAAATATGTAGAAAGTTGTACCTTGCTTGGCAACTGTTAGCTATGATTTGAAATGTCTGAAAAATGTGTGCAAATGTCTTTATCCTATTATAAATCATGATTATTTTGAGATATAGTTTTACTATTATCTTTATTTCTTATATTGCACACTGCATGGCATTGCCTGTCTTCATTGGCCAAATTGGGTGCAGTTTCATTTTACACTGCTCTATTTATTTTATAGGAAGGATCATCTGAACAGATAGTAGATAAATTATGTAAATATCTCTATACAGCTGAAACTAGTGACAGATTACGTACTCGAGCTATTCTATGTCATATATATCATCACGCCTTACATAATCGATGGTTCCAAGCTCGTGATTTAATGTTGATGTCACATTTACAAGATAATATTGGTCATTCTGATATACCTACACAGGTAATTATAATTACATTATTTGAAATGGGTATTTGCATATTGATTTATTTTTTCAAAATTATGTCATGAATATGTAATAGGTGGTATACAAATGCATTCTAAGTACTTACGCCATTTTTATCTAGTGTTGAATAACAGAATTAATCTGTTAATCTTCAGGTCTCATAAAATTGTCTGGCTAAGCTAAAATACCTGTTAATCAGTAATAGTGTTCACAGTTTACTGTCAAAATTTGAGCCTTCTTACAAATGTGCATCCATTGTTAACAGTGTTTGCAAGTTACACTTTTTTCCTAACAAAAGATTGTTAGATTGTCAGATTTGTATTTGTCTACCTGACATATGAAGGTTCTTGTTTCTTGTTATTTTTCAGTTACTATATAACCGAACATTAGTACAACTTGGTTTATGTGCTTTCCGTCAAGGTAATATAAGAGATGCCCATCATGCACTAGTTGATATACAGTCTAGTAATAGAGCTAAAGAATTATTAGCCCAGGTCAGTAATTTTGTTAACTTTGTTCAAATTACATTTTGAATTGATGCTATTTTTGTTTGTGTTCTGTAGTTTAAGTTTGGGATAATGTTGTATAAATATTTGCTGTATTTGCGCTACTCTTTAAATACAACTAAATCATACTGTCTCGTCTTATAGTGGGCAAGGCAAATATTCAGCCAATAAATTGACAGACTGATTTAAGAAAGAATAAAATGAAGCTTGTTGGATGCCAAAGGATTAGTTGGAAGGGTGTGATAAGTGACCATTGAAAACACAGGCTTGAAAGTGAATATTGTCAGAATTCCAAGCTATGCTATCTGTCTAGCAGGTGAAATTGAAAGCTTCTGATTGAGCATCATATCCCGAATACAGTTTTTGACATGATCTTATTAAACTAAGCCCACTACACTTTGGTTTGGGGTGTGAAAATGAGATTGGTGCATTTAAATCTGACCAATCAGATCGGTAGAACAGAAATGAGGTCATGTAAACAAAACACAACACCGTTTTGCTCGTTTGAAGAGATAAGAACACATTCTTTCCAAGTAAATATTCTAAAGTTAGGTTTGATTTTCTCTCATCTTCAATTCTTACTCAATTCTGTACTGTGATTGAGCCCTACCTCTGATAATATAATCCATACATAGACATTTATTTGTGTGATTGTATATTTAGGGTTTATTACCAAACCGTCAAAATGAAAGAACACCAGAACAAGAGAAGATAGAAAAGAGAAGACTATTTCCTTATCATATGCATATTAATTTAGAATTATTAGAATGTGTTTATCTTGTTTCGGCTATGTTATTAGAAATACCTTTCATGGCAGGTTGGTTTCAAATTTTATATTCCTTATAATATGTTCAATTAATTAGAGAACAAATTAGTAACTTTGCACAGACTAATGCTCTGTTTGGTGGAGAAAAGTTGCATTTGTTTATTGGCCATGTGGACTATCTGAAAGTAATGCCATAACTTCACTAAAGTAGCATCAAGTGTCAGGAGGGTTTGCCAGTTTTGAAGGAGACTTTGGTTGACAATGAATAAAGTATTTGGATGACATTCATATTATTCTGTGCCTTTCAATCGTCAATCATGAAAAAAGACAATAAAAAAAGGAAAAGTTCAGTGATGCTTTATTCATAAATGTCCCTCCTGCTAACCAACTTCCTGTCACGTGACAGCAAGAGCAAGCAACTCTCTCTGACCGGAAGGGAAATAACTCTGGTAACTAATCCAGCCAACAATATGTCAATATCATGAATGTTTTTTTTATTGTAGCTCATGAAATGGATGTGAGAAGACGTATGATCAGTAAAAATTTTCACCATGTTATGAAGATGAGTGAAAGACAGACATTGATAGGTCCACCAGAAAGTATGAGAGAACATGTAGTAGCTGCTAGTAAAGCTATGAAAACTGGTGATTGGAAAGCCTGTAAAAACTTTATTGTTAATGATAAGATGAATGCTAAAGTAAGTGTAAAGCTATTTTTTTTTTTCAGATTCGCATGAAGTATTACGCCATCATGTTGTCAGATCTAGAAACAGTAAAGAAACCCACAGAAAAAAAATGAAACAAAAGTATCTTGAGCTGCAATTATTAAAAAAAAAAGATTTTGTTACAAGCGCGATTTAAAAGAATTTTTTTGAAATTTGGCATCAAAATGCTTAATTGATGTAGGATTTTTATGCCAAAATATTGTTTGATGAAGCATTATATTCTGAATTTATTTTGTAGGTATGGGATTTATTTTATCAACCTGATAAAGTAAGAGATATGATAACAGTGAAGATACAAGAGGAATCATTACGTACCTATCTATTTACCTATAGTAACGTATATGATACTCTTAGTCTACAAACTCTAGCTGATATGTTTGAATTAACTATGCCAGTTGTTCACAGGATCATCAGTAAAATGATCATTAATGAAGAATTGATGGTGAGTTAAAGAATGATCTTTTAACAATAATCTACCATTTCCCAAGTTACTTGGTTGGTTATTGATTAAACTGCAAGAAGCTAACTTTATGATTTTATTTGTCACATCAAAATGGTTGACACGGAAAAATTGTGTAGTTGTTTGGATTAGACAATAAAAACGAGGTCCTGTGGGTTTTTTTCTTAAGATCATTCAACAAATGAAAACAGAGAAAGAGTAGGCTAATGCTGTTTTCCTGGCTTAAATTTTCTTAGAGAGTTTCATGTCCTTTAGTATAGAGAGGTGCAGAAAAAGATGTATAAGTCATTTCATTTGATTTATCTTAAAAATTATTTTGAACTTTACGCTGATGGAATTGACAGTATTTGTGACCATTCTTTAATTATAAACTAGTTATGATGATAATGAAGTTATTTTGCTACTATCACCAACTGAATATAGCGATGATTAACTTTCTCTGATACTGGTATGACTAATATTGGGGTATCTTTATAAGTTTTACATACACCTTAATGGTGCTTGACAGACGAGTTCTGTTTGTTTGAGATATAATCAACCTGAAGATTAACAAACAAAAATTTGAACAGGGTGCACATTGTGATCCATGTGCACTGGAAAAAAGATGGTGTACACAGAATTCAAAAGCAGAGGAAAGAATAAAAGGGTGATATTTGAATGTGATATGTCCAGTTCTATATTCAGAACTCACAAAGGGAGTGCCACCTATGTTCACTAAATTGAAACTTTTGGCTCTACATTTCATGGTTGGAATTGGTTGTAAGTTTCTAAGCTTTCTCATTAAAATATTTCAAAATATGCTTTCATTTTTCAGGCATCCCTGGCAGAGCCCACTCAAACAGTTATCATGCATCGTACAGAGCCAAGTCGTCTACAGTCTCTAGCTCTACAGTTGTCTGATAAATTCTTGACATTAGTGGAGAATAATGAACGTATATTAGAAGTCAAACAAGGAATTTACCCCTTCCAAAATAAACGTGATCGAAATGATAGAAACCCAGCAACTAGTGCCGCTTTTCAACATCACACTCAAGGTTTGTTTTTTTTTCTCGATATTTTGAATTTATTCTTTTGTATTTATGTGGAGCTTACCGAAAAACGCCAGTTTGAAAAAAAATTATCGTATCCCTGCATGAATTAAGCCGCAGCAGTAAAAAATGTTTTGAGTCATTGTTGTAATGGAAAAATAGCCAAAACTTGTTGTGCATGTGTGTCAATTTTAAAGCTTTCAATATGCTGAAGAGAACTTTATAATAAAGATGGATTCCCCTTTAGTTTGATGTTGTGTTATCATATAGCTAATATTGTTTCTGCCAGCACCATAATAACAAAACTAATTATCTGTTATACACTCTCACTTTAATAATCAAATTTAAAGGGATACTACTTAAAAAAGAATTGAGATGTTTGTCAGGATGAATTCTCAAAATCTGAAAGTTGTACAAATAAACAGTACAGTATCCCTTTAAATTTTTTCTTATTATAACAAAAGAAATAATTGTAAATTTCTTGCCTCTTATAGCTGGTGCAATTGAGGGTAAGGACAAATCTTGATGCAGTTCAATTGCTTTCCAAATTTTATTCTTTGATCTTTGATAATAATCAAGTTGATTTTTTATTCCATTTAATTTGGTCAAATGTGATATACAGATTTACAACCTTTTCGTTCCATTAACTCTTTTGCTTTATGAATTTATATAATATATGCTTTTAATTTGTGATTGCATAGATTATAACACAACCTTGTCTATCCAATTTAGTTTTAGCAGCTTGCCAGCAACATTAGTGCATATTTCATTAGTCTTGAATTTGACTCAAATCGGAATTTTGATATTATTTCTACTGTCTAATGCAAGATTCTGAATTAGATAGTGTACTGAATGATAATATAGTTCACTGATTTTAGTTAGGAATTATATAATTTTATCCTCTTATTAGAAAAGCCATCCATTATTTCCCCAAGTTAGGGACATGATATTCATCCTAATAGCATGCTATAAACCTTGTATTATTTTAACATGTAGAACTGGTTTAGTGGTAAGATATAACCTCTTCATACCTCGGTTTCCTGGCCCACTTTCCTTATACACTATTTATTTCATTAAAGGGATTGTAGAGATGTTTTTCTTTTAAAACTATGTGTATCAGGGATAATGATAGCATCAATTTGCATTATTGTGGTTTTTGCAATTCCACTAAAACTAGGTCTTTTTTTTATGACATTACTAAACACAGGCCATGTGTGACAGGCATATATTGGGATTAGGTTTTGTTTGGAATTTTAGGAATCACAGACGTCTGATTGAAAATTAGAAGGAGGCAAATCGGTGCTATCAGTATTCTTGATATACATAAAAAAAATTAGAAAGCCACTTTATAATCCCTTTAAGGTTTATAAGGGATCTTGTTTTAAAAACCTAATGGGACAAGGTTAAATATATTGAAATGATAAATTCTGTAAGCCATCATGCTGAATTAAACTCTGTAGCACTTTCTCAACTATTTTTTCTTCCACTCAATGCAGGTTTTCAGCAAGCTCTTGGTTAAGGAGTTAACTTTTCAACTCTAGTATATGTATTTTGTTTTTATACAAAGTCATGAAGTCTCTTATCTTTGAAATCCACTATTTTCATATCAAATACGGTATATGAAATAAGTTTTAGTATGTAGTAACATTTTAATCATCACTCTTTTACCAATGTAAAATTATTAATATTGCTCAACCTTTGCACAGTTCCATTACTTTATTTATTTACCATGAAATACAACTAATGGGTCATCTTCTACCTAAATTTCAAAATAATAAAAGTTTTTCTCTCAATACAGGTGAAGGTTACGGTCCAGCAGCAGGAAAACAACAATCAAATCAAAATTGGAGTAAGTATAGGTCTTATAATAGCATTATAGTGTTATTGTTAAAGGAATTGATTGTAAAATGTTTTTCAAAATTTTGTATGTGTATTGGGGGCAATGATAACATTAAATTTGCGTCATTCCAATTTTCAATCGGATGTCTGTGGTTCTATCAATTCTATTGAAAGTTAGTGTTTTATTACATCGCCCCTGCAAAGGTCCAAATTGATACAAGCATATTTTGAGGGGGTAACGTCATAAATCTCATAGTTTTAGTGGAATTGAAAGAACCACAGACGTCTGATTTCAAATTGATGCTATCAGTGTCCCTGATACGCATACAAATTTTGAAAAAAAAAGTTTACAATCCCATTAAGTGTTAACACTGGTTAACCAAGGTTGATATATGTCAGCCATTAAAAATATAAATGTCAAAATTATATTAAGTAAAAGTCATAAAACTTTCATGATTATTATTTTGAAGTAGATTCTGCAATTCACCAGTTTAATTTTCCAACAAATGTTACCAGTAGCAACAACTTGCAGTATCCATGGAAGCCAATTTGATTCTTATATTTTTATTTTTCATGATTTCAGATAGAAGAAATAAGAATTATAACAGAGATAACAGACATTATTAATTTACAGAGAATCAGACGTGAAAACTATTTGTTCTGCTAATATAGTTGTGCTGAAATTGTTTATAATATAGAACTTAAAACATGAATTTAAGTTCGAGAGTTTGTAGTACTGTTTCACCATCATGGTATAAATCTATTTTACTTTGTAATTTGGAACTTTATTATCTTACTTTATGTAATCTTCAATATATATATCGTTTGTTTCCTTCCAAATGACAATTAAATAGTAGGTGTTTAGCTGGATTATATTATTAGTTTTCTTTTCAAAAGCCCCATCTACTGTCAATACATTTTATATGCCCACATTTCCTCAATATTTTAACCATGTTAAAAACTAATTTTCACATCAATTTTGTGATTTATTCAAAGCTGAACCATTAATCAGTCAAAGAAGTTCTTACCACATAATCTGTAATGTCCCTGTGAACTAAACAGTACAATTTCCCTACTTTGTATAACTACGTTAGTTAAGCCTACAACCCCTCCTCTGGGGACATTGTAGATTATTTGACAATGTCATGATGGAATCTTCAATAGTTTAGCTTTGTATAGACACCAAAAGTTGTGGTAAAATTTGGTTATCATGAAAAAGGGATTTTATGTATGGCCCTGACTGTGCCGATACATCCTATCTGGTCAGAGGAGTTGATTGTGTTAGATTTAATCATAATTGCATTTACTGTCCTTGTTCAGCAGAATTTAAATTGCTGCAGCGCCAGAGGATCATGACAGATCTACTAAAGCCATCTAATCTAGAGGATTAATATCTGACCCAGGCTCTTCAAATTATTCTGGCAATCCATTTTAAGCTGTTCAGTAGTTAAGACACTTCAGCATCACCACTGCAATTAACTTCCTTTAGTTTTGTATTTGGAGCATACGCCATAACCAAAGTGACAGTTCAGTGTCTATTTTCCTCTTATTCCAATATGATGCTTAAGTAAACAGACAATATGCTTGTGCCAAGAAAATCATTGTGTGAATCTCATGCCATCATATTTCTCTCAAACATATACTACACATACAAAAAATAAGAAATTGGTTTTTAAATATTTTTTTAATTGTAAATCCCATTTTTAGAAGATCATATTGTGAGGGAATTGACTTTTCTTCAGCCAGAAAATAGATTTCAGGTAACCAGTAAATAATTTATGATCAGGATGTTTGGAAATGGCTTCTAAAACTTGTTTATCTACATTCACTTGATCTTCCTTTAGTTCTGGTGACACAGTTTTTGCCTAAAAAAAAGATGTCAGAATTATTCTTCTATAGAACAGGAAGTAGCGGAAATGCCTTCAGTGCTTTCTTTTGAAGATTCAGACTGTTGAATCTTCACAATGATAACGAACTACACCTAATACTTTCTTGTATCATGTAAGTTAGTAAATGCAGCAATTTGGATTGTATGCTTCCATAATACAGCCCTCCACAGAAACTCTTGAGAAAATAAGCCACAATGTTTACAGTATTTATGTCTTGGGCATTAATTGCAGGATTCTGTGATAAAGAAAGGTGGCTATTGCAGTCAAGGTATTAGATAAGGTTGTAATAACTTGACTTTGTGAAGATGCTGTTAACAATCTTAGCAGTTTTTCCTTGTAATTCATGAATCTACATAAGCTTTAGTTCAAATTTGCATGGTCTTCAGCCTCAAAGACAAAAAATGGTAGTTTTTCATGACAATACTACTGAAAAATAACACCTACCTCTTTTGTTGATTCAAAGAGGTCGCCTTCATTTTTAGGTGCTTTTCGTGTCTTCTTTTTCTTGAAATAGTCATCATTTAATCGTTCAGGCAATTTGATGTTATCAATGTTTAACTTGGTTTTGGTGGCAATAACATAGATTTGGTTGACTCGTCGTAGAGGACAGCCATTTACAGTGAAAGGTCCTAAAAAATAATAATAAGTTATATATTACATTCAGAACTACACATACATTAGACAAAGATGAATTGATTTTTAATGTCCACATGCCTTACACTTAGTAACCTTAAAACCCTTAAGTCACAGATGAACACAGGAGCAATAAAATGAATGGTGATTTACATATCACTTTTCTGCATCTATGGAAAACAGGCATGCCATGCAGTGCGCAATGAGGGAATTTCGGCAGAACAGCAGGACTTTTTTCCAATTTAACTGTCAAGGGCTTTTAATATGCACATCCTGTAGCAGAAAGGCCTTGGTTTATTATCCCATCCTATTAACCACAAGGCGCTTTTACCATGTCAGCCACTATAGGAGCTACTAGAGAACAGTCATACCAGTATCAGAGAAAGTTAATCATCACTATAATCAGTTGGTGATAGTAGCAAAATAACTTCATTATCATCATAACTGGCAAAAAACAGTTTTCATATACTTGGTATTTGTTGCAATTATATCAACATGAACTATACCATGATTTGTCTTTATTAAAAAGGCCTGAAATAAGGTGAAAAATTTCTTACCTGTAACCAGTAATAAGCCAGACCTCAACTGTTTCAAATATACAACTCTCTATAATAAAACAAGATATTTTTTTATTAAGATTTATTTCATAATTTTGTGGCCATGTGTACTTGATTGTCTTCAGAAGTATCAAAACTTCATGAAAATCGCACGTAATACGAAAATTTTAATCTAGTTTACAAGGTCTGTAGATGTATGGGAAATTTTCACTAGTTTATTCAAACACTTATAATTACAGATACATATGGCTAAAATTTGAAGGTAAGTTATGAACACTATTTTGATAAGCTATGCTGATAAACGATCGTTTCTGAGAATAAGGTACTATAGACCTCAGAAAATGGTAACCCATGGCCCTTAATTCTATAAATTGTCATTTCAAAATACTACAATAATAGTATAATTGATAAACAAACAAGTGTCTCCAAAGGCTCTGAAGCTACTTTTATAAAGTGATTAAATAAAAAGGTTAACCTACCTTTCCCTTGTGTTTACCAGCCAATACAATAAGAACTGTACCAGGAGTAATAGAGGGTCGGAGTTTATGGGCATGACCATTGAAAGATCTTTTCCTTGATACCAACTTTTTAGGTCTGGTCTCAGTTGGATAGTATCTTGGCTGAAATAAGGAACATTTTATACTATTAGTTCCTAAGTTAAGCAGTTCAGTCTATCATCATATCTATCTATCATAAAGAATCATGTGAAAATGAAGCAGAGTATCAAAAGGAATCAATTTCAAAGGATTCAATAAAGAGTTTCAGATGTTTGTTAGTTCATCATCAAAATCAGTTGGTGATAGTAGCAATAACAGAATCTCATCATTAACTCAGTTAAAACTGATGTGGAATTCTAGTTGACTCTTAGTTTCATTTCATAGTATGTCCAAGCAGATGGATGGAAAATAAAGTATGAAATACTAAATGAAACCCCAGATAACCAAGATATCCTTTGATTTCAAACCATTATAAATCAAATACATTTAATATCTGTGTCACTTTTCAAAATTAAAACCCCAACTTGCCTTTCTTGCAAATAACGTAATTCAAGTGATATCACAAATTTGTAGCCTTGATCTTCATTCATTTTGGGAAGATAAAATTACATTTGCAATTGACAGTGACCCAATCACCATTTAAATTTTGATAAGTGGTACAGCTAAATGAAGTAAAATTCAATCAGGTGGTCAAGTGAAAAATGAGACATAAAATGTCCAGTACATATAAAATAAAGTTAAGTATGTATTTAAGACTTTGATGTGCAAACCTTTTTCTGAGCTGGAACTATACGTTCGCTTCCATTTTTTTCACCTCCAACTTTCTTCGTTTCACCTTTAGCTGGTTTACGTTTCACAGCTTTAGCGTTACGGGCGGCATCTTTACCCTTAAAGATACAAATAGCATTTCCAGTATTTTACAGTTCAACTTTTAATGAAATAGGTTTAACAGCTTGGTATAATAGTTTTACTACCAATTTTTTATCATTTGGATTCGAATATTCCATCTTTTGATAAAGAATAACATGAGATAACTTAGACACTTATCACGCATTAACCCAAGCAGTTGAAATAAGACCAGTGTTTGGATAAAACTATTGCAATCAATAGTATTTTCGTTCAAAAAATTATATTCAATAAATTTGTGCTTGTATCAAATAAGAATAAAAGCTTACCTTTGCCGCAACTGCCTTTGGAGCCATCTGAAACAGAGAAAAATATCAATGACATATCCAATACTAAATATTGGACTGGCCTACAAAATAAAATATAACATAACCTTGCCACTATGCATAACAACAGCAAAGGTATTGGTATAGATCCATAACTAGTAAGATCACGTTACACATCCTATATTTTAAGCTCTGCAACTAGTAAAAGGCATAAAGATGAGACAGAAAATAACACGATGGAGAACTGTTGGGAAGTAAACAATCTACGAATACTAGCATGGAAAGCCGATTTAGTATTACTTTTGAATTGGATATATCATGCTAATTGTTCTGTAAATGAGTTACACGCCCAGTATTACATATCAATAGAAGTTTATACTTTTGCAAAAAGGTCATTAAATTTATGGATGTTGCGTAAAAGGCTCGATTTAAGTCAGATTTTTAAGGCGAAGACAGACACACATCTACTTACATTGACCACTAGCGTGTAAGAGGAAGACAGAAAGTGATGACGTTTTACACATTGAGCTGTTCAAGGGAGATAATTTTTTTGTTTTTACATTACTCTTCATTGTTTCAACTTCCAGAACTGATCATTGTTTAGTTTTCCATGACTCTGTAGATATACCGTGTAAATATTATAACAATGATGACTGTTCCAGGTATAAAAGAAAGTTTTATTTTGAAATATAATTTAAAGCATAGTTCAGTAGGTTACTTAGGTTAGACCTACACACCACTGTCGGTGACCGGTTGACTTTTAAAACTGTAATCTGACGATATAAATCACTGGAAAAAGCATAATTTGCTCTTACTGTATCAATGAGTAAGCTTCCCTATAAGGCCTTCCCTCATTGTTGTAGCCTCTCAAATTTTTAATGATTAGTTTTATGTGAAGTTGAAGTATACTTCAGCTACAAAGTCACAAAAGCTTCTAGTTATATAAGGACCTTTGTGATAGAGACGTCATTAAAAGCATAGTTTAAGTGCAGGAACCATAGACATCTGATTGAAAATTGCAATGGTACAAATGGATTTTTAGAAAACCTCTTTACAATTTGCTTAATCAAATTGATTTTTAGTTTGGGTTGATTGAATAACAAAAAATGAATTTTAATTAACAGATTAACTAGTTCTACATAGTTTTGATAATTTGACTTGTTTCAGATGGATATACCCCAGAACCTCAGATTGATTATAAAGTCAAATATAAAGCTTTAAAGAAAAAACTTAGATTGCTAGTTTATGTAAGTACTTATGAAGTCCTTTTTTCAATATTTGACTGGCACTGTTATTTAGAATGTAAAGATATTGAAAAGACGATGCGTTTATTTTCTCAAAATTGCAATCTTGGGACTGAAAAGCTAATAGTCGATCTCTAGATTTGAGTGAAGATACTTCCTGACTTCCACTTATATTGAGAATTTATCGCCATTTCCAATCCCTATTCAAAAAATTGACCCTGATAAGGATTGTATAACTGAAACACTCTCCAGTTACATATATATTATTTCAGGAACATGAATGTTTTTTGGAAGAATTAAGAAAAGCTCAGAGAAAATTATTAAAAGTTGCAAGGGATAGGAGGTATATGTTTTGCTGTTTGAATATAATTTATAAGCGTAATGCTTGATATTAGCTGAAATGCACTTTCACATGCAGAGAGATCCTATGTCTTGCTATTGGCTATCAGGAAATTGATGAAAGCAAGTTAACACCATTGATCTAGGAAACTCTCTCATTGTACACTGCATTGGGTGACCTCTGGTTTTCAGAAAAGTAGCACTTTAGAATAAGCTTACATATATTCTAGTTTGTCTATTTTGCATTAGGAATCTGACTAAAATGTTTTTTCTATGAGCTACCACTCTAGATAGTTACTCATAGAAAAAGCATGAAACATGCATCTAGACCTGCGTTTTCAACAGATTAATTTTTATCATTTAGAAATAACAACAGAACCTGAACCATGTTCTTGGTCAGAGTTTTCTATTCTAACATACTATTTTTTTCTTGTAGTTTTTTATTAGATAGATTAATTCAGTATGAGAAGGTAGATGAATCATCTGGTGATAGTGATGCTACAGCTTCTAGTGACAGTGATGGTGATCACAAAGATGGTAGTCCTAATAAAAAGTAGGTTTGGTTTGGAATCTTATTGGATAAAATAAGAATCTCATTTGCATAATTTTATTAGCAATCAGACCTTTTGTTGTGAGTCAATCATGCCTGTTATTACTGATGCTCAAATTATGGGAAACTGGACATTAGATGTAGTAAAGTACAACATGATAAAGTTGAGCAAAGAATTTATGCATTTCATGGTGCGATTCAAAACATAAACATGAAAATTCCAATATAATTTGAGGTAGGATAGGTAGTTAGGAACGCAATAAAAATGTGATTTATATTGTGCTAATTACTACTTATTCTACCTAATATCAAAGTGGACTGTTCTTGATTATGTTTTGATTCAGATGTGTAAAGATATCTCAACTTCACTGTTATATATTGAAATATTGTAAAATTATCAGACTATTTGGAGTAAGCAAATGTTGCTTAATGTTGTAGAAAGAAGTTAAACTCTGGTAATATTTCTGTACCTCCAGAATTTGCTCATCTTGTTCAAGCTGCTGCTCTGAGCGGACAAATGCCGTAAGTCATTTCTTGATTTCATTCAATTTTTTCATTATGTTTATTTGTTTTGTGGGTCTGGAATTATTATGATTTCTCAAAGGTTTCCTAAGTAAAGTTGAAAAATTCTGGGATAAGGAATCTCTCAAAGAGGCTGTCATTTTCATCTTGCGACTTAAGTTGAACAAATTCATTATTAGAACGGGGTTGCGGAAAACAAAGCTTGTTTGATTACAATAGAGAAAAAAAAGATCAGAAAAAAAGATACAAAATTATAATGCTATTTGAACTAGATTGATGTTTCTACTACAGCTGATAGTAAAAACGTAATGATAAGTAGTATTGGATTTGGTCTTTAGACAAGCCAACATAATTTTGTACTGCTGTGATCCATTTGAAACTAACTTAACAAAAGTAATGATATATTTCTTACATGAAATACATGTAATTGTTATTTTCAGGCTAGTGGTTCAGGAGATGCTGTTAAAAAGAAGAAATCTGCTAATAAAAAACCTAAAGGTAGGCAGAAAGGAATTTTGTCAATATTGTTGTTCTGTAGCCGTTTTTATAGGCCCACATTATAATGTGGTGATTCCAAAAAGAAAAAACAGGCAGCAATAACCAATCACAGAAGACTTTTTGATGGGATCACCAATACCACTAGTATTATTTATTACACCACATTATAATGTGGACATATATTGTCGTCACCCATGTCCGTCCGTCCGTCTGTCCACAATTGGCTTGTGAATGCGATAAAGACTACAGTTTTTATCTGATTTGAATGAAATTTAGTGTGATCATTTATATTGATGAGATCTTGGACAAATTTGATATTTATGATTTATCGATGAACGGTTTTTTAGTTATTGCCCTTGACTTAGGCAAAACGTGTCAAAATTGGCTTGTGAACGCGATAGAGACTACAGTTTTCATCTGATTTGAATGAAATTTGGTGTGATAATTTATGTTGATGAGATCTTGGACAGGTTCGATATTTACGATTTTTCGATGAACAGTTTTTTACCCTTTTATAATGATGAGATCTTAGTCAAGATTGAATTTGACAATTTTTCGATCAACAGAATTTGAGTTATTGCCCATGTCTTATTAAAAATTCATCAAAATTTGTAGGCGATAGAGGTGACAGTTTATGTAAAAATTTTATTAAATAATGTGTCTTTGTTTAAATCAACAATATCTTGCACTAATTAGATTTTTGGTGTGATTTCCCTCAGATAGGTGACTGCCTTTGATATACTGAAAATGTATCAGGAAAGTGGGCGTATCTTGCTAGGCAACCACTTGTTCTTCTCGTAGTAGTTTTCTTCACTGCTTTTCAAGTTTTTCTATGTCGGTTCATATTTTAACAAGAAATATTTGAAAAATGGAATATATCAATTTATCTTAAGGTATACTACCTCTTAGGATGACCGTAAAATTGAAAATTTTAAACTTGGCCAAAATGAGTCTTTGTTCATTAGTGGATTGTGTCATAACTATACCAAATTATCCCTGTATATATAGATATTCTATTATTTAGTCATATATTCTTTCTGACCAAGTTTGAGACATTAAGTTTTATGTCCATTTTAAGAGGTAGTACCCTTTTAATGTCAGAAATGATTAACTTGAAATTTTAATACAGGTCTAAAGGGAGGTAAACAACCTGGTCAAATGACAAGAGAAGAATTAGAACGCCATCTTGATTCTAGACAATCATCATTTGGTTTAGAAAAGGCTCCTGCTAATTTACCTATGGATATATTTAATAATGATAACTCAAATCAAGACAGGTAGGCTTGTTGGCAACTTTTAACTTATTTTCTGTACATTTTACTCGAATGAAAATTAATTTGATAGGTTTTATGTCCTACTTTTCGGCACCTGATTGCTTTAATAAAGATAAGTAATACCATGGAGTATGCAATAAGGGAAATTTTGTGAGGATCAATTATACATCTTATACATCTATACCTCACTGGGGTAATAAAGACAGTAATGAGGTAAATTTTGCCAGGTCAGCTGAATTAACTTATTTTTCAATATCCAATTGACCAGGGATCTTTAATATGCACTGCCTGTAGCACACAGGGCCTTGATCTATTTTCCATCTGAACAATAGACAATCTTTTATGTCAGTTCTTCAACATAATTTGTCTAAAAAAAACTTTGTTTGTTTGCAGTGACCTTGGTTTATTAATTGGTGATGAAGAAGATGATCTTGTGATTGATGTACCACAATGATACAAGTCAAAGACTATGAAAATTTGAAGTGTTTATAATTGAGGCGTTAAAATGAAGGATTGATAAGGATAGCAATATTTCAATTGACAGTGCATCATAAACAGATTTGAATTTTGTGAAAAAAAATGTCATGAAATTTCGGCAGAGGTCTTGGAATTGTTTTTAGCTATAGTTAAGCACAAATATTTGTGTACACCTTGGCAAGATTCAAAACTTACACAAGAACAGTTTAATCTTTTTGTAGGTTTTTGGTTTTAATGAACAGTCTGGGTTGAGTAGATTAAAAAAAAATTGAATAGTCACTAATTGCTGAACTGAAGTAGATACAATTTTTGAGTAAGCTGTAAGGTGCCCTCACACCATAGCCATTACCGGTGGGCGTAAGTACCAAACACAACTCAGTTTCATGACAGATGCATTCGAAATTTGTGACCACTATTCTTATTTGCAACCGTACGCAATTTGTGATGGCTATGGTGTGAGGACACTTTTAATGAAGTGAAATGAAGTAACATTTTCAACTATATTATACCCTATACATCATTCTGCTGAAACTTAATACATCAGTCATTTTCATTTTTTACATAATTAAATATAAAAATGTTGATCAATTGTTGTGTTTTAAATATACATAAGGCTTCAATGCTGAACTGTAGTAGATACAATTTTTGAGTAAGCTGTAAGGTGCCCTCACACCATAGCCATTACCGGTGGGCGTAAGTACCAAACACAACTCAGTTTCATGACAGATGCATTCGAAATTTGTGACCACTATTCTTATTTGCAACCGTACGCAATTTGTGATGGCTATGGTGTGAGGACACTTTTAATGAAGTGAAATGAAGTAACATTTTCAACTATATTATACCCTATACATCATTCTGCTGAAACTTAATACATCAGTCATTTTCATTTTTTACATAATTAAATATAAAAATGTTGATCAATTGTTGTGTTTTAAATATACATAAGGCTTCAAGAAAAACTGACCCCTTTTTACAGTTTACCATCTGATAGAGTTTTAAGGGATTTTCTCCTATACTTTTATTCAAAGTAACAACAGTCTAAGAATTAACAAAGTTTACGACTAAATTCCAGTGTTGTCACTTCTTCCCATTAGACAGCATATTGTTTCATTGAATTGTAGAATAACCAGATGTCTAATTTACATTCTGCAAAGTACAATGGATAGTTGTGGGCTTTGTGAATGGAGGTAGAGGAGTTGGAGTTGATATACAGAGTCTGTTGTCATAATGGTCACATATAAAAAAAAAAAACAAACAACATAGAGCATTATAATGGAATTTATAACTTGCATAATTAAAAATAAACAAATAAATTAACAGTTCTACCACTAAACAAATTTTATACTTAAACTTTAACTATTCATATTCCAAATTAATAACATTGAAAACAACTATTGTCCTGTTTATATGCAATCTGGTAGGATATATTCCAGCAAAGATATTTGACTGCATCAATTCAAAACATAGGCAGTCTACTTTATTTGAAGGTAGTAAAGTAGTAAAGTCTGACTTGTATAGTTTAATTTATCTTCCTTTCAAACAAAATAAACTGCTTAGGTTAATGTTGTATTAGATGATGAGATCATAGTCTCATAAAAGCACTGGCCTAGGTCACAGACTAAAAATGAATATGATTAGCCCAATACACTGTCATTTCCCAACTGTCAATTTAGCAAAATCTCATAAGCCACACATTCAAATAACAATTGTCCTTAATGAATACAACTCAAATTCAATATATTTAGTTGATTGATGCTAATTATTTTCTGTGAGCAATAAATCCATACAATACAACATAATTTGAAAAATAAAATATAACAAGTAAAAACCTTTAAAATTTTTCTAGACATTTGAAGAAATTGTCACATTTTTGTCTTTTTATTATTTTACTGTTGAACATTTTTAAGCACTTTTAATCGCAGGTGATGTTAACAAATCTTTTTATAGTCAAAAGTAATAGACAGAGAACTATGACAAATTATTACATGGTTTATAAATTCTCAAGGAAAAGCAAAAATATCTTTGGACTATTTCAAAGGCAAAGAAGCTCAGTAGGTTTTGTACAATACAAGCTTTTTTTGCTCTGGCCATTTCAAATAGTTCTCGTACCATACACTTATAGCTTCTGTTTGAACCATTGTAATTTCCTACTCAAACATGATGGTTCCTGTAATTCCAGAGAGAAACAAGATCAGATTGTGATATCACTATTTGACATGGAGCGGAGTTTAACAAAATCTGGTAAAGTGTCTATGGAATTAAAGGAATTGCAGACGTCAAATGGAAAATCAGAATAGTACAAATATCAATATAAGTGGCTCTGATACACACAAACCTATTTGCATCTCTCTTTAATATAACTTACTAAGATTTTCACTTAACATCAATCTGTTTTATGTCGTTTAGAAGGAGGCTCTTCAACTTCTTCAATTTTAACATCAACAACATTAGACACAGTAGAGTCATGAATATGATGATCTATATTATTAACACACATAACTAGTTCACCTTCTGACATACTGACAGGTATAGAGTGTTCAGATAAAACTTCTGTATTTTCCATCGTATGATCTATATTTTCAGCCTTAATTTCAATGATTTCTAAAGTCTGTCCTTTCACATTGACTAAATCATCAGCAGACGACACTTCCACTATTTTCTGAGTTGAATTTTCCAATATGGTTTCTGTATGAGAGGATGTTAAGAGTTGAGCCACAGTTGAGGTTATCTTGCTAGAAATTGTCTTTAAGAATTCATCTTTTAAAGTCATAAATTGTTGAGTTAAATTGTCTTTATGGTCATTACTGAGTTGGTCTATAACTGATAGCATAGACTGATCTGCAGAGTTAGCTAAACGGTTTAAATTCTCTTTGTCACGTAACTGGTAATTTTTTAATTCATCATTTAAAAGTTGAATCTAAAATAACAAAAAATTATTTATTAATGGTATAGTATGGCAAAAAAATTTATATATTGAAACTTGGCTGAAATAAGTCTCTGTTTATCAGTAGACTTACCTGGTGTCATAACTATACAACAGAATCCCTCAAAAATGCAGTAAATTCTTAAAATCAAGTAATAATTCATAACGTTTTAACAATTATGTAGTTAAATGGATACATCATCTTATATATAGATTCTATTCTTTTTTTGTGGCACTTGATAGTCTGATGAATATTTATTGACCAAGTTCGAGAATTTTATGTCCTTTCTAAGAGGTATACCAGTACTTGACATTTATAAAAACAACAGAAAACCAAAAGATCTACACAGAGAGAGTGTCCAACATTCTAAAAGGATTTTTCACAGGTTTGCCCAGAAAATACAAAGGCACTTTTAATGTCTGCAAATAACAATGCTCTTTCAGATATGAAAATAGAACCGATATAATGTACGTACATGTAATTTTAGGTCTTCATTTTCTTTTTTTAAATGTTGTTTTTCTTCCTCTAACTGGTGACATTTATTAGCTAATAGCTGGGTGGTTTTATCATTTTGAGTGCTCTGAAAAAGTCCAAACAAAAGTCTTTTTTAAAATTTTCAATTGGAAACAAATTTGATTAAATTTGAAATTTACAGAGTGATTCTCCATTGGGTTTTTACACCTGCAATCTATTAATTTAGTCAAATTTCTTGGAGACAAGGTCCCAGAGCCACAAAACATTCTAAGACTTAAAAAGTAAAAGAGAATTTTCTTATTATAAGAAAGTTTTGTGTTCTGTGAGACAAAGAATTTTTTGTGGCCCTGAGGTCTGTTAGCAAAACATATAATCTGAATCAATCTTACCTCAGTGATTAATTGAGATGAATAAGGACTGGATGAATCTTGTGAATTTAAGTGATCTTCTCTAATTATCATAATAGTTTGACCATCAGCACTTTCTACGGTCTCATTAGCAGCTATAGTAACATGTAGTGGTCCATCATTACATTTACCATTGGCTATATTAATCAAAACAATAATATTTTAAAAGTTAAACAAAGTTATTTGTACACTTAAACCATGATAGCAGTCCACTTTATTTTAAAATATTTTAAGTGGTAATGAACACACTAAAATATTCTATGTTATAAATTGACTATGTTATCAATATATTTGCCTGGTTTCAACACTTTTATCCAGTCAACACATGATTAGGATGTAAAATCTTTTACCAGGAAATGAGGTAAAATTTCATGGACTTAAGAGCAAAAGGTGTATATGGTCTCTTAATAGGGCAGAGGTGAGATATGGTAACTGGTTTCTTCTTGTCAGTGATGTAGGTCAGATGGACTGTCATACAATAAACTTATTATCATTTGGATGACACAAAAGTCAAGGCCTTGTGTGTCCAAAACAATTCGAAAAAGAGTGGAATTATGCCTTTGACCCAAATTTTCCTCATTAAACAATGTATGATATTACCAGTCTATCTAAAAAAAAAATAAAAAAAAATAGTAGGCATATTGAATTTGGAAAGGCATATCGTGGGTGACCGCTTGAAACCTCGTATATCGATAAATGATGCAGAATTACTTTTCGAGAAAAACGCAAATAACTATTTGTATGCATATTTTGTTAAAATCTTTTTTATTATTTTTTTTTTTACCGCTATACGTGGTTTTCATTCGTTGAAAATTCAAACCTCGTATTACACTTTGAGATTTCCGGCCTACTGAACCAAAAACTCGTATAATAATACAGTATACGAGGTTTTTCATTTTCATTACTCTCATTTTCATCATTTTTATTTATTTAGTGGTTTTTGAGTTATTTACAATCAAGCTAACAATACAAGGTTTGGATCACAAGATCCGCGCTTTTACGAACTTTCGAACGGTACCAAAAAGTCAAAATGACCAAATATGGCATATACAAGGTTTCAAGCAGTCAGCAAGATATGTAAAGCTGAAAGTATATGAAAACTATTTACCATGATCTGTTTCTAAAGGAGATGATAAACAAGCTACAGCCTGTGTTAAAGCTGGATGTATAGAATTATTTTCTAACATTAACTGATTAGATGCTTCCTGGTTCTCATTATTGTACTGTGTTACTGACTGATTTAAATCCTGAAATAAGACAGTGGATTTGGTGATTTTACAAATTCAGAATTCCTTGGAGACACATCAATATTAAATTCTGTTCTTTCAGAGCTTTTACAAAATACTTGCATATTTGTGCTTTGCTTTAAGGCAGGAGTTTTAAACCTTTTTCTTTCTATTACCCCTTTCAAGATTGTATTACCCCATTCCCCCTATAAATCCTTACTAGTACCCCCCTGCCCCTATAAATCCTTAGTATTACCCCCCTTTCCCCTATAAATCCTTACTATTACCCCCCTTTCTCCAATAAATCCTTACTATTTTGTGATTTTCTCTTAGGTATTCTCTGCACTCTTTTTTAAGTTGGAGAATAATCAGCTGGTGAAGCAACAATTCATCAATCTAAAATGCCATCTCTTTTCTCTAAAATGATTAGAAAGCCTTTCTTAGCTTACCTGTGTTATCTGTATTTGAAATGTAGTTTGTGGATTTCTAAAATGAGTTTTAAAATGTTTGATAGCTTCATCTCTTCTATTAAAGCCATTACGACATTTATAACAATGCCAATGAGCACCTTTAAATTTCTTTTCTCCTTTAATAACACCCACTATATCACAATTATCACAACATCTTAACACTTTTAATCCTGAAAAAATAATATCACAATATCTTAACACTTTTAATCCTGAAAAAATAATATCACAATTATCACAACATCTTAAAACTTTTAACCCTGAAAAAATAATATTATATTATCACAACATCTTAACACTTTTAACCCTGAAAAAATAATATCATGATTATCACAACATCTTAACACTTTTAACCCTGAAAAAAAAATATCACAATTATCACAACATCTTAAAACTTTTAATCCTGAAAATATAATATCACAATCATCACAACATCTTAAAACTTTTAATCCTGAAAAAATAATATTATAATTATCACAACATCTTAACACTATTAATCCTGAAAATATAATATCACAATTATCACAACATCTTAACACTATTAACCCTGAAAAGACAAGTCATCATTTCAACTCAACTCAATTGCGTCACTGCTTGCTAAATAATGAAGACACAGTATGTATTGTATTCCCTGATATATGATTTCTACAAACCTGCAAATTCAATGCCTTTGTCTACATGTTTTACACGAAAGTGAGCTTTGAGGATTACTGGATCTTGGTAAACCTCTGACCTGACACAGAAAGGACAATGCAGGTGAGGTGTCTTAAAATTACAAGTTGTAATGTCACAAGCTATTGGGTTGAAATTATTTTCTGTTCCTTTGATTCGAATACTTGGATGTGCCTGAAATGATAAAGAAAATGTAAACTCATCAGTAATCTTTGTAATAACTTGCGTTTAATAAATATTACATTTACCATGCACTATTTCAAATATCATATTGATACTTTTCAGATGAATATCTAATACAATTAAACAAACATACTTTTTTGGAACATTCATTGGTACTGGGTAGATTGAAAAAAGGAAGTCTTTGAATCTTTGATTCATTTTAATATCAATAAGCATATTAAGCCATTTCAGACTACATTGTATTGATATAAGAACTAATAATAAGAGGATAAACAATGTAGTTATAGATGTAGGAGTTTTAAACATATCCATTCACCTTCAATCTGTCAATCCCTGATAATCGGAAAGATGAAAGGGGTATTTTAGTAGTTAAGTACTATCATTTGATTATCTCCCTACACCAATAATATCAATAATAAGCTTATCACGTCTGCAGTTACATCAAAGTTTTTTGTTATCAAACTAATCTTTCATTAGCCATTAAAGACTGCATTTGCAACCAAAAGTTTAAGCAAAAACAAAACTGCTAAATATATTGGGCCTGGGATTTGATTCAAGTAAATAAAATAAAAAAAATTAGTATGGTAAGATTAGAAATCAACACCTTTGGAAAAATCCCATAAAAACGGTCAAATTTTTCTGACTCCACTCAAACCAACAATCATTAACATAGCTATCAGAGACAGATGCTTCGGATTTTGCACAGCACTAGCACTACTAGCACTAGACTAGAGGCAGAACAGTGGCAGTGCTTCACTTGTCATTCACAAAAATGGCTGAATTTCTAGGTTTATAAATAGAATCTAAGTATTTTACTATATACCAAGCTGGGTATACTCACGGCAAATGCAAGAGAATTCATTTTGTTCCGATGGCATTCACTAAGAAGAGATAATTTAGAAAAAATATAAATTTAATTGTGAATGTTTTGGTTTTGTCTGTGAAGCTGTGTGTTCACGTCATTAAAATTACTGCTGTTGATTAAGTGACGTCACGCTTCTTGCTGACTTACAGAATCCGCCAGGTGGCGTTACTTGTATTTACAATCCGAAAAGTCTTCTCAGATTGCCCGATTAGACGAATTGTCGTTTCCCAAATCTCCATCGAGAGCATGTTAGTTCTAATGTCAAAGTTGATATCTTTAAACACTTTATTCTTAAGGTGATTTTTACAATTTAATTATGGAAACTGTGAAATAATATCAGAAACCCGCTTTCGGCTTATCGGCTTATAAATTATAATCGGGACGAAAAGACGCACGTACGATTTGTCGTGATCATTAACGCCATCTGCAAGAGAGCGATTTGGGCGCACGTTTGATGTTATCGAGGTATATTTCTTTATTTTTCTCATTTTGAAATATCAAATCTTCAGTTCTAACGACCATCATGTACAATAATGTGCTGATCTCTGAAACTAGCCATTAATTTCTTGTATATGTTGAGAATAATGTATTTTTTCGTGTCTGGGTGTCAGTTCAGAAAATCAAAACAAAACGTCTGACAGTCCGAAATATTCCGAATACCACGTAAGAATATAGAATACCCCAGAAGATTCATTCATTTCAATTTAAAAGGTGTGATTATCCTTTGACAATGGTTATAACGTCTACAATTTATATAACTTACTAAGAAGTATTTTTAGATTTTGTCTTACTATTATTTTCTTTGAAATTGACTGTTGTCAAAGTACAATTCCACCTTTTTCATTGTAGAATTAATGACTATTGATCGAGTTTACTTGGGTTGCAACAAAGACTTGAAGGATGGGAAGAAGAAAGAAGGCCAATAAACCGCCACCTAAAAGAAAAGCGATTGAACCATTACCAACTATGTTCAATTGCCCGTTCTGTAATCATGAAAAATCGTGTGAAGTAAAAATGGACAGACCTAAGAATACAGGAATAATCACATGTACTGTGTGTTTAGAAGATTATCAATCCACAATAAACTATCTATCAGAGGCAGTAGATGTCTACAGTGATTGGATTGATGCTTGTGAAGCTGCTAATCAATAGTCAAAACATGCTTGATCTTTCGTCTTCTTAAAAATTAGATCAAGCATTGTGAGGGATTATAAATCTTTAAAATGAGTGAATTTATCATTGGACTTTGACTGCTGTATGGCCATGGATTCTGATTGTGGAATGAGAATGGAATGTAATTTAGTGAATGACTTTACATGTGTTTTGTGTTCTAAATTTTCCATTCCAATCCATAGACTTCTTAGGGGAAAAGTGCATTTATCAGATCAAATTAGCTTTAAATTCTCTTTTTCTCTTTTTGAATATAGGATGTTAAAATACTAAGTTGAAATGTTGAAAAGAGGAGAATATATTTTATATAGTTCTGAAATTGGCGTACCGGTACTAAAATTTATTTATATTTGTATGTAATGTTTTGTTTCAATTATATAACAAGAGAAAGCTTTTAACTGAGAAAAATAATAGAAATAATTAAGCAAGCAATTAACTACCAAAATATCATGTTCAATCAGCATTTTGGAACTCTGGATGTAACTGATTTTGACAAGGATAAAATGTTATTGTAATGATGATAATAATATTGTAATCAAATTTCATTTTATTTTTTTCCATAAATGATTCAATAATGGATAAGAAATTGCAAATAAAGCTTAGAAAAATTTACTCGTTTTATTTCACTGAATAGTGGATATTGTTGATTGATTGGTTGAATGATTACATGGTAATCTAATTATTGTCATACCAGTTGATACAAAACATGGTGATGCATCACCAAATATAAACTATAGATCAAATCTATTTGTGAATATCCAAGCCTAATTCAAAAGATAAACTCTTCAATTACTGTTCAATTATAAACTTATATCAATCCATTCTCCCACATAAACAATAGCCAAATTTCTCCCACATTAATAAGTCAATTACTCCCACAAACATATAACTCGCACAATCACTAAGTCAAACTTCTCCCACAGTATTGAGTTAAACTACTCCAACAGTTCAGCAGCTGTCGTAGTCAAACCACAATCACAGTAGTAATGGTCAAACCACTATCACATTATAACAACTGTCATTGTCAAACCAAAATCACAGTAATGACAGTCAAACCACTATCACTGTACAACATTACTGTCATTGTCAAACTACTTCAACAGCTGTCATAGTTAAACCACAATCACAGTAATAATGGTCAAACCACTATCATATTATAACAACTGTCATTGTCAAACCAAAATCACAGTAATGACAGTCAAACCACTATCACTGTACAACATTACTGTCATTGTCAAAAAGTCAAACCATAATCACAGTAATAACAGCCAAACTACTCCAACAGCTGTCATAGTCAAACCACCCTCACAGTAATAACTGTCAAACCTCTATCACAGTACAACTGTCACAGTCAAACCACAATCACAGTAATATTAATGACAGTCAAACCACTATCACAGTAATGATAGTAAAACCAAAATCACAGTAATATTAGTCAAACCACTATCACAGTAATGATAGTAAAACCACCATCACAGTAATGATGGTAAAACCACAATCACAGTAATATTAGTCAAACCACTATCACAGTAATGATAGTAAAACCACTATCACAGTAATATTAGTCAAACCACAATCACAGTAATATTAGTCAAACCACTATCACAGTAATGATAGTAAAACCACAATCACAGTAATGATAGTAAAACCACAATCACAGTAATATTAGTCAAACCACTATCACAGTAATGATAGTAAAACCACAATCACAGTAATGATAGTAAAACCACAATCACAGTAATATTAGTCAAACAACTATCACCATACAACAACTGTCAAAAAAGTCAAACCATAATCACAGTAATAACCACTCTCAAGGTCATGGAAGTCGTTTATAATGATAATGCATAATTGGATAATTTGAGTGTGGATTTCATCATATTATGATACAAGTTATGATGCAATTATCTCATTTATTGATCTTATTTCACTTTTAAAGGAGGGCAGACGGGCAATGGATCACCATATAAAATGGATGAAAAGAGCTATGGAACTAGCACAAGAAGCTTTAACCAATAAAGAAGTTCCAGTAGGATGTATTTTGGTTTATGAAGATCAGGAACTAGCTCAAGGCAGAAATGAAGTCAATGAAACTAAGAATGCTACAAGGCATGCAGAGATAGTAGCTATAGAGAAAGTTAGAAAATGGTGCTTTGATAATAATAAGCATCCTGAAACAATCTTTCCAGAACTATCTTTATATGTGACTGTAGAACCATGTATTATGTGTGCAGCTGCATTACGGCAGATGAATATACCTTTAGTTGTATATGGATGTGATAATGATAGATTTGGTGGTTGTAAATCTATAGTTTCTGTGGCAGATGCAGAGTTACCCAATCTTGGACCGAAATTAATCTGTATTTCTGGAATCCTGGCAGATGAAGCTGTGGAAATTCTCAAAGACTTTTACAAAGGAGAAAATTTTAATTGTCCAGAGGAAAAACGAAAGGTGAAATCATCATAACCATATCATTACAAACTTTTATTTTGTCATCTCAAAATTTAGATGTTCTAACTCTTGTTCTTGCAGAGTTGAATTGTCTGTGCTGCAAAAACCAAAATTTGATGGAAAAGGGACCAGATATATCATAAAAACTTTTTTATTTTTTGCGCATAGTTAATTTGAGCCAAAATGTTGGCCAGTAGATTTTTAAAAGTGCCTATACAGATTCAGAAATCCAACCTTCAATTAAAACTACTAAGTACTGTGTCACCAAAACGCGAGAAGTTAGTTATATTAGGAACAGGCTGGGGAGGTTATAGTGTTCTCAAGAATGTTAACAAAGAAAAGTTTGATGTAATTGTCGTCAGCCCTAGAAACCATTTTTTATTTACACCACTACTTGCCAGTACTACAGTGGGGACACTTGAGTTCAGGTCAGTGCAACGAAAAAAAATTTTTTCAACTTTTTTTTCAATATTTGAACCACACGAAATTTCTAATTCTCAAATCAGCTAGAATGGAATAAGCATTTATGAGGTTCTGTTACACATTGGGTTAGAGCATTGACATTTTTTGGCTTTTTTTACATGGAACAAATGGTGGTTATGGGTTCTAATCTTGGTCAGTCACTCATAATTCCAGTTGACCCAGCTGTAAATGGGTATGGATAATCTGGGAAAGATCAACCAGCTTGCAGAAAGAATCCTTTATGAATCCAAGATGTAAACTTACTTCTTTCTTTCTTTATTGGGTGGCTAGTGGAGTCACCCAAAGAAAAAACATGAAACAAAAAATAGGTCGTCATTTTTAATATGATTTCAATTTTTTTATGATCAGTGTGATTTCTAATTTCAGATCTATTATTCAACCAATTCGTGAATCAGGATTTCGTGATTCTGCCCATTTTCATCTGTCTCATGCCTCTAAGTTAGATATGAAGAATAAAGTATTACATTGTGAGAGTGTATTAACACCTGATCTACAGTATACTATAGATTATGATAAGTTAGTTATAGCTGTAGGAGCTCTCAGTAATACCTTTGGTGTACCTGGTGTTGAAGAACACGCTTTTTTTCTTAAGGTAATTAAAGGGATTGTAAAGAGATTTTCTGAATTTGGGACACTGACATCTTGCATCGTTGCAATATTCAGTCAGACGTCTGTAGTTTTTGTAATTCCTCTAAAACTAAGAGTTTTATGATGTCACTATCGCACAGTGCTTTATTTCTTTCTCTTTTGCAATAGTGAAGAGTCAATTTTAGTAGAATTGCAAGTGGGGGCGAAAATATTTCAAGCAGATATAAAAAGATCTAAATTAATATTTAATGAAATTGAAATGGCTTTACGTGCAATGCAAAAGGACATAAAGACTTGACTAGACATCAAATATGTGGTCTTGGTTGGTTTCCATAGCAATAGAATCCCAATTACTTTGACCAAATTACAATAATCCTATGTAAAAATGAAATGGTATAAACTATTTGATGTTGTAGGAAGTGGTAGATGCTAGGAAGATTAGAAATCGTATATTGAATAATTTTGAGTTATCATTAGGACCTAAAACTACCGAATCAGAATCTAGAAGATTGTTACATACAGTCATTGTGGGTGGAGGACCAACTGGAGTAGAATTTGGTGCTGAATTGTATGATTTTGTACAACAGGTAATGCATTAAATAAAAATGGTGCTGACTCGATCGATTTGGTACAATTTAGACAAACATTTTTTTCCTTATACCTGTGACTCAACCCAAAAATGACCACAACTTTTTGTCGCTTAATTCATAAATAACTCTAATTTGAACTGTGATTATGTTAAAAATCATCTGAATTAACAACCATAGTTGGGTCTTTTTTTGCAGTTAAGTTTTTCAAATCCACCCATTTCCCTTATATTCACTTGGATTGCGCTGCAGCAAATGACAGCAGAGTTAAAATAATTGATAAAGATGGACTAATTCTATTTTAACAGGATGTAGCTAAACTTTATAGACAGAAACAGAAAGAAGTGACAGTGACACTAGTGGAATCAGATAAAATATTGGGATCATTTGATGCCAGATTACAGAAACATGCTGAGAAGAAAATTCAAGCTAGAGAAAGATTTAAGTTAGTTAAATCATCTGTAACAGGTAAATAAAATTATCATCATAATTTTTCTTCTCTGAATAAAACACGAGTCAAAAATATTAAGTATGAGTTATTGCCCTTTATTGTTCAATTTTTAGCATATGATCATTTCAGAAGGCACAATTCTACCATAAATATATAAAAAAAAGTTTGTATTTTTTCAAAATTCTAGGAGACACAATTTTGGTTGGATTTGGATGAAATTATTAATTATCACTTGAGGGTGAGCCTCATGGAAAATCAAAGATTATCTTAAACAAATGTAAAAACTTAAGACATGATATCATGTTGGTGATGGTTGCTATTCTGCCAAATATTCTAATGTAAACAATGCTGCCTGTGGGTATGTGTTACTTTGTTTGGCAAGCTATATTTTAAGAATTTGGATCATGAAGAACTTTGGCTTAAGACAAAATACCACTGTTAATGATTTTATTTGGAAAAAAATGAGCTGTTCACCTTGATCAACTTTTAAAATATTATTTTAGAGGTATATAATGATAGTGTAAAGTTACAAGATGGTACTATTATACCATGTGGTTTAGTGGTATGGAGTACTGGGCTAGCACCTAGATGGTTCACCAGCCACTTCAATGTTCCTAAAAATAAAAGAGGCCAGGTATGTAGCTTTTGATAAAAAGGAAGGAAAGGGACATTTATATTTGGTTATATCACATATCATACATTTAAAGATTTATTCCTTATTAAGTACAGCTGATGAAATTCCAGATTCTGTAAATTGAGCTATTTGAAATTTGGCTATACATGTATTTATGTCCTATGCCCTTATTCTTATTTGAGTTTTTCTAGTTGACCCATTTGTAAAATCTAATAAAAAATCAAGAGGTTTGACCAGCTGGTAGAGAGGATAACTCTTGTTATTCTTTCAATTTTAGATATTAACAGATGGATGTTTAAGAGTAGTAGAAGATCCTAATCAATGTGTATATGCAGTAGGTGATTGTGCTGATATTAAAGATAGACCTTTACCTTGTACTGCACAGGTAAGTTAATTTGATGATAATGAATGGAGGTAAAGCTCATCTGGATATCAAACACCCTAATTTTTCTGCACTAGATTGGGTCTGATAACGACAATGTCATTGTGAGTGCTATGAGATAAATACCAGGGCATTACCCTACACTTTTTTAGATTCCCAACTGATAAGGAATCTTACAAAATGTGCAGCCTGTAAGCGCAGTTTATTTTCCCATGTCTTTTCAATGTCCAAAAAAAAGAAAATGACAATTTAAAATTGAACATTATTCTTGGTTTAAAAAATTTTTGTAAATGGATACATGAAAATTTTTTCAGTTACTTTTGGGTAGTTTAAGACAAGACCTATCAAAAGATAAATGTAATTCTGCTAATGCCCATCCTGGCAAAATTTCTCTCATTGCACACTGCATGGCATTGTCCATCTTCATTCAGGTGCAGAAGAGTAAGACTTAAAACTCCATTCATTTTATTTCTATTCTAGGTAGCAGAAAAACAAGGTAAATATTTATCTGAAGTTATAAGTGGTAAAACCAGCCCAGCAGCTGAATTTGAGTTTAAGAATATGGGAATGTTAGCCTATGTTGGTGGATATCAAGGTTTAACAGATACACCTAAAGTTAAATTACGAGGTATGAATTCATTCTCTGTCTAAATGTTGTTTCTGAATTCAATTAGCACAATGTTTCAAAGTTCTTCAAAATCAAATTTCCTCATACAAGTATGAATAGGTTTATTCAAATTTAATATTTTGCGATTTTAAATAAAGTACCATCATTTTTTAATGATTTTTTCACTGTTAAAACAATGTGTTCAATGCATTAATGAAACAGCGATGTAGAAAATTGTTGTTACTCAAGAGTTTTATACTCTGCATTCTTCAGCAAAAAATTGAAGTGTGATGGATATTTACATTTTAGTATTTCTGAAGATTTATTTGTTTTTTCAGGATTTACATCATGGTTGCTATGGAGATCTGCCTATTTAACTAGGTTAGGTAGTTGGAGATTGAGAATGCAGGTTCCAATGGATTGGTTAAAAACTTTGTTGTTTGGTAGAGATATATCTAGATTTGATTAATATATTATGTTGGTATTATTGTCTGCTATAGAAGTAAAGATATTATATAAATTGCTCAGGAATAAGGTACATGACTGTGATTAACAAACTACATAGATCTGGAATTTCCTTTGGCAACACGGGTCTAAATCTTATGTCATTTAGACAACAAGAGTCTCGCCCACTGATTTTTCTTTAACAAATTCCTTGGTGAAACACATCATGGCTTTTTCTAAATGTAAAATACACACTACTTTTTTAGTACTAAATCCACTTATTGTATAGTATAGATACAAAAATTATTAATCTGTGATAAGAATCCAAGGATCTTTTATTTTTCTGTTATTGTGTATAGTTTATCCCTGAACAATTCAAAACATATAGAAGCACTGTTCCCATTTTACCTGAGCTAAAAGGTATAGAAGACATTAAAGGGAAGGAATGACTTACATAGGTATGGTATATGGCTTTACCATACCTTAGAAAGGGTGTTTTCGAGGAAGTAATTTCTTCCCTGAGGGAAGTTCCCTCTACAGTCTTCTTTTCACCTTCATTGCTTCCAAGAAAATATGACGTCGGATGTGACACCTAACATGAGCAATATTTTGCTCAACTCGGTACCTGTGGACACATTGTCCATGATAACAGATGACATTGTCCACACTGACGAAAACCCTAACAAAATACTGCAGGCGAGATGACCGGCCTCTCCCTAAGACAGGGTTTCTATGACAAATCCCACCACCTTCCAGTAGCCAGATCTGCCCTATTCCCTGGTACCATCTTACAGGGAACGACCCAGTATCTTCAGCAGAATGGCTCGGAAACGTATCCAGATACAGTTCTACACACAATGTGTAGAACAGAACTACATTGGATCCACGAGCGCAGAACCATGGCTCCCTTAGGTAACAATGAATTCATTTAGCCTTCCTATCGTCAAATTATCATCAACATTATATTATTTAAAATGAAAAGTAGTTAAACCTATACAACATAAATATATATTGTATTTCTACCTCTCAAGTAAGAATAAAGTAAACTGACTGTTTATGATTTATATTGTACCCAAGATGAGCAGATATCTATCACTGATAATCATTTATTATTTATGAATTATGTTGTAACTGTTATTTGTTTAGATGTCTATAGTTTTCTATTCTAATATTTATTAAACAAACTAATATTAACTGAAATTTTGTATTTTTTTGTTGAACTTTTTACTACACAGGTAAAACTGGAAAATAGAGATCTGATGATCAAGGTATTGCCATGCAGTGATTGATGGCTTTATATCTAAAGAGAGTTGTAATTAAATTTTGCATTTGACAGACATTGAAAGCCATGTAATGGCCAACCTATACTTGATGTCCGATAGAAGATACTGACTGTCTGCCATTTGAGCAGCCCCGTCATTCATGTCCAGCCTATAGAGCCAAATGAACAGCCCTGATCTGTAAAGTTCATATGAAGAGGACTACGTACACCATAAAATTGTGCTACCAGCATTATTATGGTGGCGCTTGCTTGGAGAGATCTGAACAGGTTCCTAGTTTCAATTCTGGTCTCAATCAAAACCAGATTATGTTGCATTCAATATTTTTTCTTTCTCCGCCATTTCAAATCCTGTCTCCATCTATATTTTCTGCACAAAACTCACCAATGGAGCTGCCCCTTGTTTTGAATATATAGAACCTCATCAAGACAGATTACCAGTATTTAGAAAAGACGGTCTATATCCTATATTTTATTACATATAACAAGAAGTTTATAATACATGTACATATTTTTTTCTTTTTATAAATTGCACAATGTCAATGTATGCCCATAGTTAATATGGAATGTAATTACCAACTAGATATTATACTGAGTTACAAACTGAAATCTACAAGCACATTAACATTTCTCATGATGACAAACACTTTGAAAATCTACTCACACTCTTGTTAGTAAACCAAATTTTACTGACTAATGTAAGTCAAAGAATGTCTCTGCATTGGTGTATATAAAAAGATAACATAATACCTTTCTTACAACTTTTTTGGTGTCTATGATATGCCAATTTTACAAAGGTAAGAAAGGTTGGCGATTTATACACACCTGTGCATTATACTTGCAATTATACTCTTCTTGTGAATTCATACATTTCTACTGCCGCAAAGACATTTTATTATATTACTTGAAGCTGATATTCCAATTCTCATAAAAATAATTAATAAGATTTGATTTACTGACAAAAATGGTATATGTGATACCAAAATGTTCTCTACAAAAATGATAACTAGCAATGGAAAGCAATAATAAATAAAATAATACAACAAGCTAGATATATTTTCTTCATAATCTCCATTGTTTCAATTTTAATTAAAACAGTTGACTATAACAACTGTCAAATGTTTTTATCTAACATCAAGTTTACATGATCACTGTAATTAATTATGTAAGATGGTATCATAGGCTAACTGTACACCAGCATATATATCTAATGCTCGACACTTCAATGACAACTGAAATGAAAAGAAAGGTTTTACTACAATATGACATTAACCCTTTGAAGCCTGAGTGTAAGTGTAATATAACGTCATATACCCTGAACTCCAAGTAATAAAAGTAAAAGCGTATGACGTTAACTTTGTATGTCATCACTTAGCAACTTCCGGTATACTACCTTCTCGGGTATATATTGCGTAAGAGTGTGGCGCCACAATGGCGTCCTATTTTAATCACCAGAGCTGTCAAGCTGCATGAAGATAATCCCAGATAAGTGTGCAATGATGTATCAGTTTGAAATATTTCAAGAAGGCTCTTTAAAGCAGCAGACCAAAGAAGAAAGTCACTACTTACCACAAAATTATTGTTTCCTGGTTGTATTTTTAATTCTGCTAAAACTTTAATACCATTAGTTAATTTTAATGATTGGTATAACATATCTTGACCTTCAACATTACGTTTAGCAATAGTAAATATATTACTGTTACGTAACTTCTGTGACACTGAATCTATAAAGATAAATATATTCATGATACAATACAATGCATTTTCTATTTAGAGGAGTAAATATTCAAATTTAAAACAAGAAAAGGTCATTAATGTTCTAACAAATTGGTAAAATACAAATAAATTGCACAATCTGCGGCAAACAGTTTAAACATAAATTCTAAACAAATGCCATCAAAGCAATCACCTTATGATCATACCAAAGTGAAGAGCATCTCATTATTAAGGTCTTTTGCCTCTTACTTTCCAGAAACTAAGAGAAACCTTATAAAATGGTTTTGAATTTGGCTTCAAGAAAATAACTAGTTTTCACAAGTTTTAGGGAACATTTTTCCAGGACTTAAAGTGTATCAAATTTCTGAATTCCATCAATTTCTGTATTTTCACCTTTTCTATCTTGAAGATTTTAAGACAGAGCTTGTAAAAGAGACAGGTGTAATAGACAAGCTGTACTCACCAGCACTATGTTGTACATTAGTAATTGTGTATTGTTCTTCATTTTGTGATGGGATTTCTTTCCAGGTTGATAAAAATTCTTTTTTGTCCATTTCTCCATCTTCAGTAAATAAAACATGTAATGGTACTGTACAACTAAAATAAAATACTCCAATATTGTTCTTTATAGCAGCCTGAAATAACAGATGAGCATATAGTATATCATTATGGACTGTTAATAATCAATAAAAGTTGATAAACAGCTTGGAAATGGAAGATATAAATTATTAACACCACTAACACAATCTCATGTTCACTTTAGTTACAAAAGAATTTTGCCTGAATGTTCTCCACTTTTGTGCAGGAGTCTCAGATTTGAGAGAAAGCTGTAAACACTATTTTAACAGCAGGTATCGAATGCAGCAATATACCTATTGAAAATTTTGCAAGGATATTTATAGATATATGCAGTGAACATAAATATTGATTTTCTTTAACTAACCTGTAAGGCCAAAAGAGGTTCCATTTTTTGTACAGCACCAGTAGTAGATAAGGGGAGTGATGTACTGGCACTACCATTAGGTGGAAGTGGACTGGGTATATTTATAGGTGCTGCTGGTGCCAAACCAAAACTGAAAGGAATAATTGAGATAAAGCAATGAGTAACAATGGGAAAAGATCCTAATACTATGGGATATAATAATGATGTCTTCCCATATCACCCCTACCCTTTTGCCTTAAATTATTCCCATTTTCACCCTTTCCCATAACACACCTTTCCACTTCAGCCATTTCCCATACCCCCCTCCCTCATATTCCTCTAACCAATTTAACCTATTTCTGTTTTGCTCCTTTCCATGTCACCCCCTTTTTTTCATATCAAGAAATCATGCAGGGTTCGATTTATGGTCAAGGCCAGTATCATACTATTTGGGAGTTTCAGACCAAGTTCCACCTTACAATGGTATGTTCAAGGGGGAAGGCATTGAAAAGTGACTAGTCTTAAAGATGAGATGATAAACCAAAGTCAACATACCTATTTTTATTAAACTGAATACCAAGATCTCCCATAGCCTGCATAGCTTTATTTGTAAAGGTTAATTCCATAAAAACTTGACCATTTCTTCTAGCGAATGTACCACTGATTTCTAGACCTTTACCTTTATTAGCTGGTAAGAAAACCTGGAATCAATATAGTGGAACATTTAATTTCTATTGTTTATGATGTTAATCAAAATTTGCTTTGTCAAATACTAGTGAGTGAACAGAAAAAAACCCACACAATCCAGACCACCAGATACCTCTAATTATAAATACTCTTCCTTGAAGTACAACTTGGAAAGGATGTCAAAACACTTTTACAGATTCAAAAAATGGCATTGATCAGAAAGGGTTTCAAAAAGCTGTATATAAATACTCATTATAAATTGATACAGTACTTACTTCTTGAGGAGGAACATAAGAAGAAGATTGTCCACCACTAAAAATATCACCTAAACCACCTAATGCATCACCTGCTGTTGATCCTCCACCAAGCTATCAAATAAAATAGATTGTTATAAAATATGTTTTGTGAATTTCAGATCAAATGATGCTTAAATAAAAGCATTTTATCCAATCCAAATTCATTTTGCTTGATTCTGTGGGTACCAAATTGAAACATTTTATCAAGGGTCTTCAATCACTAAGCTTGCACAGTTAGTGTGTTTCTAATTGGTTATAGATACTCTTCAATACAAGAGAAATGAAGATCAGAAAAGATACCTACCAGACTATCTAGACCTTCTCCTAGTAAATCAATACCAGCAGTTGTTTGTACAGGTTGAGCTGATGGTGTTTGAAACATCTGATTCTGTTGATAAGATGATGGTCCTCCTAAATCCATATCTAATAAATCACCAATCAGAGAATCAGCACCTGGTATCACTGTAGCTTGAGGAGCTGAAGATTGTCCACTATTCTGCATCTGTAAGACTTCCTCTGGAACAGCATCTCCTACATTATTACCACTGAAAGAAATATTATTTGGTTGATAAGGATTGAAAGTTGGCATCAAGACAACTTCTGAAAGCAATGGTCATGGCAATAGAATTGTTCTTACCTTGAGAAAGATTTAAATCCACTAAATTTAATCTCCTAAATGACGACTATTCAAATCGTTCAGGGATCCAACCCAACATTAGAGGGAGGTATTGACACAGTTCGAAAATTCATGGAGATATTCAAAGAGCCAGGCACAAGGAAATAAAGGCTTGGGTTGAAAATTTTTGGAAGCACTGGCGGAGGCATCAGATTTTTCCTTACCCTTGAGGAAGATTTGAACCCACAGCACCTAAACCAGAGTTCTTAGTATTGCATGTTAATGATTTTCTGTGGTTATAATTATGATTTTGACAACTTACGATGCTGATCTAGGTGGTAGAGATCTTCTCAAACTGGATCTACCTTCTACAAAATTATTAGGTGGTCTATGATAGACAGAAGCTAAACTTGATATATGACAGATCAATTCATCTAATAGAGTTGGTTCTATCAAGTCTGTTTCTTCTGAGATTAATGGTTTAGCAGCTAGAACTACTTCCTTAGCTGCAGCAGGATCAGTTGATAGCAGACGCCAATAAATATAGCCTCTATCTCGTAAATCTGGGTTGTCACTATCCTGTAAAGGTAATTGATAATTACATTTTAGATATATATCATATATGCAATATACAATTTTGCAAAGGATAATTTTCAACCCGAAATGTCAGTTATACATGAAATTTTTCAGAGGGAAGTGTGTTAATTTCAAATGTAAAACCACTTAACGTTATATTTCTAGGGACCTGAAGATTTTAAAAGACAAGTGACATGCAAATTCAATTTTGACTGTTTATAAAATGCGAAAAAATTCAATGCTGAGCTCACTGTGGTCATTGAGTGGTCATTCTGAACCTTTGGTTAGTTTTAATATGTAAATAACTAAAAATAACTGACCTGTGTTGATAAACTAAGTACTTGTTGTACCAATTCTTGAGTATTAGTTGGTCGTTTTAAGAACAATTTGACTATAGCAGTCAATAACTGTAGCTGAACCTGTAAGAATAACAAGAAAATATATCATATAACTTAAGGCATGCCAATATAGAATTTCTCAAGTTAACTAAGAGGTAACTTTCCATATCTAGCTTCTAAGTGCCACGAAAATCACATGGTCAGCTGTTTATATATTCAGAATTCTATTAGCATGAGAGGTGGGGTCATGTCAAATTCACGCCTGAAATGAAAATTATGATGACCATACCTGAGCATTTTCATCCTGGAATCCTTCTAAGAAACTTTCTAACAGTTCATCAGCATTGTCAATACGTTCTGCATATTCTCCAATAATCCAGATCATTGAAGCTCTGAAAACAGACCAAATATAAAGAATGTCATTTTCACACCTTAATTTTCTGTCCCTGATTGATTCACCTGCTGAGGGATCTTTAGAGTGATCAGCTTGTTGCACAAATGAGCTGGGCTTACTGTCACATCTGATTAACTTGACAAAATTTTTGCATCCAATCCTTCTTTGTCAGTCTCTCAATTTCCACACCTTTATAACTTCTGTGGTAGCGAGAACAAGGCAATAAGTTGGATATTTGCTTCAAGAAGTGTACCAATAATATAGATGTTTATAGATTTATTACTTGATGTACATGAACTATAACATCTTAGTATTTTCTTACCTTGCTTCAGGTTCATCTAATGTATCCAAGTTCTCACAGAGTGTAGCAATAATACTTTCATATTTATTAGGATATTTACGGAATATATCCTACAACACAAACAGGTTATTATATATCTTAAAAATTTAAAAATTTCAGTACTCAGATGTAATATCGTCAATGGGTAGGGCAAGAAGTTTTATATGGGAGTTGATCTCGACTTATTTTTGCAATGGTAACATCATAACAAAGTGAATTGTTCCTCGAACTATAGGTGCTCGCTAACCTGAAGGTCCAGGGTTCAATCCGGGCATAGGACGAGATAATACCTTCAGATTTTTCAACCCGGTTTCCCCCTGTCAGTGATGCAGGTTGGAGGGGCTGACAAAGTGTCTAGTTGTTCGGATGGGACAATAAACCGAGACCCTGTTAAAGATCCCTCGACAGTTGGAAATCGAAAAAGAGCAGGCTAATGCCGCTGTCCAGGCAAAATCTCCCTCATGGCATCCTGCATGGCGTTGCCCATCTTCATTAGCCCACAAGGTGCAGAAAAGTAGGACGTAAAACTCCATTCATTTCATTTTCGAATTATAGGAAGCATTCACATTAGAGGTTCTCTTTAACCTTTTTAACACTAGCATTCATCCTTACCAGCTATTACAATGTGAATCGACATAAAACTAATGTCATATGCTTATATAGTGATATAATATGGCATTCAGTGTTTTATTTTATTTACACTCAGTGTTCAAACGTTTTAAGAATTTCGGAGGAGATGGTTTTTACTATGTTTATGATGCAGATATATAAATCTGAAATTACTCACCTTAATAACAACAATAGCCTCTTGTACAACATAGTTAACTTTAGTTTGAATTAGATCTAATAATGTACTGACACATCTCTCAGCAGCTTGTTCTACTTTAATAGCACATCTACCTATAGCTCGTACTGATTTACGTACAAAATCTACATCCACTTCTGTAGCATACCTATAGTAGACAAATTGACAAATTAGTTACAAATGACAGCAGTATAGCAATTAAATTTCTTAATTTTAGTTGTGTTAATGCATTAACAATAGTTTAGCTTGCTATGCAAAGCACTTTATAGTTACAAATACATCTTTTAGTTACTAAATTAACTTGGGCCAGACCTCATTGCTATTATAAACTATATGATCATTTGTAATAAAGCCAGTTCAGAACTATATATGTGCGAATGCGTAACACAACATCGTTTTACTACGGCAGTCTATGGCTAGGAATGGAAAAGGATATAATATAAAGGGTAACTACATTCATATTAAGAAAGTTGTCCAAAGCAAGTCTGACAATTGAAAATGTAGTAAACCCTTTAAGTATGAAATCTTTTTCCATAGACTGCCATGGTAAATCAACGCTGTTTATCCTGACAGGTGGAAGTAGGGAATTTTTTATTCTAATAGTTAATTTATTTCTAAATTTCAAATTTATTTTTCATGAAACTATACAGTGATATAACACAAACACAGCAATACTTACTCTTTTAATTCAGCTAATACTTGTGCTATATTAGATTGATTGGTTAATCTAATCATTATATCTAGTTTCTCTAGCTTCACATAGATAGGATCATTATACTTGACAAAAAATACTTTCATTTCATTCTTCAATATATCAGATCTAAAATACAAATAAATACTATTCTAGAAAAAATCTTAAGAGCAAAGGCTATATATTTGTTTGCTTCAAACTTTACCCAATGTACTTTTGTCTCCAAAACAGCAATTTTTTTTAGCTTAGCTTATCAGTTATAGTGTTAACAGCTCACAAACGAAATTTGAGCCTTCAAATCCATGTGTGTCCAGAATTATCTGCGTTTTCTTCAGACTCAGCAATATACAGAAAAAGACACATACAGAAATAGAAAGTGAAATTTCTAGTTTGAGGTATATCTGAAGGGATAATATGATTTTCTTTCAGTTCTGGTACTTCTGAAGATTATTTACATATATTCAAGACAAAAATCAGGCCCTAAAAATGGTGAAACCATGGCCTTAAAAGGTGACTTACCTTTTTTGAACAATAAGATTGATGTTTCTTAGTGCTACATATTGTATCTCAGGTTCAGCTGATAATAATGTAACTAATGGTGGAGCTAACTTCTTGACTAACATAGTAACATATTCACTGTTAGGTTCTAACATCTCCATATACTTCATTACAACCTAAACATAAAGAAAATTACATTTCATAATAATCTAAATATTAACAGGGTTTTATTGTGTGAGTAGAGCACATTTACAGTTGAATATTTCAATAATGCAAATACAAGAAACTAGAAAAAAAAAATTGCGTCTATGAATTTCCCACTGATATATCAATGATGTACAGAGGAAATTTGAATGAAATCATATTAAATAACTTAAACAAAGGACAGATATCACATGTATTATAATATATAATTTACCTTGATAGCAGACAGTACAACAGCAGCATTAGCATGGGCTAATCTTGGTGTTACTCTTTCACTAATACTGAAAATATAATACACAGTTATTAATCTCTTATACTGTATAAAATAAACAATTTTACTTTGAAGTCAGTAGGCGGATTGCACAATAATGTTCTTTTTGGAATAGCAATCTTAATATGTACCAAGTTGTACAGGTTAAGGCCAGGTAAAAAATCTGATGAACATCTCAATATAAGAGCTGGGCATTATGTATCATTAAAACCTGAACACATACCTTTGTGCTTCTTTATCATCTTTAGGTGTATAGTTTGATATGGAATCTAATATAAATACTTGTCCCCATCTGAAATTATATCATCATATTCTGTTATATTGTCCAGAAATCCAACTTGATAAAGTAAGGATAGCTTGTTTTCACAATGTGACAACTCCAATGGCAGCCTTGGTAATACAGAATGCAGCAATTTGATTGGATTGTACACCAGTGAATACAGTCAATCAGAATCTTAAAAACTGTAAACATTATACATCAGTGACTGGCCATATTGCCAGAATACAATCCAATCAAATTACTGTATTTACAAACTACAATGATGCAAGAAAGTTGACTATTGCAGTCAAGGTATTAGTATAAAGTTCGTAAAAGATTGACATTGTGAAGATGTCCCAACCAAACAACATTAACAACTACAATATTGGCAATGCTGTATAATATAATAAGATAAGATAATATTTGGAAATAGTAAAAAATATAGTTAATACTTACTCAGTACATTCATTAAGAGCGGTTAATAATTTATTAATAGTAACTGAATTCATCTCTAGTACTTGTTGAGCTGTAGGACTAGTATCTAGTATCTCTGATATGGCTGCTACAGCATTGGCAACAACCTGCAAATTAATCAACATCTTTTAGTTATGATGAAAAGGTCGGTTTTTGAAATTTTAAACTGTCATCAGATCTCATTGGCCTTCAATTTATTATTGAATCTGAAAGAATCTAGACTTTCATGTCAGCCTCTCCGTCAGACAGTCTCACTAATAGGGGGGAAAGGTAGAAAAATATCAAAATATCATTCATATTGCAAGAAACAAGCAGTGATAATTTATATGTGATTGACTAAGTTATGATTTCAAGAATAAAGTTTGCTTAGTAAGCCATTGTAAACTAAATTCTTGTATTCAACTTACCATTGGATTAGAATCCGAAAGCAAATCACGTAAAGCATCTAAAAATCCTTGATCTTCTACCAGTTGAGAGTTTATATCATGCAGCTTGGCAACACATACAGCTGCAGTTTTACGTACATACGGATCTTCATCTTTCAAACATTTACGTAAAGGTTCACATAAATACTCTGTTATTTTATCAACTCTAATACATCCCATTGTACGTACAGCTAGAGCTCTAATTAATGGATTAGCATCCTCACAATCCTACAATAAAAATAAAACATCTGGGTGGTGCTCTATTGGTCAGTTCTGAACGGACTCCGTCGGTTCCAAATGGCACAAAACACATTCAAAATTTTCCATTTTAATCCTTTCTCTACCATTTTTAAATCTGTAAACACCTCCTGCTTTCAGCTTAGGTGGAACATATTCTTAACCCTATTCCAACTTGTTTTATTGAACTTCAGGTTGAGTCCCTGAATGTAAACGTGCAGAACCCACCAATCAAGCGCCCCCTCAGAATAGCTTTGAGATGTCACAAATAACAGAAATACATTGTTCTTTGATATAAGCTTAAGTTTTAGTAAAAAAATTCTGAAACTCATTTTTAAAGCCTAATCTTCAGAACAGCTTACCTTCACAAATGTATTAACGGCCATAATGGCCATATCAGGTTGACTTTTAGCATAATTCATCAAATATAAATAGACCAATTTCTTTAACTCTAAATTATCAGTCTGCATACAGTTAACAACATCAGGAAATAATGCACTGAAAATATTATACCAAATGATAATAATTATCATAAAAAATTAAATAATTAATCTAAAAGCCTAATTGAGTTGACCAGTTAGAAAAAATTGCTGCTCCAATATCAGAGAGGTCATCGGAACATAATTATATCAATTACTACTTGTTTGCATTACATAGATAGCAAATTATAAAGAATATAGCTAGCTGACATCGTCAAAAATAACAGCCAGCTGGTTTCAGGCTCAGTTAGAGATACGTAATGGACATCGGTCAGTTCAGGCTTCAGACTACTTCACTAACCTAACATCTTTACCAACAGTCATAGAAGCTATAACTTTCTTTACTGCTTCCTTCTTCTTCTCTTTCTTATCACTGTTTAATTCAGCTTTTAATTCAAATATTTCACCTACAATTACATGTTTATATAATAATATAATATTCATATCTTATCAAACGCGAGCAAATGAAATGAAAATAAGCAGTGTTTCAGTGTGTTGATAACATCATCTTATGATTTATTCCAATAGATATATTCCTGAGATATATCTATATCATAAGCTAGCTAATTGCAGGTGTGAATTAAACTTGAATGAAAGAAATTCACCAGAGTATCTTCTATAACACCTATAACCAGCTTGTTTTTAATTTATTGATACCGGACAGATACATAGGCTAATATTATGATTTATTATAGATCTAATATGGTTCTTGAAAGAACAAACATAAGCTTACCTTTTTTGGTGGTGGTAAAATATTTTGAGTCCGTCATAGTGCCGTGACCTGTTCAAGGAATCTGAAATAAAATGGTCTAGTTTGAAAATGACAGAGAAGCAAAAGGTGGAGGGAAGGGGGGTGTGTCATCAATATTTTTATTGTATTGACATCTTAAAATCTTAATGAAAGTAATACAGATGCAAGACAGATAAAGGCATAATTGGAGCCTATATAAAGCCTGAACTAGAAACTGTCGTATGCATACGGAACAAACAACTTTAAATCTAAAACAATATGCCAAATTTATTAAAATCATGAAAATTATTTGACCGGAAGTAGAATTATAATTATGGCGACAGAGGGAGGATCTACACCTCAGCACTTTAGAATGATGTCGCGGAAATATTTCTTTATCAAATAGATAAATATGAACAAATTTATCATCTAGAAAGATTTAATAACAATTTGAAAGGAAAACGGCAATGATTGTTGAGATTTCGAGATAGGATGGTACCGATTAAATTACTTACCAGAAACGTCAACAACAAACCGGTCGACCTTGACCTTGTTAATAACCTTTGCACTCGCCTTGCTTGTGGTGACACAGTGCTGCACTTGAATATCTGAGCAGCCAATATTGTAATTAAACCTTTATTTTGACATGGTGACGAATGACAATCCTTTAGATAGGTGCAAGCTGCATTAATTTTCTGTGATAAACAAAAAAATTTATGAAAATTGTTTCATAGTAGTGCAAATTTAAGATTGTTTCTTAATTGTGATGCTCTACTTTCACTTTATTCTAAGGTAACGGCAATTTGGATTAAACACTACTCAGTACTGTGTGTTCTATCTAGGTTTCTATTTCTAATAGACAGACAGACTGACATCGAAAGATCCAGTTACATATTAGGGCCATGGCTGCCTCCCCATCTATCCTGAATAGGTCTTTTTTGGAAGTAAAAATTAAGCTCTCTAAATGTTCAATATCTACTTCAGGCCATCTGAAATCCATTGGCTTCAAGGTGCTTTGGCACTTCAAGCCTTGCTTGAGATACATCTCTCATTTCTGGCCCCCACCTCAGGCATTTTCTGGAAAAAGCATCCAGCTGTGTGCTACGTAAAACTATATTCTTATCATTTCATCTGATAGATTATAATAAAAAGTTTAATTGATGACAAGAAGAAGGCTATAAAGTAATTATTTTTTCAAGTTGTAAAGTGTCTTAATTATGGCTCAACATGGTGCGCACCTCACATCTGTTGAAGCAGACAGACCAACTATATTTGAAGTTTTGGCTCAAGAAAGTTTGAGTACAACTATACGACCAGCTGCAAAGCATGCTATAAAGGTATTTACACCACATGATTTTAATCAAAGTGTTTTATATCTTAACTTTTAATTATAAACACTAACTAACCCATCCTATTGACTAAGCATGGTGTTGGGAATGTTAGGTTGTAACATTGCGGTTAAGCAATGTTACGAAAGCACAGGCACAGGCATGTAGTGTTGGGGTGATGCAAGAATAGTATTCCCATAAAAAGCACAGGCCTAGGTCATGAAGTTAGAAATATAATTAAATTTAATTCAGTTAGTAAATAAAAAAAAAAAAATCTGGCATCACCGACTTATAATCTTATAAACATTCTGTATACAAAAAGCTTCTACTCTTATAAGTCAAAAAGTGTAACCTCATATATAACTTAATACTTGGTGACATCACAGATCCTATTCTTGATGAAACCATTCTGACAATTTATTAAAATTTAAGCCATGTTAGATGTTTCCGTGATTTTCGAAGCTCGTTCATAAGGATATTCAACCAACCTAGTGCTCTGGTAAATAAAAGAATTATTGACTATAGGGAACATCTTGAAAAAAAGGAAACATTTAAACATGTAAATCAGATTACAAATCAAGTAGTCCAAGCTGGAAAATAAGAAAACCAACATAGGATATCCTTGAAAATACTTAGCATGTTTCTATGTTTAGGTTTTAGCTGAGAATAGACCTGATAGATTTGGATGGATGTTACAATATTTTGATGAAGTTTACACAGTTTTAGATTTTATTGTTCAAAATCATTATCTTAATAAATATGGTAAGTAGAGTAAACTACAGCGGAAAAATGATACTTAACAGACGGCCCTATCAACCTTGACCCCATCTCCATACATCTTCACAATGTCAATGTCTTCATCTTATACCTTGACTTCATTAATCACCGTTTGTATCATAGAAATTTATAAACACAGTGATTTGATTCCATTGTGTGCTGACAATTGTCTTCAGAGGACAATATACGTTCTTATTTGAATGGTTTGTGATTCCTTGTTTTCTCTTGTAGGTGGTTCTTTTGCTGAAAATTTTTATGATTTAAGAAGGATTGTATCATCAACAAAATCTCCATTTCTTCCTAGAAATTTAAAATGGAAATCTTTAATATGTTTGGTAAGTGTTTAATCCTTTTGCTTTGGTTGATGAAGTCTATTTGGAATACATGTAATTCTTTTTTCTAGTTAGTCCAAGCTGAAATAACTTAATCTGACAATCTGATTGTTCAAAAAATTAGGTGCTTGAATTCATGAAAATTTGATAATAATAAAACTCTTTATTTTGACAGAATTAGGCCCAATACACAAGGACATGGTCCTGTCTAACATTCAACCCATGGGGACAAAATAATGAAGGAATGAAAAACAAATACACAATACCCCCATGGACAAATAAAAAAAACTAGAGAAATGTGTCCTGTACCTTATGTGAAAGGTTTAACTGAAAAAACACTTGCAGTGTATCTTTAAAACACCAAAACTATTAAAATGTTTACATAACATGGTTTCATGGTTTTATTTTAGGTTATATTACCATACTTAAAGTTAAAAGTGGACAAGTTATTTGAAGATATTCGACATAGATCACATTATGTAGGGTCTGCTAAGGTAAGAGATAATATGGCAAAAGAGCTAAAAAAAAATTAATTAAGTGTTTTAGCTATATAATTAGCAATTTTTGCAATTGTGATAGTCATTTCTATAATTAGATGCCCAACAGATATCTGATGGAAATTGGAATGATGCCCATATAAAAAGTCAGAAATGGCTCTGATACGCATAAAAAAGGCTACAAAACTTTTTTACAATTCCTTTGTCCACCATTTGTCATGAAACATAATGAAAGTTTCTTTTTCACATGCCTTTAGAAGTGGTCACTAGTAGATAGTCTAGTCTACCTTTTCCTTTTTTAACAGACTATAAAAGATGGTATAACTAAAGCATTCCTTGGTGTTTATCCCTATATTAACATGATATGGGAAGGAACTAACCTATGGTATCAACTAGCCTATATGTTTGGTAAATCTAACTATCATAGTTGGTTGCTAAGGTACTCTGGTACAGAACTTTCTAGAATTAGTGAAGATGATTTATGGATTCCTTCTCCTCAAACACCAGTTACTTCATGGGCAGATAAAAGGTATTTTTCAAGAAAAGCTTTATTACATTTCTTAAAAAAGTAGTTTTGGTCAATCTATGAATTTTTGTGTCCAAAAAATATAAAACTATTGAATTAAGATTTGTGATCATTGTTTTAAATGGTAAAATGGTTTTGATGACAATTGGGCATAAGAATATGCAGATTTAGTGTTATTATTTGCAGAGAAAAATGAAAACAATACATTTTTGACCAGTTTGACCAGATCATGAATGCTGTTGAAAAATAAGAATCCATTTATGAATTTATGTCCCAATAAATATATTTCAATGAAATTTGGTACCTTGGAAATAAATAAGTTTAAGATGACATCAAACTCTATCTTGACCCTCAAATGTACTTGATGTTTGATCAAAAATGTCTGTACAATTCAGCCACCAAAAGAAACATTCAACCTGGACTGTTGAAGAACTGTTTCTGATTTATTTGACCTTTTTATAGCTTTCAGAAGAAGATAATTTCTATCTGTAGTAAACTGTTTAAATGGACTGCTGTTAGTCTATCTACTGGTGTGTCTGTGGCTGTATTTTTTCTCCAGTTTTTAGACTGGTGGTATCAACGTGAAGACAAAGCTGTATCATTAACATCTTTACCTATTCCAGATCCACCTCAGGTACTTTTCTTCTCTCTGTAATTCCTTTGAGTCCAAGATATTCTGACAACTGTGGCCTTATCCAGTTCCTCAGACGACCAAAAATCTCCTTAGAATTGGGTAAGAATGAACTCTCTTGAAAACTGACATTTGATGTCTGGCCGGAGGAATTGGGTTGGGCTAGAGTTCACAAGAATGGTAATGGAGATCACACATTGTGTCTCAGGATCTAAAATCTACAAAATAGATAATGATTTGGATTTTGTGACCCTTGATCTGTTTTGCTGAATAGAAACATGCTGAGAAAAAAGAAATTAAAAACCGCTTTGTCACCTTGTTAGGGAAATCACCATAAAATGTATTTAGTGATATTTATGAATATCATTTTTTTCTTCAGGATGGTAATGAAGAGTTATCAGCTCCTGTTTGTCCAATTTGTAATCAAAAAAGACAAAATGAAACAGCATTATCTGTTTCTGGGTAAGATTTTACACATTATAATGTGCTCATATATTGTCATCTCCCCTGCCTGTTCACAATTGGCATGTGAACACAATAGAGGTGACAGTTTTTATCTGATTGTAATGAAATTTGGTGTTATCATTTTTTCAAAATTGGCATATAACTCAAACAGTTTTCTAGTTTTTCACCTAGGTGAAAATTAATGTTTTTAATTCAAAATTCAAAGTGAAATATGTCGTATGTGAGCCACTGTAGCTATCTTATATTTTGTTATCTCTTTCAGATATGTATTTTTTTATCTCTTTCAGATATGTATTTTGTTATCTCTTTCAGATATGTATTTGGTTATCTATTTTAGATATGTATTTTGTTATTTCAGATACGTATTTTGTTATCTATTTCAGATATGTATTTTGTTATCTATTTCAGATATGTATTTTTTTTTATCTATTTCAGATATGTATTTTGTTATCTATTTCAGATATGTATGTTGTTATCTCTTTCAGATATGTATTTTGTTATCTATTTCAGATATGTATTTTGTTATCTATTTCAGATATGTATTTTGTTATCTCTTTCAGATATGTATTTGGTTATCTATTTCATATATGTATTTTGTTATTTCAGATATGTATTTTGTTATTTCAGATATGTATTTTGTTATCGCTTTCAGATATGTATTTTGTTATCTTTCAAAATGTATTTTGTTATCTATTTCAGATATGTATTTTGTTATTTCTTTCAGATATGTATTTTGTTATCTCTTTCAGATATGTATTTGGTTATCTATTTCAGATATGTATTTTGTTATTTCAGATATGTATTATGTTATCTATTTCAGATATGTATTTTGTTATCTATTTCAGATATGTATTTTGTTATCTATTTCAGATATGTATTTTATGTATTTTGTTATCTATTTCAGACATGTATTTTGTTATCGGTGTATATATAGTTATATCAATCAACATGGAAGTTGTCCTGTATCCAGTTATCCAGCTACATTAGATCATTTAATTAAATTGTATCCACCTGATACTTAGTGTTATTAAAATTCTTAATGTTATCATATTCTCTGTCTTATCTTCATATATTTATATGTTAAATATAACTAAAAGAATTATGTTTCACATTCATCATTTGATTAATGTTATACCAATAACCTTAAAATAGGGGAGGGGTGTATGACCTCCCTAGAAATTTGGCTGGCCCAGCGTTTGCCCCCCAGTTTCAAAGTATTGAATTCTTAAATGCTTGGTGCTATTGGTCCCCCTTGACAATTATTGGGCCCCCACTCGGCCCAGCTACCAAATGCTTTATAGAAACGTCACTTGCTGGAAGATCTTTGGTTTGACCAATGATGATTTTCTTGGTAGTTTAAAACTGAGCATGGGGGACTATTTGCAATTAGTTTTGATCGAATTTAACATATATTGCAGGTATAGGCTTTATTTTTAAAAGCCTTAAATTATTTTGGTTTCTAGAAAATCCCATTCTATAAAACCCTAAGATTCGGATGTTAGGTCCATGGGAAATTTTGGGAGGGGGCTCTGTATGCAATGAAAAGTTAACAACAATCAGTTATTGTTTTGATCGATTGACAATCAAGAAGTTGACATGTTAATGATGAATGATATGAAACATAAGAGGACCGAGCTTGGCCTTGTTAGAAAGTTATACTTGATTATCCGGGTAGAAAGATAAGGAAGTTTTTCTATGTTATTTTTAGTAATGAGTCATTGATCGTGACTACGCCATTTCAAGCGATAAAAGCGACAGGTATCCAGGTGTAAATAAAGGTTTTGAGTTTATATATAGATATAAATATTTTTAATAAAGATGGCTGCTTAAAAGGTTCCTTTGAATTACCTAAACCTGAAATTGGAATGTCATGGTGAATAAAAGGTAAGTTGAGGACAAGGCGTATATTTTAAATACCAATTCCCATCCTCAGGTAATGATATCGGCTACCTGGACAGTTAATAGGTCAATTGCGCAAGGTTTGACCTAATCTCTACAATCTGCTCTCAATGCCCTTTTTGGGTTCGTATTGAAATTTCACCAGCGATTGTAAGGCAGTTGCTTATTGGACAATTGCTCATTAAAGAATCGAGAAAAAGGACAATCTGACCACAATTTTTTAACACCATTCTATTTTTTCATAATATTCAGTTTTCAGGACCTATGACTTCTTTTCACAAATGATGGCTTATTAAAGAATGGGGATCACACTTTGAAAACATTTACACAAAATGCAAGAGCTAAAGTTTTATTCTGACTTGCCTGGGCCCACCTCCCTTAGGCTCCGGGGTAAGGAGGAGGCTGCAGCTATCCTTCTGTGTGAATTCTGTTTAATAGTCTGCCCAAGGATCAGGCAGTGGTTCCCACATTAAATCTTCAGAACCAGCCAATAAAAGGTCATTAAAAATATAATGATCTCTATCAATTTGAATTAGAAAAGTCATGGTGATCTATATTATTAATGATCCCCTGTTAAAAGAGTCATTAAACATTGGAAATGTGCTTTGGGGTGAGCAACTGTCTGTTGAGTAACTGTCTGTTGAGCAACTGTCTTGCTCTGAAAATAATGTACCGATATTCACTCTTATAACAATGATTAATAGGGCATAATGGTGAGAGAGAGAGAGTGAGTGGTGGAAATCTGGTTAGTTTTTCAAAAAAATTTTCTTGGGAGACCCCTTTCAGACGCTCCATGAGATGCTCAAGACTATGACCCCCCATCCCATTTTGAATTCCAGCCTCAACAGTTGCCTCCTATTGAGTCAATCTGCGCCCTATGTGTACCCCCAATTTCTGCAGCTACTGTTTACTGGTGCACAATCAGAACATGGAGACACTTTATACATGTCAGCCCCTATATCTCTGACAGGAGAAAACCAGGTTGACAAATTCTTAAGTTATAGTTTCAAACAAATTGTTTAAAAAAGTTCAAATCTGATTAATGTGCAATAACATACTGTTTTGAGACAAGATAATATTTTTTATTAGGATAGAACATCTTATCTTAGAATGTGGTTTACACAATCACCAACTACAATTTTTCAAGTGTACTTCAGTTATACGTATTTCAGAGATGGTTGATTAAATGGTTTTTAAAATGGAGGTTTTAGATTATATTTTTCTTCTCTCCTTACTAAGCAGTGGTGAGTTTGTATGATGTACATTTATTTCTTTTTAATTATATGGCTGTATTGGTATTTGTCCAATACCATAGTCTTCTGTGAAAATGTAGACTGGTATGTCTTTTCTATTACAAGCATGTATTTGTGTGCAGCAGTGTCTCAGTGAGTGACTCTTGCTCACTAATCGGAGGGTCCAAGGTTCAATCCTACCATAGGTCTTGATATACCTTAGGATGTTGAAACTCTGTTTAAAGCTGGGACTTAGATCACTGGTGTTTCTAAAAGGGGGGTGACCCTGAAAAATTAGATTTGCCCGCCGTTCTCTCCCCCCAGTTTCAAATTTCTTCATTGACTTCTGCAATGCCTGGTGATGTAAGTATCACTCAATAAATATGTGACCCACACCTGCTTCCTCCACCTAAATATTGATGGGATTGTAATGAGGTTTTCTAAATTTTTTATGTGTAACCGTGACACTGATAGCATCAATTTGCACCATTCCAATTTTTTTCTTTTTGTACATTGCATGTCTCAATCTGTTTCAGAAAAGTAGGGCATAAAACTCCTATTTATTTTCAGATTTTATTCAATTCATTATTTTATACTTGTTATGTTTTTGCAGGGTCTGGTGAAAACATAATATATTGTTCAGAAAGAAGAACTATACCAACAGAAAGTACTGTTCAACTTGCTTTACGTTATCGCTCAATAGGAATTGTAAAGTAATGTATAGTAATTCATCTGATAGACTTCTAATATAGAAACTAATAGCACTCACATATATCTACATAGCATTGCATTGCATTTTACTGTTGCTGTGTCATAGAAGCCATTTTGTAAGGAAACAATGTTCATGTACCAAATTAATCACGACTGCTTTGCCAAGTCACTGATTTTGCCGTTTAAACCAATGTGCTTTCATTTAAGATGACAATCATTGCTAAAGTATAATGATGTTAGTAATCAGAAAAGTAGACACCATTGTTCACAGCGAGATGTTCAACCAAGTGTGACATGCTATAGACAGGCCCATAGCTAGAGGGGAACCCCCCTGAAAAATTTAGATGACTTAAATGACTTGTTGAGTCACTATAGTTGAGCCCCCTAGCTACGGACCTGGCTATAGATATTATAAAACTTTTTATGCTGGGATTCATAAAGTTTCAAAGCTAAGTCAAATATATTTTGACGTTATGATTATAGAGATATTATATATTTTTTTTCCCCAAACATTTTTTCGACAGAGAATTTTAAAAAGGCTGCTTTTTCAATGTACAGTCTATAGAGCTCATTTTTGGGGAAATCATGAGGTCAAGATATTATAGTCTTAGTTTTTATACGTCTACATGGAAATGTGTACGTATATTGCCATCAACCCTGTCCGTCCGTTCACAGTTTTTGTAGGCACGATAGAGGCTAAAGTTTTTATACTATCTAGATGAAACTTGGTATGTATGTATATATTGATGAGATCTCAGTTAAGTTCGATATTGTTAGAAATGGCTGAACGGTTTCAGTGTTATTGCCCTTGACTTAGTAAACCTAGATGAAACTAGGTATGCATGTATACGTTGATGAGATCTCAGTCGAGTTCATAATTGGTAACAATTGGATGAAGGTTATCGGAGTTATTGCCCTTGACTTAATAAAAACTTTTCAAATTCAGCTCGCAGGCACTCTAGAGACTACAGTTTTTATCTAATCTTGATGAAACTAGATGCATGTACATATGTATTATTAATGAGATCTCGGTCAAGTTATAAATTGGTAATAATCGGATGAACGGTTTAGATGATTTTAAGATTATTTGAAAATTCATTATTTAGCCACAAAAGATTTTGTTATCATTCTGACAGCTGGTAGTGGGCGTATGTTAACTTGCCTGGCAAACTATTTTTAAACTTTGTGTATTATTCTTTACATGTAAAATGTTGACGTTTTTCTGAGCCAACTCATACATTAGTTTGGTATTTTTGGGTAAAAAAGAATTTTGTTATTTACATTTTAGTTATATATGTTTTTGGAAAGTCAATTTTGGTGATAGTAACCAGGAAATCCGTATAGATTTTAATGAATTTCGTTTGAATGGTACATATAATTGTTTATATGAATATTTAGAATTCGACTTTCCAAGTAAGACTTTATATTATCAAAGTATTCTAGGGGTATTGACCATGCAACGGTTGTTTGAAGGCTGACACATGGCTGACTTTCTGAAATATTAGCTGTTGCATCATCATAAAATGAGATTGATTTGAACCCATGGCGCCTAATTGTGTTGCAGAGAATAATCTAACATGCTACCCACAGAGCTATTACACTATCAAAGAGAGTGTTCTAGTCTAGCAATTGAAGGAAATATTGACATTTAAAGGGATGGTAAAGAGGTTATCTAAATTTTGTATGTGTATAGGGGATTCTGATAGTATTAATTTGCATCATTCCAATTTTCAATCAGGCCTTGATCGTTCCTGCAATTTCTCTCTCTCCATTGACACTAATGTAAAAAACAGAATTGACTTCATGGTAATGAAATTAATGTTTTGTTTGCCACTGGAAGAAAGATTTGAGTTAAAATTTCTGTTTAAGGAAGCTGAAACACACCCTGTCTTTAAGATTAATTGCTAAAAAAATTTTAAATTAGTAAAAATGACCACAGATTGCAACTAAATTGTAATGGGCACGTGACTAAGCCATTTTGAACATATCCAAAATAAATGTTGGGACTTGGCGAATATTGATGACAATGCCCAATTGCACGATGTCTCAATTTTCCATCCCAGTCGCAGCGCAGTAAGAATGATTATCTCGTGGTGTGATAGGGGCTATTAAGAATACCATAGTTTATTCTCTTTATGTTTTTTGCTGTATTATGTGCTCTCTGTTTCTTATGTCCATTTGAGATGAAATTCATTTGAATTTTTTTCAGACCATAAAGAGAAAAATATGAAATTTTGTGGAACATCTTATCCTAAAGAGTTACAATTAACAAGTGTTAAGGATGATTATTTTCAAATTATTCATTACACATTAATTCATTATTATGTACATCTTAATATTACGGTCAAAAAAGGTAAATATTTTTATTATTAACAAACAATCTTAGTAAAATATTAACATCTCAAATTATTGACTAGGTCTGCTTATGCCAGTCATGATTGATAGACCATCTGAAATGTTTGATCAATAAGCCAATTCTTATGGATATTTAGATATTCTTCAACAGAAAATATCAACAACTAATGAATTATGGCAAAACTAAGGAAGACGAGAAAAAACCATAAGTTGCTTTAGGTAAAATTTTTGAAATTATTGAACTGATATTACTTTTTACAGATCTAATAATGGCATCCAAAGTATCGGAATTAACTGTTGGTGATAAACCAATGTACATCTATTCACCAGGATATCCTGGTACATATTACAAGTAAGTTACACGGACAGATTCAGCTTTTTGGGGGGTTGCTTTAGTATTGAATATATATAAATAGTCTTCAGAAGTACTAGAAATGTAAGAACATCGCAAAATTCCTTTAAAAATACTTAAAACTAGGAATTTTACTCACTGTTTCTATATATGTCTTTTCTATATATCATAGAGTATCTTTAAATGAAGAGTCATCATTTTAACATTCACACACGGATATTTCTAGACAAACATGGATTTTAAGGATCAAATCTCATCACTTTAAAATACTCTGTGATATATAGAAAATACAATTATAGAAAAAGTGAGTAAAATTCCTAGTTTGAAGTATTTTTAAAAGAATTTTGCGATTTTCTTACATTTCTAGTACTTCTGAAGACTTTTTACATTTATTCAGGACTAAAATCCCCCCTCCCCCCCAAAACACAAATTAGCACAACTGTCCCTTTAAATGGGATTTAGTCACAATTCCTGTTAAAACTGGTATACACTTTCAATTACTCAAAATAATTATGTGTTTCTGATATTTTTGTTATTTCTGGCTGTCCTTTGTTATAATCAGTAATTAGCACTATTAGTACATATTTATGTTAGGTTAGGTTATGTTAGGTTATGTTAGGTTAGGTTAGGTTAGGTTAGGTTAGGTTAGGTTAGGTTAGGTTAGGTTAGGTTAGGTTAGGTTATTTCAGGATAGATTGACATCATAAGCTTATTTTGTGTTTTTAGGTACTCCAATATAACATGGCAATTAACTGCCAAGGACACCACCAGCAGAATTATGTTTGAATTTCTATGGTTAAAGATGGAGAAAGATTGTATTTTTGATTTTATAGTAATAACAGGAGGTGAGAATAATGAATGTCATTTAAAATATTTGATATTATATGATATCATATGATATTTTTCCATCCTGATAAGGATTGTTTATCCAAAACAGGTGCTGATATTGTTGATATATATTTCTGTTGTAGATAAAACTAATTACCGTACCTGTGGTTATAAATCGAGGTTTTTGGTAGCAGCCAATGATTCCCATGTCAGAATGACTTTTGAAAGTGATGGTTTTGCAGAATATGAAGGTTTTGTAGTAAAATATTATACAGTACCTTATCCAGGTGAGTAAATTTTGTATGGGTATCAGGGACACTGTTAGCATCATTTTGCACCATTCAAATTTTCAATCACTGTGGTTCTTCAATTCATCTAAAATTAAGTATTTGATGACATCACTAATCACAAAATATGCTAGTATCACGTAAGGCCCTTCACGATTAGTGACATCATCACTTACGTTATCTTATTGAGTCAACAATTGATTGACTTTTTATTTTGAATGTTCCTTGATGATGTCATGTGTATTCAGTAGACTCAATCATCCTGTCCCACTTCGTCTATGCACAGCTGCAATGGAAGTTGTCTTGGTGTTAAAGACTATATCAACAAGACGTTTAACTTTCTGATACCCCAAATGTCAGTGAGAAGATAAGCTTGTGAACAAAATAAATAAAAAGTTAAAATTCTAAAAACTATTTGAAAGAAGTATAGGATTTTCGTACACTTTTAGTAGTTCTGAAGACTATTTACTTAATTATTTTCAAGGCTCAAGTCAACTACCAAAATGCAGCACATGTCCCTTTTAGTCATTATAAGTTTTATTTTTGGTTTTTGTTTAGAATATAAAGAAAGCTGTGTAAGAGAAGGTTTAAAACTGACAGCTATTCCTTACCAACCTCAGATGTTAACAGTTATAAAAACAAAGTAAGCATTTTGTCACTCAGAATTAATACAAGTCTACAATTAGGGCTGAGCGATATTGGTTCAAGTGGAAATCAAGATTAAGCATTGATATATCACATGATATGGATTGCCTATATATAACGTTATTTCTGAAGTCTGGTTTTTGGAACAATATCTTGTGGTTTTTTTATCTAATAATATGTAAAAAAAAAACAATGAATATCCCAAATATTCCCTTGTGGCTTTTTTGTTACATGTGCTCTCCACTTCTAAATGTTTTCCAAATTTTATTTTCCTTTAAATGGTTGTCCAGTTGGTTGGGAGTTGTCAATAGTGTGACTTTGTTCGGGAACCAGTTAAACTCAGTGCATTCAGCAAAAAGGCTGGTTCAAAGCAAACTCAGAGCCAGCTTTACTTTACAATTCTCAGTGAAAACACGATTTATAACTGTTATGGAGAGGTGTTGTTAGCTGTTTGCTTAGGTAGACCTAGTGTGCATCAGAATCTGACCATAGAACCATGCAGTATTTCCGAAAGTAATCTGTTTGTTATCTGATGGGTTAATACAATTTAAAATTAATTTTAGTGATTTACTAATGTGAAGAAAATTCTCAGTTGTTAAGACTGTTACTATGATCTGATTGGTCAATCACTAAAATCAATTTTGAATTTAGATTTATTATCCAATCAGATTACAATATTCCAAAAATCTAAGTTTATTGTCTTAGTTAAGTTTTTGTGAATAAGATCCTGATTTGCTGGGTCCCTGCCAGTAGTAAGAAAGCACAATAACTGTTTATTTTAGTCAAAAAGATTGTAGTTGGAATATAGAACCAGACGCCAAACATAAAGATCATGTGATAGTATTTGAAGTAATATCATATTATACATCAACATTTAATTGTCATCAAAGATTGTATTTGACTGATAAATTTTCTACCAAACAGGCTGCTGATTATTATCATAAATATCTTCCTTCAGGTATGTTTACTGTTATCAATATCACTTAAAGAGACAGATGCATCATTTGTTTGACCAATCATACAGGACTTTTTTTGAGCGAGACACTGCCATATATAGAAAATACGTCTATAGAAATAGGAAAAGAAATTTCTAGATATTTTTGAAGGAATTATGGGATTTTTTGTACATTTCTAGAACTTTACATATATTCAAGTCTCAAATCCTAAAATTGATACACCTCTCCTTTTAAAGACTCATACTTTTCTTCACCTGCTCCGTCTAATTCCGTTTGGCAACACCATGCAGTTTTCAATGAAGAAAATTATTCCAGAACAGATTTCCAATGGTAGAGGGATCTCTATCATACACAGCCTGTAGCACACAGGGCCTTGATTTATTGTAGGTCTACCATCCACATGACTTATTTTCTATTGTTGTTTTTATTCACAAAGTGATGTATATTTCAGCAAATATAACCAATGTAGGAGGAACTATCTCTAATTGTATTAACAAAGCAGTACAGTATTACCGGTCAATGAGTTCTTCTATTAACATACGACTAGTAGACTCCAGTGAGTCATTCTCTAATGTCATTGGAAACATGACTTTTAGTTATTACAGTTTACCTAGAGGTAAGCCATTTTAATATGAACAATCAGTAGCCTGTTACTTGTTTTCAACCTTTTTCTGTCTTTCACCCCTTTCAGGATCCTTGATGGATTTTTTTTCCCCCCTTCCCCCTATAAATCCTTACTATTACCCCCCTTCCCCTATAAATCCTTACTATTACCCCCCTTTCCCCTATAAATCCTTACTATTACCCCCTATAAATCCTTACCATTAACCCCTACTCCTATAATCCTTACTGTTAACCCCTACCCCTATAAATCCTTACTATTAACCCCTACCCCTATAATCCTTACTGTTAACCCCTACCCCTATAAATCCTTACTATTAACCCCTACCCCTATAATCCTTACTGTTAACCCTACCCCTATAAATCCTTACTATTAACCCCTACCCCTATAAATCCTTACTATTACCCCCC